ATCATGAAAGAACCGCAGGCAGAGTCACGATGCTGACCTCGTTGATGACTTTGACGCCTGTGCCGTGCTTCAACAACACCTTCATCACCTCCGCATGACCGTTACCGCAGGCAGCGTACAATGGTGTTTTGCCACTCTGTGAGTCGATTCACCACCAACACCACCAACCAGGCAGCGTCGTGATGAGATGAACAATTTCAATATCAATGGTTTTCCCCGCGTTGGTCTGAATGCGATGTAACTGCTATGATAATAAAGAGCAGGGGCAAGGAAGGATGGGACTGACTGCATCCTTGGCCTTGGCATCAACGCTGCGCTTCAACAACACCTTCGCCACCTCCACATGACCGTGATAGGAGGCGCGATGCAGGGGTGTCTTGCCACGCTATCAATGTCATCATGGTCCACAAGAACATGATGAGACAAAAAAAAAAGGTTTTGTTGATGAAAAGCATCAGTTTGTGTACATGCAGGTCAAAAGGGAAAGCAGGGAGGTGGTCGACATGAAAGAGCGCAGCAAAGGAACACGGTGATACGCTGGGGGCGCGCTGGGGGCGGAGGGAACGGGGCGAGGAGTAGAGGGGAGGACTGACCTCGTCCCGGGCGTTTGTGTCAACGCGATGCTTTAACAGCACTTTTACCACCTCCACATGTCCATGAGCGCAGGCACCGTGTAATGCTGTGTCACCACTCTAGGGTTTGTTTTTACCACCGTGTGTATGTCTCACAGCATGATGATGAGATGTATTTTATATCGCCCAATGTCCAAGCAATACGCGCAGACCAATAAGGAGCAAGACGAACAGAACAAGATCGTAGAAGGTGAAAGGGGTGGGATTTAGCAGTACTGACCACGTTAATGGCATTTGGATGAGTGTGGTGCTTCAATAACATCTCCACCACCTTGACGTGGCCGTTAAAAGAGGCCCGGTGCAGTGGTGTATCGCCACACTGAAGACCGATTTACCATCGCCACGACGTTTGAACAACACCAAATCCGATAGCGACATGTAAGACACCATTTGGCGTGTAAGCACTATATCTAAGTCGACCAAAAGGGAAAGCGAGGAGGAATATCGAAGGAAGGACCATAGTAGGAAAGCGGGTGGTACTGACAATGTTCTCGGCTTGAGCATCAGCGCCATGCTTCAACAGCATATTCACCAGCTCCACATGACCTCTTCCGCAGACATCGTGCAGTGGTGTATTACCACGCTGTCGATTCATTCGCCGCCACCGCCAGCCGCAATCGGAGCATTACCATATTCCACAGCACGACGATTGGATGAGTCAGAATGATGATATTATTATTGTAACAATAAACCAGTTGGTTCGCCAAAGATGGGAGCCATGAACAAAGAGAAGAGCAGAATGGAAAGAGGGGTTGAACCAACCTCGTCCGTGACTTGAGTGTCAGCAAAGTACATCAGCAGCATCTTCACAACCTCTGCATGGCCGTGATAGGAGGCACGGTGCAGCGGTGTATCGCCACCCTATAGGTTTTCTCCCATCGCCACCATACATTTAGTCGCAGAATTGCCAACGGCATAACGAGATGGAAATTTTACCAGCCGATGTACAAGTACGAAACCTATCGATTCTTGATGGAAAAATGGGAAGGACAATCTGGTACTAACCCAATTCTTGACGTTGACGTCAGCCCTGTACTTCAACAACACCTCCACTACAGCCGGTTGATTTCTGTTGGAGGCGTGGTGCAGTGGCCTATCACCACCCTAGAGTTGATGGCCACCGTCGCACACACGCATTTGCAGGGTCACCAGGCCCATGCCCATGAGATGAATATTATTTGGTAAGATGCACAAGACGTAGATCGCAAGAATAGAAAGACATAGACAGTTAACGTGCTGTCAGCACCAAACCCAATTTCGGCAAAACAGGGTGGCACCAACCTCATCCCCGGCATTGGCATCAACGCGGTTCTTCAACATCACTTCTAGTACCTCCGTAAGGCCATTGCAACAGGCATCACTCAATGGTGTAATGCCAGACTGTGGTTGATTGACCACCACCACACATGATCGTAGCGTCACGATGCCCAAATGCGCCGTGATGAGATGGACATCATAGTTGCTGCACAGGTGGGTACATGGAAACTATCGACAACAACAGAGCGGTGCGGCAAGAATGCTGACTTTGTCCTTGGCCAGAGCATCAGCATCAAACAGCAACAACACCTCCACCACCCCCGCATGACCGTGATGAGAGGCCTGATGCAGGGGTGTCCTGCCAAGCTATTGATTCATTCACCACCGCCCACAACAAAATGTGGTTGCAGCATCACCATAAGCCACGGTACACCATGATGAGATACGCATTTTCAAGAGAGCGAAAGAGATGTCAAAGGCAAGGTAGCACAGACCGCGTTTCTGGCTTGTGCATTACCGCTGTGTTCCAGTAAAAGCTTGGCCACCTCCACATGACCGCTGGAGGAGGCGTTGAGCAGTGGCGTGTTGCCACACTGTACGCCGACACATGCGCAGTTGCAGCATCGCCATGATCCACAAGATCACAATGAGACAAATCACGATAATGATAATAATAATACATAACATGATAAGTATTAAGATTGTTGTTATGAGTATTGTCGTAGGCGCAGACTATGAGGAAAGCGGGAGGGGGGGGGAATCAACTGAGGAGAGAAATAAGGAAACAACGCGCGACGCTGACCTGGTCTTCGGCGTTCACATCAACGCCTTGTGCCAATAGCACTTTTACCACCTGCACATGTCCATGAGTACAGGCACCGTGCAATGGCGTGTCATCATTCTGCAGGTTGATTGGCCGTTGCAACACCACGGACGTCAAGTCGCAGAGTGATCGATGATGAAATGAGTCTCAAACCAGCTGTTGAGCCAGCATGCGGTGCAGGCCAACAAGGAAAAAGACGGAAGCATCCAGGAGCAAAGAAAGGTGGCTCGGGAAATGGGAGTACTGACCTCGTTCTTTGGTCCAGGATCAGCGCCATGCTTCAGTAGCATTCCCACCACCCCCACATGGCCTCTGGTGCAGGCATAGTGCAGTGGTGTCGTGCCACCCTGAAAGTTGATTCACATAACAAATGCGATTGCAACATAACCATGTTTTTACTGTAGTGAGCTCAATCGCTAAACCAGTTAAAAGTGAAAAACAGCAAAGCGGTGGACTCGAAAGAAAAGCAACAACATGGACTGACGATGGTCTTGACGTGGACATCAGCGCCATGCTCCAACAACGCATTCACCACATCCACACCACCTCTGCCGCAGGCATAGTGCAGTGGTGTAAAGCCACCCTATTGGGCCCATTGCAAGCGGTGGTCGCATCAAGGTGCCTCGTCGTGGTGAGACAACGGTGATATCACCTGGTCCACAAACAGGCACATGCAATCCAACGAAAAAAGGGTCCGCATACTGCAAGAGAAAAGCAGTAAGGGGGGGTACTGACAATGTTCCTGGCTTGAACATCAGCGCCGTGCTCCAGTATCACCTCAACCACCTCCAGATGACCATTATCGCAGGCGTGGTGTAGTGGCGTATAACCAAGCTGTGAGTTGATTTACCACCACCCGCATGGATGCAGCTTTTCGTCAGACCATCATGGTGAATTCAGTGTCTTGTTCACTTTCCAAGAATCAGTGATACAGACACCTCAACCAACACGGCACGAACCGCTTCGTCTTTGTAAATGGCAGCGGCTTGAATACGTTGTTGATCCCAGCTGCTCAACAACTGCAGCGCCGCTCGTGGATCCGATGAATCACACGCCCTGTGCAGTTGATATCCATCCTCCAAACTCATGATCACGGGTCGCCATCAAACGCCTACTATGAACACAACAGACCATCAATCAAGTTAAAACGTCTGACATTTTCGTTTCAAAAAAAAACGGCAGCTGGGCATCTGCAGAGCCTTGCGCACTGTGCAGCTGGATCAGCGCAGAGGGTGCTCTCACCTTGATCCGCTGGTCTTGACGAGATGTTTGTCCTTTTTTTGTACAGCGCACGGCGTCGACCAGCATCGTGTGAGGGGCGAGCGAGGCAATGAAATGGCGATCACGCAACGCAAAAAAAAGACAAGGCAAGCGTCCGAAGCAACTCACCTTGACCACACGCTCTGGCGCCGCCGCAGGCCCCAGAAACCAGTTGTCCGTCGCGTCGTTGACAACCAATCAAGTTCAACCAATCAAGTTCCAGACCACACGAGAACAGTCGGCGCGGGAGCACGACAACTCAAAGCCGTCGTTTGCCGAAGATGGAGCAAGAAGAAAATGACAGCAAAAACAATACAACAGCCCAAAATAAAATGCGACAGTTTTTTTTAATTTTATACATGTATTAAGCTCATGCATATATGTGAATACTCAAGCATGCGAGCGAGCCGCCTGCAACGATGTATGACGCCTCGTGCTCTAAGCCGGCTACTTTCACAGCGCGGCGTCACATTCACGAAACGTCTGAGACTGAGGCACAAAAAGATGCTTGGGCGTGCAGATCGTCACGGTGCGGTTATCAGCCATCGTGTTGGATCGCACCGACAACAACGCCCCCGCCCCCCACCGCCCCTCCTCGGCCGAACACGCAAAACTCGTTCCGTCATGGGACCAAGACTGTCCGTCAAGCCATTCATGCCGCCTTCTATCTGGCGTTGAGCTCAAGCTAGCCAGCGGGGCATGGTGAACGAACCAGCCCTGATCCGCCAGGCCTCGAGCTAGGGCGATTTTACCCGAGCCTGTGGCCTTGACAAGGGAGCCGTCAGGGCTTCGTTGAAAGAAAAAAGGTATTATGCCCTGAAGCGGGGATATAACAAAGGTGGAAGCAAGTTCTTGAGAATTGGATTGAAGTACCGCCACCTCCAGTCGGCGAACATACTGAAGTCTCAGCAGCAGAGAACAATCGCAATTATCACTAGATTTCCTTGAGCAGCACCGTCAGACAACATCCTATACACGACTACCAAGATTGATATCTTTCCAAGAGCTCCGGCAGCATTAGACCTACATCATGATGTCTGTGGTCCAACAGCCAGGCCAGCCTCGTGGGCAGTCAACACAGATTTCAGCTTGTTGTCATGCTTGTGCTGGCGAGCCACGTCGAGGGGCGTTTCGCTACGCTAAGAACGGGCCAAAGTCAAATGATCGGAAGAATAAGTGAGCAAACAGCGATGCCACATCGTTGTTTTCGAAGAGGCGAGACAAATTTGTTCTGGAGCCCGCAGGAGCGTCCGACGGGCAACGGGGTAGCAAGCATGTGAAAAGTACAACGTAGGGGTTCATGAATGGGCAAAAGAAACATTTGTGTGCAAAGCCGAAACAAGGATAGAGACCGGCAGCTATTTGAGTGTAAGGAGAATTTAGATCAGACGAACAGTGTCATGTCAAAGAGAAACGCGGATTGAGGGAAGAGCGAGCACTGAAGAGAGAGACGCAGCCCAGGTAGGGAAGGCAAGTTGCAAGAGAATTCAAGCAAGCGGGCACAAAGGGGGAGCGAGCGGTGGGGAGCGAGCGGTGGAAAGAAGCGAGAGACAGGCTGGAGTAAAGAGACGAACAGAAAGGACGAGCAGGAGGAGCAGCAACACGGCGACAGTTGGACAAAGGTACCAACCCCATTCTTGGCTTGAGCATCAACGCCATGCTTCAAAAGCATCTCCACCACCTCCACAGAACCGCAAAGGCAGGCCCAGTGCAGTGGCAGACCACCGCCCTGTAAGCAGATTCACCCCAACCAACACACGTACAGGTACCGCATCCACACATGTTCAATCGGGATGATGTTGAGCCATATATGTACCAGCCAGAAGTACCAGCAGCACATGCAGACAGAATGGGGAGAGGCAAGGCAGTCAACAACATGGAGGAGCAATGGCGGGTGAGTGGGAGGTACTGACGTTGTCCTTGGCTTCAGCATCGGCGCCGTGCTTCAACAACACCTCCACAACCTTCACATGATCGTTACCGCAGGCAAGGTGAAGTGATGTATCGCCATCCTGTGGATTGATTGACAGCACCACCATCCGTGAAGAAGCACCACCAACTTGTGCCTCACAAAATTATGCCAAGCAGGAGCACCAGCAACACTTGCAGCCGGAGAGGCATGAGGCAAAGCAGTCGACAACAAAGAGAAGTATTGGCGGGTGAGTGAGAGGCACTGACGTTGTCCTTGGCTTCAGTATCAACGCCGTGCTTCAACAACATTTCCACTACCTCCACATGACCCTCGATGCAGGCCCAGTGCAGTGGTGCGTGTCCAGCCTGTGGACGGATTTGCCATCATTAAACGCCCCCAGGTGCGGCAACGCCATGTGACCCAGAGAGCAACAGTGGGATGTTAAAAATACCATCGTTCCATGTTCCTGTATAAACGACTATCGGTGTACCAGCGGCACATGCAGACCACAGCAAAGGAAGCGGACAACGCCACAGAACAGCCATCGGAAGAACAATCGCACTGACCCAGGCCTTGGCTTTGGCATCAGCGCCGTGGTTCAACAGCATTTCCGACGCCTTCACATGACCGTTATAGCAGGCCCAGTGCAGTGGCGTCCAGCCATTCTGTGGGTTGATGGGCCACACGTACAAGTGTCACATTCATGTTCCATGCTGTACCAGAGTCCACATCCGCACCCCAAAGGAACGAACGCATGACAACACCACCGTTCTCAAAAAGCATTTGTACCTCGTCCTTGCAAGGCGCAGCGGATCGAATGCGTGGTGGGGCCCAATTGTTCAACAGTTGCAGCGCCTCTTTTGGATCTGATGAGTTGCACGCATCCAACAGCTGCTCTTCATCCGAACTCATGGTAATGGAACTCCACACAACTCCACCATTCGCTCGGCCGGCCTGCATCCAAGCGCTGCTGACATGTGAAGAAGAAGAAGATCAATCGAATGAACCGCTTCCAATTCCAACCATTGTCTGAGAGTTCAACGGTGAAACGGCAGCCGGTCAGCTGGCCTGGCTTACCCCGCGTTGATTGATCGTAAAGATGACCGAGCTACTCACACCAAGCACAGACAGGTGCAGCTGCCAATCAGCACGTCCTTTGTCCGACTGGTGCAGGCACAAAACAACAAGCATGCGATAGCGCTCACAATGTCTCACCGTGCCGCACGTTCTGGCGTCGCGACAAGAACCAACCAGGTAAGCACCACCCTGCCAATGAGAGATGAAGTGCGCAGTCACGCACAAACAGCCAGCGCGCGAGCACGACAGCTCAACTCAAGCAACACCGCCGACGGGAAAGTAGACGGCAAGAACAAGAAAAAAAAATTAAAAACGAGTCAAATGGTTACGCAACAACAACTTTTAAATTTTAAAAATTTAACAATTTTTACATTTGGATGTCAAAAAAATTTCGGATTTGAAGACACAGGATTGTCGTTTTGGGCCTAGATACAGGCAATTCAATTAGGGCACCCGGCGGTTCAGGAATCAGGAAGCTGTTGGTTGTGAGGCTAGTTCGGGTCACAGCTTAGCCTGGTGTACGGGAAGGCACCAGAAAGCCCTCTGAAGCTGCTCATCACCAGGGCATGACTGTCCAGGCTTGATCGCTGACGCACTTACAACCCGCGTTTCCGATGTCGGGGGATGAACAGGTGCGTTGGTCGGCTGGGCAAGCTGGTTCATCCCCACCATCTTTGAGCATGAAAGATCTCGCTATCGTTGCGTTGCTGCTCTTGCCTCTCTTTTCCCCACAAAGGCAGATTGTTTGTCTTGGATGCAATCACCGCTGTAACAAGCGGCATTCAATTGCTCTCAACGGCAACAGCACTTCACGCAGACAAAGAGAGTAGCGCACAGACTGCTTCACGCATGTAATGTCAAGCACAAGCTGGACAACTTTGCACGGAAAAGAAATGACATGGGCTGCTGAGATTGCCAACGCTAGCAAGCTGACTGGCAATCGCACTTATGTTGGAGATGGGGTTGTCGCAGAAACAAACGTCCGAGCGAACAAGCGAGAGTTGTTGCAACCCGTCAAAGGAAGTCAGTGCAACGTTGTGCTATTGATCATGCCAATCAACATGTCAGTGCAAAGTCAAATACGAAAATTAGACTTGGAGCATCAGCGAGCACACGCCCGAGGCCGTCGGCCGGTACTTACGCTGACAAACACAGAACCCGTGACAAACATAAGCTTGTTCATGCCTTGCACATGGGTCAATGCAATGTTTTGCTAGGTAGCCACACATTGATTCAACGTGAGTCGACAAGCTACCGCGAGGCTCATTGGAAACAGCCAGGCTCACCGAAAGAAAGACGGAATCGCCGACACTCCCCAACTTTTGCAGGCCGACCACACTCTTTATATTAGGATTGGCCTACAGGAGCCGTCAGAGCATCAACTGAGATGTTTACAAAATTTTCACACAACGCTGTGGCAAAGCATGACTCACAAAAATGGAAAGGTCGCCTCCAACTGAACTAAGGCTGTTCAGGCCGTCAAGTTGCGTCAATGCCGTGTTGCCCTTTTGTGGGAAACCAACATCTCAAGCGAGGTCAGTGCCGTCGTAGATCAAATTTCAATAAACCCCCAGAGAAACTCACCGAGATTTGGAACCTGCCAAGGGCATAGATGAGCGAATTCAAGCCGTCTATCTGCTCTAGTGCAGGGTTTGCCTGCGCATGAAGATATAGCGGTGCAGGACGATAGGTCACATAGAGCAGTGTTGCTACGCATTGTTGGAGGACCTTTGCTCTAACACAGGTATGACTAGCGGCAACAAGCCCGTCATGATCTACAGACTAAACTCATACGTTGATCAAGATATCGCCTTTAACTACCACAATGCCGCGTAAGCCATCGATGTTGACCAGCTGATCGAGCGTCTGTTAACATGTTGCAAAGGGTGAGGAAATGCAATCTTTGGAGGTACGCTCAACACATAGATCAAAGTGCTAGTAAAACGCGCTCTGGCCGCCAAGCGTAAGGCCATACATCAATGGTGAGGGCATCGTTCACATGAGTGAGCCCGTGCAGTCCATCCAAATTCGTCAGCGCAAAATTATGCTAAGTGCCCATGTGGTAGTTGCATGAATGGAGCAGACACGGGAAGTCTGTGCTAACGTAAGCTTAACCCGGGAAGCTGATCAAACAGACCCGAAAGAATACGTCACCTCCCACGTCCGTCAGATTGCCCAAGCCATCCACGTTGGTAAGACCACCATTCCTCTACGAGCAATAGCGGTCAGGAATAAGCAGCTCGTGCCACAAAGCACCAAAACGTTGAGACTCAGAACTATCATGAGCATGTTCTTTCGGCGCTTACGTAGAGCATGAGTTGTTCGCCCACTGCCCGCAGGCTTGACAGACCGTCAATGTTGGTGAGTAGATCACATCGCTGTCCAACACGAGCGGTCAAAATTTAGAATGAAGCAGAAGCGGAAGATCAAGGTCAAGAGGGGGGTTGTTTTTTCCATTTGTTTCGCAGACTACATGTGTGCCATCCTTTTGAAACCCAACAGTAAAAAACGGCGCGCGTCTTACGTATATGAAAAGGCCTCCATCAATGACCTCCACGGTGCGAAGGATGTCGATATCTGCCGACGTGAGGGTTTGACACCAATTCAGGTTGACGCTGCCCTGGACCTGAACCACGCCAGGCGGCACTTGGCTCAAATTGCAGCCAATGTCACCCGGAAACACCATTGAACCTGGTGCTGCTGCTGTCTGCAGCACGGCGCTGGGGCGTGCGCACACTGCACCCAGAATCGAGACGGCAACGGCCAAGCCAATCCAGAGAATCAACCGCACTGGACGCAACGGCAGGTGCACGGGCTTTGACCCAACCATGATGACGAGCAGCGTGTTGACGAAAGAACACGGACTCCCAAGCACGGGTGCTTTTTAAAAAAAAAAAATTAACGACATCACTGGCTGACCGAACCCGTGCAGCAAGGCAGCAAGCCAGCGATTGAAACAAGGCCTTGCAAGCAACGACTCAAATGTCAGACAAAAACTTGTGTGTGTTTGTCAGACAAATCTTGTTGGGTTCTTTTTTTTTTTTTTTTTTTTTTTTTTTTTTTTTTTTTTTTCTTTTTTTTCCTGTGGCAGCGGGGAGCTCTTCGCGGTGGGCGGGGCAGCTGGCGTCAACGAGCTGCACAGAATTTGATCAGAATGGCGATAAAGGCAATGAGAACTGTCATGTTCGGGTGTGATCATGGACGAGGAGGGGGGAGGCGATTGACGTGGATCATGGTGGGGTTGTGCTTGGCTGCATGGGCTGGCGCCAATGGCTTGGACAACGACCCAATCCTGGCGGTTGGTGATGACGGTACGCTTTACATCAACACGAGCAGTCGGGTCGTGGTCAACGGGATCGACATTATTGAGCAGTTGCAGCAGGTGCGCGCCACGCAACAGCGGTATGAAGCCAACTTTGACATTATCTTCCGCTCTGATCCGGGCTCGGCCTGGGTCCCACCTTCGCAACGAGTCATAACCATCGAAGCCAACGGGGCACGAGCCGTGACTGCTGTCGACCTTGATGGCGATGGGTACTGCGATGTCCTCAGCGCCAGCTCCGGGGATGCCAAAATTGCCTGGAGCCGCAATTTAGGCAATGGTACCTTTGCGTCACAGAGCGTCATTACGCGCGAAGCATTAGGAGCCATGAGCGTGTTTGCCGTTGACATTGATGGTGATGATCATATTGATGTCGTCAGCGCCAGTTCTACGGACCACAAAGTGGCCTGGTACCGCAACTTTGGCAACGGCACGTTTTCTGGGCAAAAGGTGATCACTCAAGCTGCCACCAACGCCAAAGCCGTGTACGCTGCTGATCTGGACGGCGATGGTGACATGGACGTGCTGAGTGCGAGTGCCGCCAGCCCTAGCGTGGCCTGGTATCGCAACAACGGCTCGGGCGACTTTGGTACTCCCCTCGGCATTATGCCCTCTAGCATTGACATCGCCTGTGTCGTGGCTGTGGATATCAATGGTGACACCTTTCCGGACGTCCTCGTCCTCTCCGCGGAGACCGGCATGCTCGCATGGTTTGCTAATCAAGGTGACGCCTCCTTTGGCCCCCAATCCACCATAGCCCAAAGCGGGAACTACGGCTATGCGCTGCATGTGGCAGATTTTAATCAAGACGGTGTACCAGATGTGCTCACAGGCACCTACTCGGAAGGCGTAACGGTGAGGTGGAACGCGGGAAATGGAGTCTTTGCTTCGGCTCCCGTCAACATCTCGCACCTCGCCAACTCCTTCACCTTTGCTGTTTACGCCGCCGACTTGGACGGAGACAGGGACCAGGATATCATACATGGAACGGCGAGCACGGGGTCCGTGAATACAGTTCAATGGCACCGCAACGAGGGTGATGGTACATTTTCATCAGGCATCCTGCTGAGTAATGCCTTGGACACTGTGCGGGGTGTATCTGCCGCCGACCTGGACAACGATGGCCACGTGGATGTGCTCAGTGCCAGCTATTCCGACGACAAGATTGCTTGGTACCGCAATGACGGCATGTGGGGCTACTTTGCACGGTACCTTTAGCGTGTGGCTCATGATATGCGTGCGTTGGGCGAGTAATTTGACTTGGCCTGAAACACGTTGGAGATGCAGCCTTTTAATTTAAGAAGAAGAAGCAGAAGAAAAAAGGAGGAGCAAATCTTCCTCAACAAAAAGAACGCGTGCGGCAGCCGACCGGCCATGGTGCAAAAGCGCCTGGGATCCACAAACATGATTGTCAGTGCATGTTGGCTTCACGGGGCGAATTAACCCAGAGCTTGCTTGCACGTTCTCGAGGAAATGAAAAGACGCACACACACACACACACACACACACACATACACACAAGAACAGAGGAGCAGTTAGAATGAGTTGTCAAAACCAAGCAACGAAGAAGGGAATCAAGTGTACAACACCAACACGAGGCATCAAGATCGACAACGGATGGGAGAACAAGTCAAGGAGCCAATCCGAGGAAGACACCAGCGGTGCATGGTCAAAAACAGAATCTTGGTGGCAGGGCGCTAAGAGCTCATTGCCAATGACAAGCTAACAAAAAGTAGTCGGTGCGACATGTCCTATCGTAGCTGCATGACCTCGTAGGCCTGAGCGCGAGCTTCGTTTGCAGGAGAAAAGGCATCACTCATGTCTTCGTAGCTCTCCTCGCGGTTCAGGATGCCGCCCTCGGTCAGCTCTTGCCGAATGGGCCTGAGCGTCCCCTGTTGCGGCGGCAGGGGTGGGGGTTCATCGCCAGCAGGGCGGGGCGGCTCTGGTCCACCCGCAATGTCAATTGGGGCACTGGCTGGAGGCCGGCCTGCAGCCCCATTGGACATGGCGCTAGACATGACCTGGAGCTGCTCAAGCTCCGCCATCATGGCAGACATCTCTACGTCGGTCTCATCGAGCACTGGTGCCACCATGGCTGAGGTGGGCTCCGGCAAGACAGACTCGGGGCCTTCGTAATCCATGGCGTCCAGGAAGCTAGCAGGAACCCAACCTTCCTGGCCATTAAGAGTGGCAAACCACCAGCCATTGTCCGTTTCCTCGAGAACACGCAAGACATCGCCTCGGCTGAACGAGAGCTTGCTAGGGTCGCCCTGGGCATCAAAGTCTTCTCCTGCAATCCATTCTGCTCCATCCTCTTCCTCTTCCACTGACGGGATTGGATCCTTTCTGGGCACCGGAGGCGCCGCCGTGGTCAGCAGGGTAGCATCTACGCTCAAAGCTGAGGCATTGCTTGGCTGTGACATGGACGAAGCCAGCTCCGGGGTCACTTCAAGAAGTCCATCTTCCTCTGAATCGGAGTAAGGTGGCACCAACATGGAAAGTGGAGGGTGGAGGAATGGGACAGTTGTGAGCACAGATTTGACAACCATTTCTTTTGAATGACAAGAAGAAAACGTGCATGTGAGGGCTGACGCACCGATATCTTCGACGGCATTGGAACGCCGCAAGTCGCCACGAGCCTTAACCACCTCATTGATATCTCGGATAGGCATGGCCACGCCTACCCGCGAGGCTGCAGGCCGACCTCCTGGCGTCGTCTCGTCGGCTGTCGGGTGGTGGCATATACAGGGAGGGGGCGAGGGCACGGGGCAAAAGTCAGCGGGGTGAGCACTGAGTAGGAAATGCTTGGCGAATACAAGGCCCGGGTACTGACGCTTGGCATCACGACGAGGTAGGGGCGGGACAGCCGCATTGTTGGGTTCAGCTGACACGGTGCGACTAGGAAGGGCCGGCGCTGGTGGCTCCTCGACGCCATGGTTATCCCATTGGTAGTCTTGAACAGCACGCTCGTCATCGCTGTCGTCATCATTTAGCGCTGAGCTCATGAGCTCAAAGCCCGCTGAAAGACGTGCAAACCCAACACCCCGAGACCATGAGACAGACGCAGACTGAAACGAGCAATAGGGAGGCAGAAGCTCTGTGCGAAACTACGAACGTTCAACGACGTTCGCGGAGTTTGAAGGCCGGATGGCCGAGGGTGGCAGGAAAGGCTTGAGGGCGGCAAGGATGGCTTGACTCTCGGTGGTCTCCAAACAAAAGTGCCCTGGATGTTGACAAGAGCCCGAGCGACCCAAGGGTCCAAGACACGAGCCGAGCAGCGAGCGGTGAGAATGTGGCTTGGGGTGCATGTAAAAGATGATGCCAAAAGCAGGAGCAAAACCAACCTGGATTGGGTTGCGAGCCAACAATAACAAACTCAAATTGTTTTGGGGTGGCGCAGACGCTACAGCATGATTACAAAAGGAGGATGAGGTGCAGCCAGGACGAGGGCACGATGAAAGAGAGGCACGCCCAAACCATGCCCTCCAAAAGATATGTATATTTACATAATGTGTTTTTCAAGATAAAAGGGTTGCCCAAGCAGTGGTTTGCTGACCTTTGCACGCCAATGACGTTCCAACTCGCAAGCTCGACGCTGTTGGCCGGATTGAGGACGGCAAAGTCGCGACCGATCACACGGACATCACAACGCATGTTGGCAGTGATGCCCAGTCGGCGCGCGCCATCGGTAGCACAGAGTTGGCACGAATAAACTTGCTCAGAGTGGGAGGGCCGATTGGTGGGGCGGGGGAGACTGGCTGCAAGACAAGCTGCGGGGCTCGCGGGTACGCTAGTTGCAGCAGAGGGGCTAGGAGGGGCCTCAGTCTCCGACTGCAAGGGCAAGGATGTGTAGGCGGGTAGTGCAGTGGACTGTCGCTTGTTGGCACCACCCGAGAGGAGGTTCTTATCAAAATCGAGGGGGCTGATGATGAGGGCAGACTTCCAGCGCACTGGTGTGCTATGTGGGGTGCCGAGAAAGTCGATCACCTCCTCCAAGGAGGCACAGGAGCCACACGGCTGGTTGTTAAGCAGGTACAGCCCTCCCGCAGTTTGAGTGACCAGGTGGTGAATGACCCGGCCCTGGTGCACGACCGTCACGGCATGCGACCCCCTATATATGAGCCAATGTGAGAACAGAGTACGTAAAAGTGGCCGAGGGGACCTGCACCGCTTTGGCAACGCTTCGTGTGCCTGTGCGACTCTTGATCGCGTACCTTTGACTCGATTCTCGAACGATGAACATGCCCTGCTGGTGACCATAATCAGCCAGCAGGTCTTCAGCCATTTGTCGACTAATCTTGCCGTAGAGCCAGTTATCCGGGCCCACGGGCTTGGGCTAAAAAGAAAACAAAAGCAGGGTTGGGGAATAAGTGAGCGTCGTTCGAGGAGGACCGAGAAGGCGTGGCCCAAGGTGAAGCATACATGAGTGGGTCGTGCACATGGCCGAGTGGGCATGGAGCACGAGGCTCTGGAGGACACCGTGGTACGGCGCGGCGCAGCCGTCTAGTGGCGAGAGGATGGGCGAGTGTAGAGAAAAGGAAAAGAGCCATTCAGTGAGGGGATGAGATGTAGAAGAAGCAAGGGGGGGAGATTGCAAGTGATACAAGCGTTATTTTAAGGAAACCCCTTCCCTCCCCCAGCAAAATTGCGAGGACCCCGTATTCAAGTTGCGGTTTGAGCGTGCGGTGGGCCCGAACCTGAGGACGGCTGGCACCGTGATCCTTGGATGGCGAGGAGGCCGGCTGGCCCTGAAACGGTGTGGGAGTGGGAGGTGGCTGGCGAACGCTGTGGCCAGGAAGCTGGGAGCCGCTGCTAGCGCTGTTGCGGGAGCTGTGCGCGGGCGAGGCGGGGTTGGACGGAAGTGCCGGGGTGGGGGCGGGCGTTGCAGCAGGCGGTGTGGCCACGGCTTTGGCAAAGAGCTCCTCACGAAGATCTTTGATCCAATCATCGCGCTCCAAGCGATTCTCGGCACAAAGAACGTAGGTGCGCTGTGGCAGGACAATGCGAAAGAAAAACTTCATGCGGCGCTCTTCGGAAGGGCCTTCTTCCACCGTAGTGCAGTCAGAGAGATTGATAATACCCTTGGGCATGGAACGCTGTACGTCTCCGGGATCAACGTAGTATTCCATGCGTGCCTTCCCGGCGTTGGTCTGTGGGCAAACCCAGGAGCCAAGAAGCGTATGAGCTGACACGAGTGGAAACGGCGCGCTACAACGGCTGGACCAAAGAGCAGGGCGCGGGCGTACAGCGCGAAGAAAGCGAAAGAAGCGACGTTTCCAGCCCTTGAGGGCGCCGGGTGGGGGGCTCTTGATGAGCCAGCCATTGCGAACCACGTCTGAAGACATGGCTAAGACCAGGGTAGAGTCGACACAGGTGGTGGAGGCGCGATGAATGAAGTGAAGCCAGATTTCGAACCAAGAAAGCGAGCGTGGGCTGGCTTTTGATCACACCGATCATCAGGGCTGCCTGTAGGGACCTTTGTCCCAAATGACGAGGAGCTCAACCATCACAGGCAGAAGAGCAGGCTTACCTCACGATGGTCGGCTATGGATGACCACACACACGCCCACACACGCACCGAGGAGCCGCCGTCCCTCAACTTGGCACGACCCGAGTGTGCCGGTGGTCGGTCGTTCCAGACAGCTCCTTCTGAAAACGAAGCAGACGCTGCTGCCGACGGCCCATTCACACCAACCTAACCGATCTTGCCAACACCAAGCCGAGCAACACTCGCACAAATGCAAATGCAGATTCCTGCACTCCACTGCTGAGTCCAATGACACCGCCGCCGCCGACGCCGACGACGCCGACAATGATGAAGAGATGAAGAATATGAAGCAGATGAAGAAGAAGAGAACGGCAGCGGCAACGAGCGAGCAACTGCTGACAGAAGAAAAAAACAAGAGAGAGAGAGAAGAGAGAGGAGAGAGAGAGAGAGAGAGAGAGAGAGAGAGAGAAATTCCAAAAGGGAGAGAGAGAGACACACACACACACCACACACACACACACATACACATACACATACACACTGTCAAAGCGTCCAGGTTGTCGTCTTCCGGGAGACTGATGAAGACTTGAGAAGACTCATCTATCCTATTGTCAGACTTTTTAAACCCGGAACTGATGGCGACGACGACGACGACGGACACGGAGGCCGAGGCGGTCAACGCAACGGTCACGACAGCGGCGACGGCGACGGCGACGGCGGTGAATGAGGGAGGGATTCCAGTAGATGCCGAAGATGGTGATGAGTATGAGGTATGTCACGCTGGAACGAAGCTGTGGCTTTTGACTTGTTGTTGCTTTCACTACCTGGCTTGTTGGGCCAACGACAGGTCACGTATGTGGTGGCCGACTTTGAGCTGCCCCGCACCGATGCAAATGCTGCCCGAGCATTTCACATCATCGTGAGTGATCGTGGAGGACACAGACGCAATACCTGTGCGTGTGCGTTGCGCTGACACCAACCTCGCGAATCACGGCAGGGCCAGCACACAGCCACCCCATTTGTGCAGCTGAACGATCAAGTTTTCGAGGCCCGGCACTCTGGTTCGTAACCGTTGCGTCGGCGAGCGCCTGGTCATCTTCTCTCGCGCGCACGCAGGGTCACACCGGTTTTATCCCTTGCTGTCCTGTAGAGGCGCTGGGAACGCACCTGATACTCAAGGTGGAACCAACCGAAGGTGCGTGATGAAGATGGGCCTGGCCGGCCTCCTGCAGGGGCCCCGTTCGCACCACATCCTACCCATCTGACCGGTATCTCTCTGCCTGTCTTGAACGTGTCGACGCAAACCATGATGCGTGCTTCCCGCTGTCAACAGATCAGACAAGGCGGCTGGCTTTCTTCCAGACGACCCTCAACGCTTTAGAGTGCCAGCGTATCATTCTGCGCTCCGATGCACAAGGTAGTTGATTGTCCAAGGGCCAAACGCTGTGGCCCACTTACCCGGCCAATCTGCTACCTGCCCAAAGCAGTGAGATGCAATTCTTGAAGGCAATGTCCACCGGCTTTTCTCACTAGACGCGTGTCGGCATGCTTGCTTGTTGAACGATAGACACACCCAGGTCTGCCCGCAAGCGACGACCCTTGCGCCGCCCCAACACAACAACCCCGCGATCTTCTACAGCCGGATCGGGAACCGGCCGGCGCGCGTCACAACCGACGGTAGCAGACGGTGCCGATGCACATGCAACAGAAGACCGGTCTGGCCCGAGCCAGGCCGGTGGCACTGCATCAATACCAGAGCCAGGAGCTTCCGAGTCGGGATCGCCCACCAGCAAGCGTGCGCGACGTTCCTCCAGTCCAAAAGCATGACCTTGTCTCTGCCATCATCCAAGTTTTTGACCACCCATGCTCTGTCGTCGCTCGCCCTAGCTTCCCCACGCAGTCGTCTTCCTTTGCTTTGTGTGTATCCTTTTCCTCCTTGCTTTTTTTTTTTTTCTTTTTTCTTTTTTCTTTTTTCTTTTTTCTTTTTTCTTTTTTTTCTTTTTCGCTGCCACCTGGCGGCTGCCTTAGACTTTGGCAAAGAGAATTGGCAGAACGCCGCTGAGCGGTATGATAAAATTGTAGTCTGTCAGTCACGTTATTCGGGCTTTGATACGGTGCATTTCTCAGCACGTCACTCCGCGTGGAGCAATTGCCAGTCGTCTGGGCCCATGTCCAGGACAACCTCGGTTTGGTGCTCGTCATAGTTTTGGATCCAGGGTTGCGCAGCCAGGACCAGATGGCCTTGTAAACGGTTTGGCGGATCACGCTGCACGGCGGCAAACACACACGGGGAGAGGCGTGTTTTTGAGCATGCTTTGAGCCTTGTGGACGACCAGGTTTGATCTGCATTCAACTAGGGGAGATGACCTGACGCACCGTCGATGTGTGTAAGCGCAATATGGGACCCATAAAGCGTCGCAGCACCTGCAGCCGACTTTGTTCATCGGGGCTGATGGGCTCCCGCAGCACGCAGCCGACGCACAGGGCTGACGATTGGCCTCTAACCCCACCAGCACGACCAGTGATGAGAACAAATGCCGGCAGACCCGTTTTTCGTTTTTCACTGTTTATTAAGACGGTCAAGACCCTGGGCCCCACGTACGACTCGGTGGCAGTGGCGTTGCGTGCTAGAGCCACGATCCGCGCCACGTCGCTCGGCGCCTGAAACAGGGTAGCACAGCGGGGCAAGGAAAGGGAAATGAGAAGGGCCATGGGCGTGACATTGCCTGACGGCACGCACATGGCTCTCGTCTGAGAGAACCTCATCCCGGCGGAAGCACAAACCTGCGCCCAAGCCTGCACATCGTCAAGGACCAGCAGCCAACGCGTGTGCTGAATGGCCCGGTGGCAACAACTCAAATAGGCCAGTAAATCCGAGCGCCTATCTCCGTCCATCCGCGCAATGAGAAAAAGTAATTGTCTGTGAGTGTCTGTGTGTGGCCAAAAGGTTGAGGCAGCAGCAGGACGGAAACAACAACGACGGCGCGCCAATGCGGGGTGGAGTCGAACTCACGCGGGGAGGTGACGAATTTCAATGGCGTCAAGGGTTGCAAGGCTCGGACGCTCGAGTTGAGTACACATTAAGGGAGGGATGCGGCCCAGATCCTCAGATGTACTCGTCAAAAAGATGACCTGGTACCCTCGGGTGGCCCATGCTAAGCATTCGTGGAAGAGGAGCGTGCGCAACGCCCTGCACACACGATGCGTGAACCAGGAATCAGGTTGCGCGCTCAACCAGCAACGAGGGGACCAAAGGAGCCGGAGCCGACATTGAAGAGGGGGCGCAGATGCCATGAAGCTGTGGATGAGGCTCGGGGCGGTCCGGATGGTCGCGTAAGGTCGCCCATGGAAGAGGCGAAGACCCAGCTGCGTCGGGCCATTGCGATGAACCCTAGCCCACACAGGACGATGAGCATGCGCCCGGTGAAGCAAATGCATTTACACACGAGGATCGCCGGCTGGGAAATCAAAGGGCTGGGAGAATGGAACCATCAAGCGCTTGATCGTTACCGGAATCGCCAATAGTTGTCGCACGGTGGGTGAGGCCGATGCCGTATGCATCGGCGCTTTCCCTGCCGCCGGAGTTGTCGACATGTCTGGCCGACCGGTGGGCACCAATCATCCCCTCACCAGACTACCCCGTCCCCCTGATCATGGTATGACCATGGCCGTGCAACACCAGTCCTTCTTCCCCCCAGCCAAGCGCATTGCCCAGACGGCCCTTCGCTTCGTCCCCTCTGACCCACAACACGCGCAGCAAGCTCGCCAATTCAAGTTGAAAAAAAAACCCCCCCCCCAGAGTCGCAGCCGCGTCAAACGGTCGTTGGCGCCTTCAGAGCTTCTGACAAATAGAATGTCAGAATTTTAAAAGGCGCTGACTGTGGCGGAAGTCTAAATAAAGAAGATACTGATATATTTAGATGGATGATGACCAGCTCGAGCAGCACTGGACGCGACGAGTCAGCATTTTGACTCGAGAGCAGTGATGCAAGTGAGACATATTTACAGAGGCAACATTGTCATCGTCGTCATCAGTCAGAGATATGGAGCTATGGAGCTTTACAAGACTTGCAAGCCTTACCATATCTACTATAAATCAGAGATGTGAGACGTGACCGCATACTATCCAGAGAAGTTGCGGAATCACCATCAGCGCTGCAGAGAGTGGCAATCCTCATCGACGAGGTGTGGCATTTTTTTTTCATTTCTCAAGCATCCAAAAGTCAGTGGCACGTCCCCGAGCGAGGCATGGCAGCGCGGCCCGCACCTTCACCCCCCCTCCTCTTTCTTCTGCCCTTGTGCCCTCGCCTGGGTCTCATGGTAACTGTGCCCGTGAACTTTGTAGGACAGCATCATGGCTACGATTCACGCCCACACCGCCTTTGATGGCGAAGAACTCTGCAAGGTCCGCCCATTCACTGTCTTAATTTGTTGTTTTGTTGAGCGGTTTGTGGCCGGCTCTCGTTGCGTGCGCTGTCTGTCTTCAACTTATACAAATCCCTTGGGCGCTTCCACCATCTGTGTGGCACGATGCAGGCTTTGCGCAAGGCCATGAAGGGTCAGTGCTAGTGCTGCGCCACCGTCTCTTGCCACAGTTTTATCGGTGCCCCCACCACCACCAAAGTCGAGTCTGGTTCACTCATCACTCATCACGCGACATGTACAGGTCTTGGTTGCAACGAGCGCGCTGTTATCGAAGTGCTCTGCTCCGTCGACAATGCGCAGCGCCAGCAGCTCAAGGTCCAGTACAAGGTAAACAAACATGTGCTCACTTTTGATCTGCCCGACCCTTGTTCCCGACTGCCCCGATCTCTCATTGATGACTCTTCGGATCAAACCGGACTGGATTCGATAGACCATGTTTGGCCGTGATCTTGTGGATGATCTCAAGTCGGGTAAGAAGAGACGTGTTTTTTTCTTGTGCTTTTGTGGTTTTTCTCAAAAAAAAGAAAAAAAAATTGTTAAACAAGTTGTTCTCGCCTTGACTTACAGTGCGACCCTTTCTTTTCGTTTTTTTTTTTTTCCAATTCTGGATAGAGCTTGGCGGCAACCTCGAGCGCGCCGTCCTTGCCATGATGATGCCCCCGGCCGAGTAAGTAGCAGATTCCCGCTGATACAACGATGTTCAAGCTGCGCCTTGTCCCTCTTCATCCTTTGTCAGCTCTGATGATAGTCGCCTCACTGGAGTGACGGTTTGGTTGTTTTTTGAACATCAGATATGATGCCTTCTCTCTGCACGAGGCCATGAAGGGCGCTGGCACAGACGAGGCTGGTCAGTTGGAGATTTTCCCGCCTGCCGCTCTACCCAAAAGCTTGTTGCCGCGCATCTTGCACACGGAAGCCTGATCCCGCCATCTCACCGCTGCCATGGCCCTCCCCGTGGCTCTATCGCAGACATTACCGAGATTCTGGCCACCCGCTCCAATGCCGAGGTATGTGCGCCTGTACCCCATGCAGCCAATTTCAGTGTCCTACGTCCGTCGCTCACTTGATCTCACTTGATCTTCACCTCTATCGCTTTACTCAAATTAGATTGCAGCCATCAAGGCTGCCTACGAAAAGGCCTATCACAAGGATCTGGAAAAGGCCATTTCCTCGGAAAATGGTGGTCACCTCAAGCGCATCTACATTTCCTTGCTCCAGGCCAACCGTGACGAGACGGACAAGGTGGACCAAGCCCTGGCCAGCGAAGACGTGAGTACCCTCTGTACCCCGCCCCCCAGAACAAGACACACACCGCCCTGACCCCATGTTGTCGACCCGTTTTACCATCTCAGGCCAAGGCACTGTTTGACGCCGGCGAGAAGCGCTGGGGCACCGACGAGGTATGATTCAGCTTTGGTGTCTTTTGCCAAGGCCTGCTGGTTTGGCGCAGTTGTGTTTCAGGATGGCGATGCGCCCTCTTTCCCGTCCCGTGGATCAAGGCACTAGCTCACACTGTGGAGGGACATTCTCACGCTTCTTCTTCTTCTTCTTCTTCTTTTCCCTTGTCGCCTTGCCTATGCAGTCGGAGTTCAACCGCATCTTCATGTCACGTTCAGCCGCTCAGATCAAGGGTCTGTCACCTTCAATTCCACTCTTGCACGTGCCCTTTTGTGATCCGGTACAGCCAGCCTGACCCCTCTTTGGCACATGTCTGTAGCTACGGCCGACGAGTACGCCAAGATCAGCGACTACGGCCTTCGCCGCGCTATCGAGAAGGTGGGGCCTGCCCTACCACAACCCACCCCTCGATTGTTCCACCCCTCGTGCCTCTCACTTCCGACTCTTTCATTCATCCGTCATGGCAGGAAATGAGCGGCAACTACGAGTTTGCCATGGTGTCTATGCTGCAGGCTGCCGTCGACATGCCCGGCTACTTTGCCGAGCGGGCTTACCGCGCCATGAAGGTACGTGTCTTGAGCGCTCGGACGATCCTGTTTGGGCCTTGTCTTGTCTGTGCGCTCTCATTTTTATGGTTTGCCTATTTCTCCCTCTTTTGTCTCTGTTAACAACTTTGTTCCGACCGTGTGTGTAGGGTTTTGGCACTGCCGATGCCGATCTGATTCGTGTGATTGTTACACGTTCGGAGAAGGACCTCGAGGTGGTGAAGCAACGCTTCCACGAGCTGTATCACAAGAAGCTCTCAAAGATGGTCGAGGGCGACTGCAGTGGTGACTACAAGCGCCTTCTGCTTCACATCATCGGCGAATAAACGCATGCTCATTCCTCTCGTGTACATGCCCCTCAGTGTCCACACTTGTTTGATGCCTCAGTGCTTTTGATTCACATGCCATTTTTCAAAAAAAAAATATGTCAAAATTATGTCTAAATTCGTCAGAAATTCGTGAATATTATGTCATGTCTGCCCCCAAGACGCATCAACAACCACAGCAGCGGGGTACAAGCCACCGCTGCAGATCATCGAAAGCTTGTTGCAGAAGCGGCGTGTTGGCCAACACCTGTGCTGTCGTGTTGGGCCCAACCGTATGAAGCGGCCAGTGCGGAACCTGCAGGATGAAGACACGGCGTTAATGATGATACTTTTCGAGTTCTTCAACCAGACGAACGAGGGACGCAGGCGTACATCTGTAGCGTTCCAGCCCAAGTCGAGTAAGGTGTTGCCGTACACGATGCGCGCGCCAGGCATTGTACTCCATGAACACTTGTCAGGCTGCTTCTCCGGCAACTGCCCAAAGCCCTACGCGTCCAGACATCATACTTGAGTCGTGGCTGCTGGTCGCATCGCAGGGCAACGGACGCCATCTTTTCCTCAGATCAACTCGGTGTACAGGTGCGGGGCAAATGGCCCACCTCACACCGTGCAGTGCTGGGGTGGCTGTAAAAAGACCCAATAAAAGTGACGTTCTCATAGAAAGGTTGCGGCACCTATCACAGGCGCAGAGCGCGCTCCAATTAGCGTTGGCCATCGGACTCGCAACGCCCTCTGACATTGCGGGCAAGCGTCGTCTAGTATCCTCAGCCAGGTGCTTCAGCTTTGCCGTTTGATGCCAATCGGACCTGGTAGTAGAAAAAGGGCAGGAAGACGTCACTTCGTCCCAGACCAGCTTGCGAGGCAGGCTCCATGTTCCACTTGGAGCGACTGGTCCCGTTGAAGCTACATTCAAACGCCAGAGACACGATGTCGTACCGTGAGCCCAAGAGCAGCGGGACTACGGCATGCACGTTTGCTTGAATCGGAAGGGGCGACCACAACAAGAATTGCAGCGAGTAGTGGCTGGCACGGGCTTACCAATAGCAGGCCGGGTCGTCGTGGGTGTGATTGGGACCCCATGTAATGGGATCGCACTAGCGTTTGGGCAAGAGCATGGGGTCTATCAGCGAGCCGCTCGCTGGTTTGCAAGATTGGGATGAATGCATGCCACCCCCTTGCCCCATCGGTGTTCGAACCTGCTGGAAGTCGGTGCTTGTTTGCAGCGCAATCATCCGATCGGCCCAGACGTCACAAATACACATGGGATCCTCTGGTTGATTTCTACACCCGCAAAACCCGTTCCGTCCATCATGGCGGTCACAAGCCCAGCACTGACCAGCAGCTTTGAAGTACGCGGGCCAAAGTACCTGGGTTCGGCCTCTGGTCCATTGCAGGACACGTATGGGGCAAAATCAAGGTCTGCCTGGCGTGCCACGCAATACCTAGAGCAGACACCGCAACGAAAGCGATTGACCCTCAGTGCCATAAATCAACACAGCTCGGCAGAAAAGCCAGTCCTTCGAAGCATGGCCTTGCTATGCTTGTCTCGGCTAGCTGGTTCTTCCTCGATGAGGGTGCCTATCCAAGCGGCACAGACATACTCGGTAACGGGAGGGTTCAGGCTGACGTTGAAGAAGAGGGCCGAGTTGGTGTTGGTCAGGAAGGCAGCTTGAGCAGCGAGTCCAGCTGAGTTGTGATTGGCCAGGTAGTCAACTTCGGTTGTGTACTCTGACACGCGGTATACCTGCTCATGCCAGACAAGAAAGTGAGCCGACGCCGCCCCCGGGAGGCAGGTGAGATTCGGTTCCTTGAGAAGCGGCTGGCAAGGGATGAGGCAATTCGCACCGAGAGAAAAGTGACACCAGGAGCCGCGGTGCGTGCCAGGACCTGGTATCCATCAGCAGCCAAAAGATACAGCGAGGCTGGCTCGAGTTGAGGAATCTCGATCACTCCAGAGCGCGCTATCCCGAGGACACGGTCAGGCTGGCTGGGCCGAGCCAAAACTTGGGCGACACGGGTTGGAGTACGCTCTGTGAGATCACGACGACCCAGTCGGGTGAGGTGCAGTTGCTGAACAGATGATGCCGCTTGAACTACCAGTGCGTGGGTGGAGCTCTGAACGACGACCAGGGCCGAACGATCGACCACGGACGGCCCGGCGAGCAGTGCGCAACGGCGTGGCGCTGCCGAGTCGTTGCGCCAGTGCCACACAATCGAAGGCGCTGAGTCAGGATGCGTGCGAACAGATACGGCATACTCAATGTTGGGTCGAAGGTCTTCAAGTAAAAAGCTGGTCTGCTGCGTGGTTCCCCGCCAAAAGGGTGCCGCGGCTGTGCTGTCGTTGAGCCACAGATGGAGTTGAACGGCATAAAAGTCAGTCTCCGCCTGTGCCGTCCAATTGACCAACAGGTGCTGGCCTCCCACTGGCGCACACGACACCTCCACCTCTGCCACCACTGACACTGCCATAGCCACCGTCAACACCACCACCACTACCGCCGCCTCTGCTCCCAAGGACCACCTCCTGCCGCGCCCGCAGAGGCATCGCCTCATCATGATCAGCTTGAAAAATTTTTAAATTTTTTTCTCAAAAAATCAAACAACAAAACCCAATTGCGTCATCGCATCAGAACGGTTCCTCTTGTTTTGCTTGTTATAGAACTACTACGCGTGGTATTTTTACATCCTTGATGAGATTGAATGTCTCTCTCTCTCTCTCTGTCTCTCTCGGTGCCTGCTGAACTTTTCGGCCTCCTCTGCTGCCGGCTCTGGTGTCCAGGTGGGCTGCTGCTACCCTGCCGTGCCTCTGGTACAGAGTTGTATGAGATGAGACAACCGGGAATAAAGCACCATACCTGAGAGAATGGCGGTCGAGCTGCAGCGAATCAAGTATGCGCGCGACCAGGTGCAGGCCGGGATCGTGCACCTGGGCGTCGGGGCCTTCCATCGGGCTCACCAGGCCGTGTACTGGGACACGCTGCTGCCGGAGGACCCGCGTTGGGGGGTGTGTGGCATTAATTTGCGTGCTGCTGACCGTGCCGGCTTTGAGGCCCTGCAGGCCCAAGGCGGCCTCTACACGCTCAAGACGCTGGCCTTTGATGGGGCCACTGAGTACCGGCAGGTGGGCGCCATTGTCGAGCTCATCGATGCGTCTCGGGACTACGGGGCTGCTGTTGCCCGGGCGGCTGATGATCATATCCAAATCATCTCCATGACCGTCACCGAGAGCGGCTACTACCTGGACGAAGCCGATGTGCTCCGCACCCAGGCACCCGATGTGGCGCAGGGGCTCGCACAGCAGCCAACCAGTTGTGTGTACACCTATCTGCACGGTGCGATGCGCGCGCGCATGGCTGGTAATGGCCGCCCGATCACCCTCATGTCGTGCGATAATCTCCGCGAGAACGGGCACAAGTTGCGCACGGGCTTTCTGCAATACTTGAAGGCTGCCCAGGATGAGGCCACCCGTGCCTGGGTGGAGGCTCACGTCTCCTTTCCCTGCAGCATGGTGGATCGCATCACCCCGCGTCTAGACCCAGCTCATGCCCGCGATGTTCGCGAGCGCTTTGGCATCGAGGACCAGGTCACCATCATGGCTGAACCGTACATTCGCTGGGTGATTGAGGACAACTTTGCCGGTGCCCGCCCACCTCTGGATAGAGCCGGGGCCATTATCACTCGGGACGTCCAGGCTCACGAAGAGGCCAAGATTCGGGTCTTGAATGGTGGGCACACGGCGCTTGCCTATCTCGCGGCCCTTCGCGGCCACCGCACTTTTGACCGCGCCATGACCGACCCCGAGCTGGCCGACTTTTTCATGGCTTACGAAACGGAAGAAGTCATTCCGGGACTTGGCGAATCACCCATCGATCTCGCTGCCTATCGCGATGAGATTTGCGCTCGGTTCTCCAATGCCAGTATCGGTGACACCGTAGCCCGCATCTGCAGCGACGGCGCCAGCAAGATGCCCATTTTCATCCGGCCCACGGCCGAGGCCACGGCCCGGCGAGGCCTCGTGCCCCATCACGCCATTCGCATCATGGCCTCTTGGTACGTCTTTATGCGAGCGGTCCAGCGCGGTGGGGAGATTGACTTTGCCTATGTCGAGCCCAGCTGGGACACCCTCGTGCCCTTGCTGGCTGCTGGCCAGGAGACGACCTTTGCCACCCATGAGCTGCTCTGGGGTGACCTGCCCCAGCTTTGTCCCACCTTTGTTGAGTGCCTGGTTGCCGAAATTGCCAAGCAAGAGCAGGCCTATCAGCTCGCACGTCAATAAAGAGTTTGAAATCAACTCGCCGCCCGTGTCGTCTGGGCCCACCCTAATAGTTTGCAACCTGCTCCCGATCAAGCAGCAATTTGTATTTGTTGCCCAGTGAGGCGAGGCGGGGGGCAGTAGAGCACCATTTGAATGAAAATCCAGCGCAAAAAAATGAGACCGAAATCCCTGTGTCGATCCCTTACGAGTACAGATGGCAGTGTAGCAAGCGTGCAAAAAAAAAAGGGGGGGGGGCTCAGTCATCCCACAGCGAAAGCAGCGAAAGCCACTGTCCTGCTCAAGAATGAGCCGCCCAAAAGCAAAAAGAATTTCAGGGGACCTCGGGGAATCGAACCCCGGACCTCTCGCACCCAAAGCGAGAATCATACCACTAGACCAAGATCCCAGAAATGTGATGGTAAGGAAACAAATTATTGTATATAAAACCATTTGAATTCAAAGACTTTGGCTGAAAGCGTACTTGTCATCCTTATTTGTCATCTTTTCTGAGGTCCACACTGAAACTTGAAAAAGCAACGAAAAGGTTAGACTTGAGGGCTATCTCGATTGATGGGAGGGAGTCACGGTTGAGGTGCTGCTCAACTCAGAGGGGTATGAAAAGATCACCAACCAAGCTTTAAAAGTCGCTGGGCGGCCATGGTCCAGGCCTTCTGAAGACCTGACCTGACCAGAAAAAAAAGAAAAAGAAGCAGGAGGACAGAGGAAATTCGGGGGAGGCCGCACGGCGGCTCAATCCGAGACGGGGGCAGTGTCTTCAACAATGACAAAGAGGTTTTCGGGACTCTCGGCGTGGAAGCGGTCGAGAACCGTATCACAGGCGACTTCAAACTCGGCTCCAAACTCGCTGCGCCAGACATGCTGCTTGAAGACGGCTAGCAGCACACCCGTGCGTGCGTGCTTGAGCAAAACGGGTTCTCCCGCAGGAACGGGCTGGCCCTCCATCTCAAAGCGCATCTGGGGGTCCACGGCGACAAATGTCCAGGCACAATCAAAGGTCGGGCTTTCCGCTTGCAGGAAGGTCACGCTTTGCTTGCCGCTGTAGCGCGCAGGGCGTCCTGTGAGCCCCAGCTTCTCGGAGCAGAGATAGCCAACGCTGTGCTCGGGCAGGCGGCATTGAAGATAGACGTTGTCACCGTAGGTGATGCGCCGCTCTGCGGTCGGCGCATCGCAGAGCACCACTGTAAAAGCGTTGCGGGAAGCGGGAGGCGCTTGGGGTTGGGCCGTGCATGCCATGGGAGTGCCGGGAGCCGCCAGCACGGATGGGAGATAGCTCACAACACTCTCACTGCTGGGGTGGCTCAACTGGCATGTTTCGCCATTGTTCAGAAAGCCATCCCCTGCTCGAGATAGTTTCTGGGCCGTGCTGGCCGTGGCTTGTACACTGGCCACTGTCTGCGACAAGGTTTGCCCTGCCTGTTGTTTGGCCAGAAATGCTTGAACGCGATCCTAGTGAATGTAAGTCACAGCGTCAGCAGCAGGCAGCGCATGAGCTACAAAACTATCGACACCAGTTGAGCTCGAGCGACAGGAAAAAGCATCCAAGCCCAGAACGCAGAAGCGCACCTCCTCCGAGGCGATGTCCTCCTGCCAGTTACCCACGCGCACGCCGTGACCAAAGCTGCGTGCGTGCGCCATGCTGGTTCCAGTTCAGCCTCCTCACAACTCCAATGCCCGCCAATCCACCTTTGCCAAAAGCCCCAAACGTGCAGATTGACTCCTTTTCCCAGCCTTGGAATGCCCGTTCAAGCAGAGTTCCCCGCGGCCGTCAAGCGAGCTCTGGATCTACCAAATCAGCAGAAAAAAAAAAAAAAAAAAAAAAACAGAGAGAGAGTGTGTGTGTGTTATTTCTGGTTGTCAACGTCAATGATATTTGGTAACAAAATGTCAGTACAACAATACCAACAAGAGCAACAGCAAAGTCGCTTTGTATAATCCGTGCCTTGCTCTTCTGCTTCTTCTTAGGAAAGTATGAGTGGTGCTGCTATGGGATGGACGGGCCGTGGTGTTGAGCACACGGTAGCACGTCTGGGGTGTATGGGTGTGGAATCGGGGTATGGCTGAGAGGAATGGGTTGTGTCGAGGCTCAACTGATCAGACTCGATAGTTGGATCGCTGCTTAGCTGGTATGCAAACAAGCAGACCTCGTCAACACACAACTTCAGAGAACAGTCCTTGATACAGTTCACGAGCAGAACAGAGGGACGACAGCCGGTTTGATCGGGGCACTATCAAAGGCGTTGGAAGGTAGGGCATGCGCTATGCTCCACCATTTGGAAGGTGCCATTGTGCTAATTGACCATGGCCTTGCACCAGGGCATGGTTTTGCCATTGCGCACATCGCGATCACAGTTATCGTCGGGAAACAAGGGCTGTCCCGTATTGGCATAGCCTTGAAACCAATTGCCACACATACCCTGGGTGGGATTGAAGGCGCAGTTTTCGGCTTGCGCATCGCTCCAGTTGGTGGCCTGGCAGTTGGAGGTGAAGACGGCGCAAAAGCCATCCACGCAGGGGTTGACCTGCTGCGGTCGCATGGTCGGCGCCGCCTGCAGTGTAGCCGCAGCATGGGTCCGATTCAGGCCGGGCCAGATGGTGGATGCATTCTCCGCCGGAATACGGTAGAGCCAATTGCCCACCGAGTCGACAAGCGCGACATAAATGTAGGGGCGGTTCTCGTCCCGACCCGAGGTGACGACGTAGTTGTCGCTCTGAAAGCCGCCTTGGTTGACACCGCCGTTGAAGCACCGTCCCACTTGGTTAAACTGCGTGCTATCAGACACGAGCCCGAGGAACAGCACGTTAGCTGGGTGCGATGCTCAAAATGAGGCTGGCCATCAAGCACAACCTACTCAAAGCTGCGTCGATAGCCCTGGGTTCGCGTGTTGTTGGGCTCTTGCCAGGCGGGTTCCAAAAAGTCCATCTCTCCTGCGTTTCCGCCTGCCCAACAATTGTTGTTGGTGACAGGGCACTGGTCCGCCGGATAGCCCACTGCTGGCCCACGATCAAGGGTCACCTGGCGAGAATCAAAACGGTAAGGCTCACACAATAACGACGCGCAGCAAAGAGGTTGTGCAAGGAGAAAGACACGCCCCTTCACCAGCAGTGCACCATTCAGCTCATCACTCAGGAAAAAAAAAAAAAAAAAAAAAAAAAAAAAACAGAATAAATACCTGATTGAGCATGTACCAGGTAGCCGCCCAAAATTGCTCGGTCGAGAGGACAAACATGAGCCCATCGCCCGCCACGCCAGGTACACCAGGGTTGTAGTAGGCCAGGGACCAATACACGCTGCCACCGGGTTGGGGCCCTAGCCAGGCATCGGCAGGCTGCAGGCCGCCGTATGGCTTCATGAGGTCAAACGCGGGTTTGCTTCCGTCGACATTGAAAGAGCTGTCGTCTTGACGTCGCCATGTGCGGCTGGCGTTGTCAAAGGCATAGGCAGCCATGTAATTGAGAACCACTTGGCTCCCGGTTTGATAGTATGGCTCCAAGTCTGTCACGTTGTTACCAAAGCAGCAGGGTACCGCCGGCCCCGTGCATGTGGCGCCCGTGCTGGTCGTCCCACAGCGCAGGGGATCGCCTTGAGGTGCACAGCCCGGTGCCGTGGCCCCACCACATGCACAACCTTCCCCCTTGCACACTCCAATAATCTACAAGGCCGGGTTGCAGCGATCCGTTTGAGTGAGTGGAGCCACTGCCAATCACGCAGTGCGGCAATGCCGAGCGCAGCAGACGCACCTGGTTGAACTGCGGTCCCACATAGCAGCCGGCAACAGGGCAGCAACAGGGCTCACTGGGGGAGAGATTTTGGCACAGGCCCTGATCGTTACCCGTGGTACAGCCTTCAAAGCAGGTGCCTGCTGGAGAATTGGCGGTCGGACAAGGCCAGAGACTGCCGTTGGCCTGAAGATCGGCATACGTGGGTGCACAGTCGTTGACCTTGGTCAGATCGCAGCCGGTCGGAAAGCCGAGCTGTGGGTGCTGATAGTTCACAGCCACCACTGACACACACAGCCCCATCAACCACACCGCCGCACTGCGCGAATGCATGGCCGCCATGGCAATCCTTTGATGACTCCACCGCCCTGCACCGCCGATTCAGCAAAAGAGTCCTTTGATGATTTCAAAAACCTGGGAAAATGGAGAAAACGTCGCAAATTTAAAGGAAGATGCAGAAAACATTTGAAACGCAATGGTACTCTAAGGGCTTCTTAAGAAAGATTTACCTTTGTTGATGTTCATGTTTGTGCGGCATTAAGTTGAGTTTTCGCTGCCGCTGGGGTTTTTTTTTAACATGTAAGTAGCTCTCGAGTGTATGTGAGTGTGCGTGAGTGCAGCGTGCCATCGCTGTTGGAGCTGTGAGGGCGACTGAGCGTGGCGGTGTTCTGGCTGGGGCCAGACCTGGATGTTTGATCAAGCTCAAACACTTTTGGGCTGACCACAGCAGCTCAGGGTGCAAGCAAAATGGCCTGAATCAAGAGGTCGTGATCGGTGCGGGTGTGGGGAGGAAGTTGAAACCGCCCACCTAGGGCCCACGGCCTGCTGCCTGGGCAGGATTCTTGTGGTTGTCCAATCAAAATGGGTGCCTCTGCTCCCGAGGCACTGGCTATGCAGCCCGTGCGCTTCGAGTACACTCCACGCAGCCTCGTGCGTGCGCAGGCCCAGATCCATCGTCATCTCCTCGTTTTCGTGGTCGTGGTCATCTTGGTGCACTTGCTGGCCCTCCTGCTCCTCGATCATCTCCTGACGCGTCCCGACTGGCCTCGGTACGTGCCGACAACCACAGGCTTGCCCGGCCAACTCTTGCAGCCTCCTTTTTGTCTTTTGGTGGGGCATACCCCCTTGCCGACCTTTTTGGGGCCCCTGTGGTCGGATATCGCCCTCAATGGCGCGGCTTGTGAATGAGGCCCGACTCATCCTTCTGCCATTTGACTGCAACAGCATCGCCAAGGCACTGGTTGACACCAGTGGACACGCCGGTAGTGCCGGAGCTGCCTGGCTCACGGGCAAGGCTCTTGACTTGATTCGGCATGGGCGGGTGATCCGTGCCCTGCTTCAAGCCATCATCTGTGCCATCCTGGCCAGTCTGATGGACCTGGATCACTTTTTCCACGCCTCGCGCTGGAGTCTTACGGTGTGTGCCACGAGTCTAGAGTCATCACGCATCACCTCTCAAGCACTCACTTTGTCACAGCACAATGCCTGTTGGTTATAGCCGCAGGGAGTCTCACCGAATCGGGCGTGTCGTGCTGCCGGGGTTGCAGGCAGCCACCTCCCTGTCCACGCGGCCGTGGCTACACTCACTGCCAGTAGCCATTGCCGCAGCGCTTTTGCTGAGCTATGTGGCTCACCGGTGCAACGTTGCGGGCGCCCATCGTGACACATTTCTGCTGCCACTGACCGCCGTGCTCACGCATCAACTGCGCGATGCGCATCGCCGAGGCCTTTGGCTCTACCCCTTGGCTGGTGGTGCCAGCATCCCAATCTCATACACATTCTACCTGACTTTTAACGTTGCCATATGGCCAGCCGTGCTGGCTCAGCTGAGCCGCTGGTCCCCCGGCTAGCTGGCACACAATTGCGATGATTATTATCACGGCGCACCGTGTCTTGTCTGGAACGCTCAAAGAGCGCAAAAGGAAAAAAAGAAAAAAAAAAAAAATGTGGGGGTTCCTTGGCGGCTTTGTCACGCTGCGCTGCTTGTTGCGTCCCTTCCCCTTGCCCTTTCCATGGTTGCGTCCCTACGCTCATGCGTCGGGAGCGGGGCTTGAAGATGACTTGAAGCAAGAACATGGTGATGATGATGTTGACATGTAAATATCATTTCGAGTCGATTCGGTTAATAAAGAGTCGGATAAAGATGGCAGGCACAGCCCGCTTAATGCCAGCCTGCACGGCAGGCTTGGCTTCCAGCCTTTATGGGACTGCAAAGCCATACCACTGGCCAGCTCAGCTGGCTGATTGTGGCGACATTATACTTTAACTATGTTTCAGCAAGGAGACATGCCGAGGTGAGGTTGACGAGCTGCCATCAAGTCGTTTGAAGATCACGTCAAACAAGGGAAATAAAGAAGAAGGAAATGTCCGAAGGAGGGAGAGCCAAGACGGGCCATGGTTGCACAAGGCAACGGCCAACGCTTGATTGTATCGCTCAAACAGAATACCCGGTCCCGAAGGACACGGGCTCATTTATCTCCCAGCATCGCTAGCGGGGCCGCAACGATACACACGAGGTGCCAATTGGGCCCTGACTCTAATTCGAGCTGGTGGTGCAACAACCACACCAATCACATCAAACACAGCCACGACACGCCTGACATCTGCCTTACCTCATTGCCACCGAGCCCTCCATCAGTGGGTCAGTGGCGCCAAACCCAGTTGAGCAGCTCTGGCGCCACTGACCCGCTGGCGGACGACTCACTGATGATGTGTGTCGAAGAGGAAAGGAAATGCCACACACACACACACACACACACACGTGAAGGTGGTGAACACGTTATTGACACTTGGTAACAGAGCTGGGGTATCGCTTCTTGTTGATACAGGTTTTTTTCCGTCAATTCCGCAAGGAGGGGGAAAACTGAAAGGAGGTCGGATGGCTTCTTGATGCGCACACTCAGATTATCCTTGACCTCCGTCACGGCACGGTCAATCAAAAGCTCCACCAACACAATAGACAGAACAAAAACAGATCGGCAAAGTGGCTGCCTCAGGGCTTGGGGCATGGATAATGCAACCGAAGTGGGTCCCGACCATTAATCTGTACATAGGAATGGCGTCCAGATGCAGCACAGCAAAGTGAGCTCGCGCGGAGATGCCAAAGGGCTGTTCAATGGCGCCTCAACCAACCCGAATGTCATTGACACGATAGTGTGCGACCATATGGAATAGATACTGAAAGCAGCTGCGGTCAAGGCCCCCCAACATGCAAAGAGACAAGAGTGGCACATGAGCAACCAGAGGACGGGGCTAGAGTCAAATCGCCAAAGTGCACAGCATGCTTTTGAGACGGTAAACTTACGAGGCACCACTTCCACCGAAACTGTATGTCTCCCCCACCTCGATCGGTAGGTGGATAACCGCGGTTTCACTCCTGCAATCACCCACATGAATAAGCGTGCACGACGCCCCGCAGCAATACGACGATGGGGCGACATTTAAGGCGAGCCTGGATCTGCCAGGACAAGAGGGTTGACGTAGGGGAGCCACAGCACACACCGGACACTAAGGGTCAGCCCGTTGGCTGTACGCTGCGAGCGCCTGATCAGGAAGGTGCCGGGCGCAGCTCGGTTCAAACGCTGCTCAGCCACAACACGATCCACAATGTCCCCATGGAACCAGCTGCAGCCGACCCGTGACACACATGAGCTGTGGCCTGTAGATTGACCCGCTACCCAAACTCAATCAAACAGGGTTGTGCTGCCAGCAAACTCGGGCCAAGGACACGCAAAACTCACGCTTCGTGGTCAAAATCGTCGCCATCAACGAGTTCAAAGTAGTTGGACGGGACGCGGCCAATCTCGCCCTGGCTATTCTCAGCCTTCCACCAATTGTGTGAATCATCGAGGACTTGCACCTACATCCACATTCGCATAGGAATGCCACGCGAGCCCAGGCGCCAAACACAGGGGACAGGGCATGTGCGACGGTGTGAGTATGTGCAAGAAAGTCGGCTGTCGGCCTGGCACACGGGCCATGTGGGGACACGACGAGCGAGCTACAAACAATTTCGCTCGTCTTGAAGGATAGCTGAGTGACTTTCAGGCTAGGATCGGCGACATAGTCGGCCTTGGCCATGGCGCGGCGCGGGGGTGCAATTGTCTCGTCGGTGGGTGGCGGGCTGAGAGTGGAGCCTTTGGGAAGGGTGTTGGTGGGTGCCGCTTGGCGGCGCAGGTTGTTCAGCGCCTGGTCCAGGACGAGGCAACGATCAGCAGGAAAGCCACCAGCCTTGAAGGCATCGCCGTTCAGGGTGAGGAGCTTCTTGCCATCAAACCCGTTGCTGTAAATGGCATCCTTAAAGTCTTTGAGGTCGTTCTCTCGGAGCCATCGGAGCACCTCGCCGTTGTTCCAAGTGTTGGGATCCGCGGGCAAGGGCGCTTGGTCGGGCTCCACGAGGACAGATTCCGGTCGCTTCATGGGTACGCGGGGTGGCTGACTCGAGCTTGTTTCCTCGCTGGGCAATGGCTGAGGATCTTCGTAGTCGTGCTGATCGTCCACGTCTTCGTAGTTTGGTTGTTCCAACACGGCAGCAGCAGCAGCCGCCGAGGCGTTGGGGTGACGGGCCGGTAGCGAGGGCGCCGAAGCCAAGGCCTCGGGCAGGCCTGAGTTGGCCCCGTTGTAATTCTCGTAGTCGTGGGCGCTGGCATCGGCTGTGGGGCCAGGTTTGTGGCTGTCGGGATCTTCGTATACTTGCTCATCAGAGGCGGCGCCAACGGGCTCAGAGGCGGCATATGGCTTGGGAACTGATGGGCGCGAGGGAGAGGCGATGGCGACCGAGTCGGCGTCATCGTAAGTGTCTTCCTGTAGTGGGGACGCCGCCTTGCTCGGATCTTCATATGCATCGGACGACACGGCCTGGTCGGGATCCTCATAAACATCGCTGGGCATGCCTATCGAGTGGGCTCAATGAGAAGCAACGGCAGTAGGAAGCGGGACGTGAGACATCAGGGGTGATTTACATTTCAGGCGGGGCTGGGTGTTTTTTCAGACGCGGTTGAAAACAGGGATGGTACCAGAGCTTTGAGAGGCATCGAGGCCATTGATGTAGCCACCGGTTTGTTGAAGGCCTGAGATGGCATCGTCCAATGCGTCATCGGCGGCGGTACCAGGAAGCGGGGGCAGGCCACGTCCATCGATTGAGGAGCGGTTTGATTGGTTCTTTGGGGTGGACACGGCGGCTGGTGGGCCAGCAGGGACTGCAGCAGGAGGGGGTCCAGCCATTGCAACTTCAGCTGCCATGGGGATCTTGGACTGGCTGTTGGAGCGGCGCCGGAACATGCGTCCGATCGATCCCAATCGTGAACGTTTGGTTGTACCTGTGGTGTGCGAGTCAATTGTTGGACAGGGGGCGGTCAGGCATGAGGTGGCTTCATCGACTTTGCAGGGGGTGGCGGCATGTGGCAGGTCTTTCTTCGGGACGAACCCTCATAGGTTTTGATGGCAGAGTCAAGTTTGCCTTTGTGGACGGCTTTGAGACCACAGTCCTCTTTCAAATACTACCACATGATCATTCGAGTGAACGGGGAGGCATGGTGCGTCAGGGCCTCGAGATACGGGGCTGGAGGAGGGATGACAAGGTCGTTGTAGGTGAAGCAGAGCATGCAGGGACAAACCTTGGCCGAGTCGATGATGTCCTTGACCGTTTTGACGCCCTGCTCCACAAAAGGCTGATAATATTCTTCCAGGCCAGCAACTAGGGTGTGCGCACCAGTCGGGCGCGGGAAGGGGACCAAGAACAAAAAGTGCAAGGCGTCAATAGAGAAAGAGCATGACGGTGCCTTTGCCTGTGCGTCGATGGGGTTGCAATGATGGGTGTGCGATCGCAAGCGTCCGGCCTACCTTGCAAAAACTCTTGGACAGTCATGTCCTCCGAGAAGGAGGCATCAGCTGGGGAAAGCAGAGGTTTCCATTGAGCAGCAGCTGTGACCAAAGATGGGAGCAGATGATGCGCGAGGGTTCCACGAGGACGTACCTTTAGCCATGTTGGCGGTTACGACAGTCGAGAGCAGTTGCGTTCACCAAACCAAGCTCTGCAACAGCGAGAAAAAAAAAAAAAAAGAGTGGATTGCCGTGAGGAGAGAGCAGCACAGGTACCGGGTGTCGTTTGATGTCCACCAAGACGGATAAGAGGGGTATGACAACGCACACTAGCCTGATCTTTTCGCACACAACGATGCTTTGAAGACTGCTTGGAATAAAAAAGGGCTAAGGCAAAATATCGAGAGGCGAGCGTTATCTCTGATCGTCTTGATCGCACCAGGTCAAGCCGAAACCCTCCCCCAACAGGGAAGAAAGAGGGCCATTGAACAAGGTATCAACAGGGAGCGAGCAAATAACCCTTTCAGATTGGGAACTGCCCGCCGAGGCACACGCCGCTTCAACCACCAACCTTGCCCTGCGGAGCCCAGCCGAGTCCGCCCCTCGTTGATCCAATTGATGCGTCGGCTCCACAAATCCACACCACCCTCTACAAACCTTTGCCCGGCATCAGCCCAAATGCAAGCCCCTCAACAGAGCCAACCCTCCCCCCATCCACCTCGCCATTCAACCCCACTCGAGTCCAGTCGATCAATCATATCAATCAAAACCACTGACCGGCAAACCACCTCGCGTCGACTCGCGCACCGCAAAAAAAACATAAAAAATAAAACAAAAAGGGGGTTTGAAAAATTAAAAATAAATAAAAAAGTCGCGTGCACATGTGTGTGTGTGTTTCTGTCCAGTCCGAATTATTGAACGTGTGTGTGTGTGTGCTCGTGTGTGTTGCACACTGTGTGCTGATCTCCGTGTGCTATGTGTGTGCTGCACACTGTGTGCTGATCTTCGTGTGCTATGTGTGTGCTGCGTTCTGTGTGCTGACCTCCGTGTGCTGTGTGTGCTGATCTTGGTGTGCTGATCTCGGTGTGCTGATCTCGGTGCTGATCTCAGTGTGCTGTACTTTGTGCGCCGACGTACCTCGCGTGTGTGCATGCTCTGTCGTTCTTAGAACTCTCGGAGCTCTCGCTCAGCTCACTCACAGACACTTTCTCCCCTCGCGCGCTCCTACTGGCCCTGCGCTTTTTCTTCTCTCCTCTTGCTTGTGTCTCAAGTGAGTTTATCCGTCCTCTCTCCAACGAGGCTCGCGAGGAACAACTTTGGCCGACATCATGACTCTGTCACCTCTACTTGTACAAATGGACACCATGATTCCAGTCGACACGCCGTATCAAGCTGTCCAGAGGAGAGTGTCTGTAGAGCCTATCCCCATAGCAGCAATCAACTTCAATCCAGCACCCAGTCAGGGAAACCCTCCACCTCTCTGCCAGCCCTCTTGTTCCTGCACAAGCTGAAGACCAGGTACCGAATCAAAAGAGCCTCCCCCTCCCTCCCTGAACCACCACCACCATCACCACGCCACCGCCACCGCCACTCTCTCTGCCCGCAGCAGCGTCGAAACGCTTTCGCACACACACACACACACACACACACACAACAATGCACATTTTTAAAGTGTAGATCTGACTACACTTTACACCTTCGTCTACTTGGTTAATGGGACATTGGATTTGTCAGACAAATTACAAGGTTGTTTTGGACAATAGTTTCAGCCGTAAAAGTCACCTTTGGATAATTGCCTGTGCAAGACAAGCCCAGGATCGCACAAGTGTGATAAACCCAACACAAACAGCACACACAACGCGCAGTAAGGTGTGGTTTTGGCGGCAAACTTCAACGCGCTGAGGAAAGCGCGCTGGCGCCGAGCAGTGGTCGTAGATGCCGCTCCAGCTCCCACGTCGCTGCCGCCCGCACCCCGCTCGCGCTGCCGTCACCCACCATCACCCTCCCCTCTAGCCCACATCTCAACCCTGCCACCCCCGCCGCCTGCTTTTCGTGATATATTCAGACAAAGACGCTGCGTCCCAGCGCCTTTTTTTCGTAGGCAGCTCTAGAAACACGCACACACACACACACTCTCTCTCTCTCTCTCTCTCACTTTCTTTTTTTCTTTTGTGTGAGAGCGCGCGCGCCGATCAGATCAAATCAAATCGTGTGTGTATGCGTGTATGCGTGTGTATGTCTCTCTCTCTCTCTCTCTCTGTGTGTGCGTGCTTGTCATCTTTGATGGGTCAAGACGTCGCGCAGCTTAGTGACGCCTCACCAGCCGACTGAGAACTCGCGGTCGGGGTGCTGGCTTGCTATTCAAATGCTCTGGTATCGGTGATTGTCGGGTGGTCGATTTGATCCGATTCGCCACGCGCTGCCAGTTTCTCATTGCCACAACAAACGCTCGCCCTTCGCCACTGTCACTGCCCTCGCCTACAAGCACGGACCCGACCCAGGGTGCACCAAGCGACAGCGCCACCCTTGCCTCGTGGTCCAGGCCTCTTCACCAAGCTTCATCCTGCTTCCCTCTGCCTCCTCTCCCTTTCGCCCCCGCTCGCTCCCGCTCCGTCTTCCCACTCCAACTCTTTTCAACAAAGAGAAGAAGAGCCCTTCCTCCTTCAAGCTCTCCGTTGCCTTCGCCGGGAACCTCCCCCACGTCTCAGCGACATATTTGACTCAATGCTCCATGAGTCACAGCAGCGGCCCCCCCGCCGCAGCCGCCAAAATGCTCGAGATTGACAGCTCGCAGCCCGTCTTTCCCGAAGACCGTCTGGCCACCACTCCGGAGCGCCGCGTGCATCATTCGCAGCCCATGCCTAAACGCGCTCGTCGTGGCGCTTCCGCGGCTGTTCAACTCCAGCTCGACACCTCCAACAACACGTCCACCCAGCCGCAGGATGACAGCGACATCGAGGATGCCGATACCCACCCTGACTCACCCCTGTTGGGCCCGGGCGCCCCCCTCTTTGAACAAACCATCAGCTTGCTCCAGGCCCTTCGCACCTCGGACCAAGGCCTCCTCCAGCCCAATGACAACTACCCCGCCCCCGTCGCTGACGCCCTCCAAGGTTCGGCCCGCTCGCCATGAGGGTTCAATTTCTGTTGTGTTGGTGCCGGGCCGCTTCAGCCACTTCCTGCCGGCGAAGGCAGATGCTCCGTCTCAAAGCATGCGTGCTTGTTCTTTCTTACTTGCCGGCTGTGACTTGCATACTCATGCTCGTGTCGTGTGGTTGACCGCGTGCCTGTGCAGAATTGGGTCTCATTCGTCGCCGAACCCGCAACGATGAAGTACTGGAATGGGTCCCCGATGCCACCTCTCCCGAAGGCCAGCGCGTGCAGGAAAACCGCGAGGTGTGCCAAGGCTCGCCCCCACGGCTCCAAGTTTAGCTCGCTCTCGTTTCGCTCATCACCCATCGGTTCTTGACGCTGTGCCAGGATGAACTCAAGTCCTTGGACGATCAGATTGAAAGGCTCAAACTGCTGCATTCCACCTCGGCAGCCAGCATGCGTCAACTTCTCAGCAAACGACAATCCTTGGCCCATGTTGCCAAAAGTGACATGGCTACTCTGGCCACTGTTCGTGATCGCACCGTCTTTATCGTTCAAGCTCCACCGGGAAGCACAATGAGTAAGTGACGGCTCCTTGACCCAGTCTGGCACCAGGTCGGAGGTTCTCCCCTATGTTCGGCCGCTTGCCAGTGGTGGCTCACCGTACCATGCCTTTGTCATTGTCTGTCAGCGGTCCCGACTCCCAACCCATCGACCAGCCAGTTTACACTCCAGATCCAAGGCCCCGGACAGGTGGCCGTGTCGCTGTTGAGCCAAACGCAACCTTCCCTCAGTGATCTCCACGCCGCAGACCCGGACCTCGTCACCAATCCCCTGAGTTTTATGGCACCAAGCTTGGACCAAGCTTGCAGCTCCACCAATGTCGTGCGGTCTCACAGCCCAAGTTCGCAGCTTGCGGCCAGCTCGACCACTGCCTCGACAGTCGACTCGCGAAGTCAAGCGGCCCGGAAACGCCCCAAACCGCGACCCAGCACTCTCCGCTCTGTACCCGATCGGATACTGGCTGCCACCCCGCTCGAGTCGCCACTGCGCGACCCTCTGCGGTCCAATCGCCTGAGCATGGATCCATCCTATCATGAGCAAGACGAGCCCATGCTCTTGTCTCTCATGCTACCCCCGTCCACCGCCAGTGCCGTGCCCGAATTTGCCGACTCGTTACATCATGAGTATCGTCTCACCGACCCGTGCATCTCACTCCTGGACACGTTTGCCGATGAGGATGACGATTTCGCCGAGGATTCCGCGGCTCTTGGCAACGACGTGCCTCGCTCTGCCTGATTCTTGTTCGCTGCCGTGCAAGGAAGGCGGAAGCCGGAAGCCAAGCTCTGCTGCCTGAGCTCTTCTGAACGAGCTCGCTGTGTGTTGTCTGTTTGTCCTGATCCGCAAGGGGCCAGCGAGTGCTTTGTCTGACTGTCCGGTCCCTCTGTCATGTCCTGCGTGTTTGTGTGCTTGGCCAAAAAGCTGCTTGCTGCGCTGCTGTGGCGCTGCTGTCGGGAACACGTGTGGCTACATCCCTGTGACCCGCCCGTTTCTGCTTTCTGGTTTCGTGGTTTTGTGTTTGGTTTGCTCTCCCTCAGCCCCCGCAGTTTTTTTTTTTTTTTGTTTTTTTTTTGGTCCTCTGGCTCGATGATCACAGAGTCATGGATGCCAGTTCCACTTGTTTTTGAATCCGTCCTTTCTTCTTCTTCTTCTCTTTTTCTTTTCCGTGTTCCTTACTTTTTGTTTTCCTTTTTGCTCCTGTCATTCTGCTGATGGAGTTGACTGGTGCCTGTTGAACCGGTTCAACTGTTCTGGGTGTCATACTTGACCCGCTTGATCCCGTTCTTGGTTGTCCGTCCGTTGTGTACTTTGTGTCCCGGGCTCATGCCCTTTTGGCGGTGGCGGGGTTTGGGAACGCGCCCCATCGCCGCATCATTTGACTCGTCTGTGTCAGTTCATGTCTCTGTTTGTTGGTTGTCTTTGGCTCGAGCCACACTGTCCATAACACCAACTTGCGCTCCCATATCACCCAGGCACCTTGCCGGGTTGAACTTCTTTTTAAAATAGAATCTAACAGATACCATTCGTAGTCCAACTCACCCTGCCACATTCAAAAACAAGCCCCCTTTCCCCCACGCTGTTCCTCCTCCTCCCGTCCCGCCGTCCCTCTTCCAGCCACCCAGCCAAATGATCTTCGACCGTATGTGTCTGCCTGAGGATCGATCATATAAACAGTACTTTGCTTTGACACGAAAAACACACACACACACACACACACACACACACACACACACACACACACACACACACACACACACACACACACACACACACACACACACACACACACACACACACACACACACAATAAAAAAAATCGCACAAGAGGCGAACACAACAAGTTCCTCCAAAAATACACACACACACACACACACTCTCTCTCTCTCTCTCTCTCTCTCTCTCTCTCTCTCTCTATCACATTTTTCTTCTCTCGTTTCAGCGAGAGATCTTTATATTATTTTAGCGTCGAGGGCTGTTTGTAGGGTCGGTGTTCTGATATGTGTCATGGCTGCCTGTGTAGATTGACCGTTGAAGATGCAGGTTTTGAGCTTGGCCCTTTTGGGCTTGGCCCTTTTGGGCTTGGCCGTCGCGTTGGCGTCGGCCAAGCCGCTGCGAGGCATGTGCCGCGACAGCCAGCTTGTTTTCCCCGAGGGTGAGCGCATCAGCGCCCCCCGCCCCCACGAGTACATCAACGTCGAGGACCTCCCCACAACCTTCTCCTGGGCCAACGTCTCTGGCGTCAACTACCTGACTCGCAGCCGCAACCAGCACATTCCCGAGTACTGCGGCAGCTGTGTTGCCTTTGCCACCACTTCTTCTCTGAATGACCGCATGGCCATCCTCCGCCGCAAGGCCTGGCCCGAAATCAACCTTGCCCCCCAGGTCCGTTTTTTTTTTTTTTTTTTTTTTTTTTTTTTTTTTTTTTTTTTTGTTCTTTTCCCTTCTTTGGAGAGCTCGTGGGGGTTGATTTCCGTTGGCATTTCTTCAGGTCATCGCTTGAGCTCACCCCCTTGTCAATCACCTGGCCCGGCTGATTTTATGTGATTGTCTCAGGTTCTCCTCAACTGCAACGCCGGCGTGAGCTGCGAGGGCGGCAATGCTGGTGCGTCCCCCTGCCCGCTTCTTCATGATTATGTCCCGCTCCAATGGGTCTCATCTTCGTCAACCTACCTCACCTTTATGCTTTGATAGGTCCCGTTTTTGAGCACATCCATCGTAACGGCGTGCCCGATGAGACTTGCCAGGTTTGTTTTCTTCAACCGTAACCTTGACACTCGGCCTTGACACTCGGTCAAACCGTGCCCCTCACTCGTTTGCACCTGTTGGCCCGCTTTTAGAACTATGAAGCCCGCGATGGCGAATGCACCGCCATGGGCATCTGCGAAACGTGCGACCCTAACAAGGGTTGCAGCCCCATCACCAACTACACCCTCTACTACGTGGCCGAGTTTGGCAACCTCGTGGGTGTGGATCAGATGAAGGCCGAGGTACGCCTGCGCCCGTGACACCGTCTGCTTTCAAGCCCCCTCTCTTAAACCACAAGCTCGGTAGCCGTGCATTCTCACCGTCTGGATTTGGCTGCTAGATTTACGCCCGCGGTCCCATTGTGGCTGGCATTGATGCCACTGACAAGCTCGAGGCCTACACCCATGGCATCTTCAGTGAGGAGAAGATTCTCCCCGTACCTAACCACGAGATCTCCATCGTCGGCTGGGGTGTCGAGGATGGCACTGAGTACTGGGTCGTGCGCAACAGCGTAAGCCACCTTTCAGGCCACAAGGCTTTGCCTGTACCCAGCTTGCGCCCACTCATCGTTTGCCTTGTCTGGCTTGCTCTAGTGGGGTACCTATTTTGGTGAGGAGGGCTTCTTCCGCATCAACATGCACGAGAACAACCTCGCCATCAACTCCCAGCCTGCGTTTGCCGTCCCGGCCTTCCACAAGAACGTCTCCGCCATGGAGCCTTACATCAACCTTGGTGCTGAGATTACCGCTGAACTTGAGGCCCGCGCCGCTGGCCGCCTCTTCATGCACCGCACCGTCGACATGCCTGCTTTCACCTCGCACCAATTCGCCGAAGGCTCCCTCTTTGACCCCGCCACCAAGGGCAAGGCCGTGCGCCACAACGTCAAGTCCAGCCACGTTGTCTCCCCCCTGCCCCATACCTACCTCACGCCCGAGGACTTGCCCGAGACGTACGATCCCCGCAACATCAACGGCATGGACTACACCACCGCCAACCGCAACCAGCACATCCCCCAGTACTGCGGCAGCTGCTGGGCGCACGGCACCACCTCGGCTCTGGCCGATCGCATCAAGCTGCTCCGCAAGGGAGCTTTCCCCGATATTCAGCCCTCCGTGCAGGTCTTGGTCAACTGCGTGACCGCCAACGAGACCCATGGCTGCGAAGGTGGTGATCCCACCGCTGCTCACAACTGGATCTACGAGAACGGTATCCCCGATGAGACTTGCACCAACTACCTGGCCAAGGACGAGGTCTGCAATGCGGCCAACACGTGCAAGACGTGCTCCCCTGAGACCGGCACCTGCACCGCCATCTCTGATCCCCCAAAGCTGCACATTGCTGAGTACGGTCAGGTGGCCGGCGAGCACAACATGATGGCTGAGATCTACGCACGTGGCCCCATCGCTGGCACTATTGCCGTTCCCCCCGCGCTGGAGACTTGGAATGGTCAGGGCATCTTCAACGATACTACTGGCGATGTCAGCCTTGACCACGAGATCGAGATTGCCGGCTGGGGCGTGGAGAACAACGTCCCGTACTGGATCATTCGCAACTCGTGGGGCACCTACTGGGCCGATACCAACTGGTTCTACCTGATCCGCGGTACCAACAACCTCGGCGTTGAGGCCAACTGCGACTGGGCTGTTTGGGACGGCAAGATGCCTTACGTGAACGAGCTTCCCGTGCCCCAGGCATAGACGCCTGTCTGCCCCACGTTTTGCTTCCTCTTCTTCCTCTTCTTCTTCTTTTTCTTCTTCTTCTTCTTCTTTTTTTTCCCAAAGTCAAGACTAGATTTGCCGACCTGCGTTCCTTCTTCTTTTTGGTTGCACCTTTCTTCTTCTTTTTTTTCTTTCTCCTGTTGTTCATACCGCGTGTTACTGCAATTTTGTGGGCTGACCGTTTTTGTATACGCACCAGGCTTGACTATGCAAGGCTGTCGTGATCTTGACCTTTTGGATGGGGTGTGGGTTTGTCTGCGGTTTTGATTTGTTTAATTTTGAGACGGAAAAATCGACGCACAAGCTCACGCATGCACCAAAGACTCGAGCACCTGGCCTTGCCTCAACCGTACTGGCACGTACCATCCAAGAGGATGTAAATTTTTACTTTCACCCGCCAACCGAGGGCACAAAGGTCCTAGTCGTCAAGAAGCCGGCGCTCTTGCGCCTGCTTGTAGAACCTTAGTGCAGCCGCCTGTGCACTCACGGCATCGGGATAGGCTGAGAAGGTGGGTGGTGAGGGTGACGGACCACGGTGATGTCGGTGCAGCTCGCTTTGCTGTTCCGCGATCAAAACTTGGGCTTCCTGCAGACTTCTCTCAAGTTGAGCAATGCGCTCTTGGTCTTGGGAGGCAGCCAAAGAAGGTGCAGCGGCGGAAGAGGCCGATGACCATTGCGGCATGAACATTGAAGATCGCGGGCTCTCTGTCACGGAGCTCTGAACAGAAGACAGAGGGGTACTCATCCGGCGGCTGGCGGGCATCGACCGCGACACGGAGCTGTGAGCTGAAAACCATGGTGTGGGCGTTGAAGGGGTGTAGATACGCGATGTGGCTGCTAGGTCACTGGAAAGGCGCAAGCCTTGAGCATGATCAGTTGAGCGCAGCATGGGGCTTGAAGATGATTGAGCCCGGGCTGTGCTCCGTTGTATAGCAGCTTGCCCACTGGATGAGCGGCGTTCACGCACGCCTTTGGCCGAGAGAGGCGCTTCGACCCTCGCATGAGCGTATGAGCTCGGGCTGCTAGGGGTGGAGGTTCGTCGTGACGTCGATGCTGAAGAAGGCTGGGGCTGATCAATCAGCTGTTTGGCCCGCTCCAAGGCAGTAGCAGCAGGGTCCAGCGCATCGCTGAGCCGATGGCCATTGCGACGAGCGCGTGCAGATAGCCGTTCGCGTTCAGCGGGGTACAGTTTTTTGAGCCAACGGTGAAGCCAGCGCTTATCGGGATATCGGGCACACAGGTTCACAATGTCGCCCAGCTTGAGGATGGCCCAAGGAGTTGAATTGCGACAGAGGCAACACTTCACAGTGGGTTGGTCCACGGTGACAGTGTCTGCTGTAATTTCATTGCCATTGCAAACCAGCAGGACTGGCTCGGGTGGGATATCTTGATGGTTCGCCAAAGCTTCTTGTCGCACCTGTGACCTGATGCTCAATCGAAGGCGCTGTGGTGGTGTCGGCTTTGTTAGAACAAAGCGATGCTGGTCCGGTTTGCAGCCCAGCGTCACTTGGCGTGTCTCTGGCCGGCGCGCGTACGCAGTCTGCCGAAATGGTTTGGGTGGAAACTTTTGAAAGGCGAAACTTGAGGCATCTTCAGCGGGGGCCTGCTGCCCTGATGGCGGACGCGACGCAGCGGAGCGATCGCGGCCCGCCCGATCAAAAGCACCATAAGGTGCGTACGACATGGTCCCAAGGTATTCACGAACCACACACACACACACACACACACACACACACACGTCGTCCCACCAAACAGCTCCCCACAATCACCAGCAACACCACGCCAACGCACCAATACCGCTGCCCTTTCCCAGCGTACCCACCCAGTGTGCGTGCGGTCAGTGCCTCGAAAACTTCGGACTCACAATCACACAAGCAACACAAGGGAACCAGAAGAAATTGCTTGCACGTTTGCTTGGTAGTCCCGTCACAAAAGCATTTATTTCCGTGTTGGAGGCAGTGAAGTCAGCTCAAGATGTATCGCGATGTCGGCTTTGCTCGTGCCAGAAGCGTGCATTCAGAATCACTGACTCGCTACCAGCACATACTGCCCCTGGAACGGATTCGCTTTTTCCAGTTTCCCGATGATCCCGAACCTTCAGAAGACTGGCAGATTGACTACCTAGATCCGGGGTCTTATCGCGTGCAAGATGTGGCTGCGGCGATCGCCGAGATACCGGGTGCAATGGCGGACTGGGACATTTGCCACATCTTTACTCCGCGAAGCAGTCTGATCGCCGAGGCCGTGGTCTTGGCGTACGAGAGGAAGGGCTACCGCTTTAAGCTCCGCCATCACGAAGAGTAACCCTTGCGTCCGATATGGCGCCGCAGTACTTTTTTCTCTCTCTCCCTCTCTCTCTCTCTGTGTTTGTGCTTTTCTAACCAATTCACTACCCTAACTCTCTCTAACTCTCCCAAACTCTCTCAAACTCTCTCATACTCTCTCTGCTGGCTTAAAAAATTACCACAAGTAGGCTTTAATCATCTTCTCTACACACACACACACACACACACACACACACACACACACACACACACACACACACACACACACACACACACACACACACACACACACACACACACACACACACACACACACACACACACACACACACACAGAAGATGCGGCGGCGAGAGCTGGTCGAGGCGTTGATTGGGGCGATGGCCATGGCACAGGCAGAGGTGGTGGCGGGTGGAGCTTCTTCGCTGCTGTGTGATCTCTGGGCACAGCTTACTGCCAACGAGCGAGTGCCCTTGGTCGCCCCCTTGATGGCTCGCTTTGATGCCTGGCTCGACGCTGAAGTTGGCGCACAGCATGATCCACCCACGGCAGCCAGCTGGCCGCTTATGCCCCTGCTAAATGTGCTGGCCGCCCGCGTCGTTGGTCTCTTGACCACGGGTCAGGCACCTGAGCTACATACCACCCAAGCTGAACTGAGTGCTCTTCAGACGAGCGAAGCAAGCCATCTGGATGCAACTGCCCAACAACAGGTTGGCCCGGCACACACCTCCTGCATGCCCACATTGCCATGGCACCACTGACTGCCTCCCCGCTTTTAGCTCCGGGACCTTGGTGCCCTGCCGGCCACGGCTGCGGCGATGCAGGATGCTGCTCGCATCTGCCTTGGCATCAGCTCCTGGCCGCTCTTGCGCATGCTCCTGGGATTACGCACTACTCAGGGCAGCCTACCCCTGCTGCCCCCACCCCTCAGGTACGATGCCTCGTGCTTGAGACCGTCTCCTTATAGCAGGTGCTTTGGCTATATGTGGACTTGTATGGGTGGACCCGCTTATGCAACCCCTGAACCAGTGTCTGCCTTGCCACCTTCAATGCGCTTCACAAGCCCGACTCGGCCGCTCGCTTGAGCCAAGGGGCCCGCGCTCTGTCCAAGCACTGCCACCGCGACACCTCGTCCCAGTTTTGGGGGGTCGCTCGTGGACCTGAACCGGTACGTGTGCCAAACCAACCATCCTCACCTGCACTGATCGCGTTGTCCCGGGCCCTCTCTCGCCTGCGCCACAGGACCTGTTCTTCCCTTGATGTGAGTCTGTCATGCGCCAGGCCCAAAATGAACATGCCCTTGAGGTGCTGGCCCGACTCGTCACCAACGTGGCTTGGATCAACGTGCATGAGCTGCCCCACGCCACGCAGGTCTGTATAGCATCCGCCTTGCCAACTCGCCCCGTGCTCCCACACGGGAGCTAGCTCTCTCCAGGCCTCTGATCCCCGCTCTGCGTCTGTCTGGCCACGGGCAGGTCGTTGAGATTCGCAATGCCGAGGGCTATGGCATGCGCTGGTCGGCTGATGGACGAGACTTTCGTGGTTTTCTAGAGCCACAGATGGTCGATGGTCATGAGCAAGGATGGCGCCATTGAGCCGGCGCCGCAACTAACAGACTTTTTTTACCAGATGCCCACTTGACCGATCACTGTTTTAATCGACCGATATCAATTTTCAAGAAACAAACGTCCCAAAGGCGCTGCGCTGTCCACCCCATTTGGCAGGCCTGCACATCAATACAACTGTCGCTTCATGCCTGATGGATCAAGAGGTCGTCAGCACCAACACATCAAGCGGTGCCAGCGCAACGGTGGCGTTGACTTTGTCGCCCGTCCACGCATCGTAAAAGGAGAGATTTTGGCCGCTGCTGGATGAAACCGTTGCCTCGATCGTCGCGTTGAGCACATTAATCAAGACCACCGCCTCCGCGCTTGCGCTGAAGCACAATAGGCCAAACACGTTTGAGAGCTTGCCCTCACCAACGACTGCGACGTTGTCAGACGAATGCTCGCCCGTCGGCTGCGTACAGCGCAACGCAGGAGAAGCGGGGCCGTGGGCCTCGAAAAATGACACGAGCTTAGCAAAGGCCGAGGCATCAGCAAGGCCGTCCATCACAAATGTGGGCAACGAGGCCAGCTGAGCCAGTTCATCAAGCGTAAATGTCTGATTGTGCAATGAACTGTTGGTGGCCAACACCAGGTGCGCAGTACCCGCTTGATGCAAGGCTCGCAAGCGCGGGGGTAGGGGCGCAAAGGTACACAGTGCTGGTGGCAGTACGAGCATGGAACCCTGGATCTTGGTGGTCAGGTCCGGGTCCGACTCATATGCAAAGCCCACATTCAGGCTGGTCATGGCCAACAGGCTGTACAAGACTTGCGTAAACTCCATGTAGCCGGGCGCCAGGATCGCGGAGAGCTCTGAGAAAAACAAGTAGACCTGGGGCTTCTGCTGACGAATTGGGGCGGCGAGATGACCGAGCGCTGAAACCTCTTGTCCAGCCCGTACAAACGTATCCAAGAGTTGTGGTTGGTTCAGTTGGCTGTACGCAAAATCGGCACCTGCAAACTCCCGCGACATTTTGGGCGTGGCCTCCCAGTCGGCTACCACGACGGTGCGCCAGATGCACAGTCACCACCAAACACCCGATGTTAGCTGCTGATGTTGCGCACGGTCTCTGCTTGCCCCGCCTTGTATCCCATCTCTGCTCGACACCTCGATGCACGCACATGCCCCGCCCGTGCAAAATTGCTTACCTCGACCCCAATACCAGGAGGTCACGAGCGAGAGGCCATGTAGCGAGCCCAGCCAGGTGCAGGCGCGCACGTGCTTCCAGGAAATATCGGGGTTGCGGAAGGAGACGGTGCTGATGACATGCCATTCCGAATCGATGACTGGTTTGACCTCGGTTGAGAGTTGCTGCATGGCGCGATAGCTAGCGGTGAGAGTGACCCAGTCCAGGGCGTACGTGTTGGGTGGATACTGATTCAGTGTTAGGTGGGGCTTGCTGCTGGCTTGCGCACGCGTATCACAATCGTGCATCTCCATGAGCTGACCCAGAGCTTGGCGGTCAATGCCATTGTAGTGGTGCGGGCCCAGGAGGGAATCGCTGTTGGTGGTTTTGACGTGAAGCTTGGCTCGGCCGCCAGCGGCGTCTTGAATGACAGTGTGAAGAAAAGTGTAAAAGTCCGTCACGCGCAACATGTTGAAGCGCTCCCAGACCAACGTCTGGGCCTGGCCAAAAGCAAGGGGGCTCATGGCCTGAGCAATGCGCGGGTCGTCAAAGCTCGAGAAGTTGGTATGCCACTGAGAATTGAGCAGCGCGATGCTGTTGTTATACGAGTCCTGCAAAAAGATGACAAACTTGGCCAGGGTATAGCTCGAGTTTGTGCGTTCGTAGCCCGGCTCGTTGGCGAGTAGCATGTCCAGTAGTGCCGGCTCCTCAATGATGGCGGGCATGAGCGCGGAGAGGGTTTGGTTGAAGATTTCTCGAACGACGGGGTGGTCAATGTCATAGCTGCAAAATTGGTTTTGACCGGCATCCCGGTTGATTTCGGGGTACATGTCCCGTGCCCATGCTGGCATGGCGTATGAGGTTGGGCTGTTTGAGCCGCCCTGCCGGCCGTTGGACATGGTAAGCGAGGCGAGTCGTCCTTGAAGACCTTGTGCCACCACGTTCGACTTGATATTGCTGATGGCCTCCTGCGATATATTCCACGGCGTAGGCATAAGTTGGGCGACGTTGAACCCCACCCCGTACGTATAGACGCCGAGTGCCCGGGCCATGGCCGTGTGCTGAGGATTGTTGTCCAAACTTGGAGCCTCGTTGTAGCCCGTGAGCAGAAGGGGCTCACCGTGGACGTTTTGAAAGGCGCCCGTCGTGCTGTTGAAGGTGATGGGCATTGTCAGGATGGGAAGGTGGGGGCGTGATCCACCCTGCGCCATGCGGTTGCATTCGTCCACGGCACGCTGCAGCACACCCTGGAGCTGTGTGGCCTCGGTTAGGGGCACGAGCTGGGCGGCGCTTATGTCTTGGTCCGTGATGTTGGGGTGGCGATTGAAAGCGGCGATGCTCTGGGCCAGAATCATGGTGTGATTGGTGTCAAAGGGAATGTATTGGGAAAAGAGCTGAGCGGTGGCCAGTGTCGTGTTTTCGGGCTGTACGGAGACCCCAGCGCGGCTGAGATTGGCCGTACAACTGACCAGCGTCTGCTGCAATGTCTGCACTCTCGCCAGCCGAGTCTCCAGCTCTGTCGACTGCTGAGCTGCAGTCTGCAGCGTCAACCCAAGACAAAGCAGCAACCAGCGGGAGGCAACCCCGCCCCGCCTTGCCCGACGCTCCTGCATGGCCGTCAATGGTGCAGCCAACAAGCAGGCACAGGGCCCCCGCCCTCGAGATGGCAGTGATCAGAGCAACGACCAGCGTGATCGAGATCGCTCCTTGTCCCAAATTTGTGAGCCGGAAACATCAACATTGCTTATCTACATTAACCAGTATTTTATCTGCGAAAACTTACATTGTTTCTGCTAATGATAACTCATAAACTCTCACTTCATCAGCAACTTCTCACCAGGCATCGAAATGTCCTCACAGTGCGACCATATTATCTGACAACTGATGATACGACGATTTTAACCGGTTTCACCAAGCTTGCCCGGCTCAGGCAAAGGTTACGCATATCAAGTCTAACGGGTTAAGCATGCATTGCTCGCCCTCACGTGAGCAATATATACACACACACACACACACACACACACACACACACACACACTTCTCGCTCTCTCTCTCTCTTTTGCGCGCGCGCTCGTACTCGTGCTCACGGCCGGGCAGCGGCTGCAGCAGCGAATGGTACGCAAATGAGCACGGCAGGGACGTACTAGAGGTGGTCAGTGCCGAAGGATTTGTGGGCTTCAAGTCCTCAAGTATCCGCGGGCGTGGGGTGCTGGTGAACTGACCGGAACACGCCAAAAGCCAGCGTCTCCTCTAGGGGAAGGGGGCGGATCGTCAGCTCGGCGGCGGGCGAACGCGAGGGTCGACAAGACTGGTTTGAGGAGGATCACCGTCTGCACTACACCCGAGGCAAGATGGATCGGCAGCTTTATCCGCCACGCCAGCTCTATCCGCCACGGCAGGGCTACAGCAGCGGGGCAGAGAACGCAGAGAGCGCGATGCCCATGGGGCATATGGACGCCGTGAGCCAGCGATATGACGAGGATGGTGCCAACAGCAGCTTCAACGGCCGCAAGGCCACTGATGCGCGAGCTCAACTGGGACCTGATAAGCCTGCACCGGCGCGGGACCGGTACAACCCGATGAACAACCTGCGCTCGATCGATGGCATGGATCGGCGCCAAATGCTCATCCCCCCGGTTATTTGCACGCTCGTCACTTGGAGCTTGATTTACTATCAATGGCACCTCTTCCACTATGAGCGCCTGATTGACATGAGTGATGAGACCTTGGTCCTGCGGTATCATTGGTGCCTGGTGGCCAGCTTTTTTGTCTTTTTGCAGCAAATTGCCATTTGGCGAGCCCATCTCACCGAGCCAGCCCGCTTGCCAAGCCCGGATCAGCTCTTATATAACGGCCGGCCGCTGTCCGAATTGCCGCCCCCTGATAGCCCGGGTGCGCCGCCACACCTCACGCGCTGTGATCGGTGCGACCGACCTCGGCCACCCCGGTGCCACCACTGCCGGGCTTGTCGCGGTTGCATCCTGACCTTTGACCACCACTGTGGTTTTCTGGGCACGTGGTGAGTTGACTGCTGGCGCCTGGGTTGAGCTGGCTGCTCAGCTTGATGAATTTGCAGGGGAAGGGAGTGAGGTTGCCACACTAACCGCTGATTCTCACGCACGACGTTTGACCTTGTATCCTTGGCTGCCAGCATCAACGCGTTCAATTACAAGTACTTTTATCACGTGTGCCTCTACAGTTTCACGTGCACGGCAACCTGCTTGCTGGTGATGGCCTATTCAGGCATTTTAACTTGCTTGGTGGGCCAAAACCTGGCTTTTATCTGGCACCTCTTTTTCGAATCGGACGTGCCTCTTGTGCAGTCTTGGGTGGCGTACGTTGTCTCGTTTTCGTGCCACGCTTGCATGTGGATGCCCAACCCAACGACCGCTCGCCAACACTTGCTGCTGGTTTCTCACTCAATGATCCAAACCGTCTGTTTCTCCTTCCTCTTTGATGGTCATGGTGTGCTGATGGGAGATAGGCGCGCGCATCGCGAGCTTGGTTTCCTGGAACTGTTTTATCACACCTTGAACATTGTATTTATGACGCTCACGGCCATGGGCACGGGATTCATGTCGACGGTCCACTCGCTCATGATCTACCGTGGAACCAACACGTTGGCTGTCATGAAGCAAATGGTAAGCTTTCAGTCGCCTGGCCGGGCTCCTTCGCTTTTTGTCGGCAAGGGGCGTCTTGGGCCAGGGTGCAAGTACCTTTTTTTTCTATTGTTGCTCTCATGCGGTTGCTCGCTCTTGTGTGCATCGGTCCCTCCCCGCAGGATGCGACCAATGATCGGGACACAACGTGTCGGCAGCTGTTTCACGGACAAGCGCGTCCACCGCCGGGCTCTAGCGCAAATGCCTCGGCGTATGCGCGCATCTCTGCCGTCATGGGACGCCACTTTTACCTGGTAAGTGCCAGGTGCAACCTTGAGCGTTAAGGGCGAGGGCGAGCAAGCTGATGGAAAGCATATCGCAGACCTGGTGACCGGCTGCCTCACGCCGCGATAACTTGCGCGCGGTAATTACAGTGGTGGCTGCCGCACTTACTGCAAAGCGACAAACGACGCATGTTTGCCATGGCCCTGTGGCCCTTGGAGCTGCGGCCCGAGAGCCATCGCGCCGTGTAAATTGGGAATCGGCAATTGCCATGGGATTTCCCGGGCACCTTGTAGGCTCAATCAGCAATTGAAGTCATAGGGTCATACCGTACACAGGAAAACGCTGCATCCTAGCCCTGGTCCCATAACAGCAGGACTCGCCGTGTGACCGGGCAGTGTGGGGCAACTCCGAAGGAATCAGCTCCGCGGAGCCTTGCCTTGTTCCCCAAAGCCTTTTGTTACAGCGCTGGTATCCTGCAGTTTATGTTGGTAAAAGATAATTTGCTGAGGATTTGTTACCAGGTACAAACTGAGTTTCTGACGACTTTTATGGAGTTTATGCAGACGGATCGAGCGCTGTTTTGCTGATGACTCCAGGTGGGTGTCGAGGGACCAGCTAGCAGCACGTCAATCACCGTCATCGATGGACGTGCTGGCATGGTGCCAACCTCCAACCTCAAACAACATTGAGAGCGTGTGTGGGGTGGTGGTCTTGTTCTGGGGGAAGGGGAGGAGGCTCCCACTCAGCTGTCGTGAGGACCTGGCTTTGTCTAGGCCCATCACAGTGCACGCATGACCTTTTCGGACCCGAACGTTGCGTTGCGGCGGTCTGCTTCCAAGACCTGCCAAGCGTGTCCGGCTCCGACGTGCTGTCCACACACACACACACACACGCACGCGCACACACATCGGAAACCACTTCCACTCGCATCGCGGCATCGTGGGTGGCCAGTGGTGGTGGGAGTGACTTTTTTTTTTTTGCAACTGGGAAATCACACACACGCGAGTCAAGATCCATGATCCGAGTTGGACATCAACGCTTGATCACGACAGAACACCAACACCACGCGCGCTACTTGAGCGGCAGCCTTCTTGTTCAGACTCACTCGATCTCTTTTGCTTTCGGTCCTGCTCTTGTGGTTGCCCGTACACGGGTTTTTGCCTCAGTTGAACCCTGAGCATACCTGCAACATGGCGCAAGAACAGCCGACCAACTATGGCGAGCAGTGGTTTGCCGAGGCTGCCGAACGCTGGGGTGAGATGCCCGTCGTCATCGAGTGCAACCTCAACGCTCTCAAGGAAATGGAGACCCAAATCAACAAGCGGGGCCTCGACTGGAAGCAGCTCTCCGTCCTCGAAGTGGGCTGCGGCGCTGGTGAGCGACATGTGCTTGTCACCCCTGCCCCCCTGCGTCCTCCTTTCCTTGCCCATCCTCTTTTGTCATCATTGTCATAACGGGACAGGCGTGCTTTCGCTGGAGCTTGCTGCCCGGGTCAAGGACGTTCTGGCTGCCGATCCGTCTGCAGCCATGATCGCAAAGCTCAAGGAGCGTCAGGTACGATCCGCCCGAAAGCACTCTGTGGCATCGACGTCTGTTTTGTGGAGAGAGGCGAGGGAAGATGGGACACGATTTTTTTTATCACGCACCTCACTGCGGCTCGTGCTAATGTGATGACATGCATCGAACATTTTGCCGACAGGCCAAGGCGGGTGTCACGAACGTCGAGACGCTCAACGAGGCCATTGAGCGCACCGAGCAGCTTGAGCCAGCCTCGCGAGACATTGTGGTCATTTCCCTCACTCTGCACCATGTGGCCAAGGTGGAGGAGCTCTTGGCAGCTGTGCGCCACTGCCTAAAGCCCGGTGGCCTCTTCTTCATTTTTGACTTTGAGCGCATGGAAGACCAATCCAACTTTCACGATGACTTTGATACCACCGTACGTTGACGTTGCTTCTCGCAAGACTCGGCCGTGACTTGAGCGCGCCGTGCATCCCGCCAGTCACCCTCTTGACACTTGTTGTTTAGGCGGCCGGCGTCCACCACACGTCAGGCTACGACCGCGCCCTGCTGACGGAGATGCTTGCCCCGCACGACCTCAAGGTGGTGCACGCCGAGGTGGGTTGCGCGTCCCGAGATGAGGACAAGACCTATTGAAGGAAGCCTTGATGATCCCGCGCTTTTGCTGCCTGCTTATTTGCGTGAATCCCCCCCCCCCTTTTTTTTTTTTTTGCACATTTGGCTAGAAATCCTTTATGATGACCATCCCCAAAGAAATGATGGACCAAGCCAAGAAGACAGAGTCAGAGGGTCACGGTCATGAGCATGGCCACAGCCACGGCCATGGACATGGTCATGGTCATGGTCATGGTCACGGCCACGGGCATGGCAACACTGGCCCCTTTCCCATCCTTTGTGCCGTAGCAGAGCGTGTGTAGAACCATTTGACCAAATCTCTTCTGAAACTGAATTAACATGTAAAAAAAAAAACACTCTCCCTCGCTCATCTCACACCTGTCCGAGCGCTCATTCAAATCCGCCCGTCCTGTACACACGCGCGCATCGTCCTCTTTGGCTCCGTCTGCCATCACGGCCTCCCCAACTCCTCTTTTCCTTCATCTCAGCCCTTCTCTCTTTCTCTCTCTCTCTCTCTCTTCTCCCCGCATCCGTGCCGCCTCCTGTTCATCCCAACCCCCGTAGCCATCTTCTCTCATAAATGAACAGCTTCTCATATGAGCGCTATGAGCTTTGAGTGAGAGAGAAAAAGTCATTCTTGAAACTGTTTGCCTCTCTCAAACTCTCTCTTGAACTCTTGAACTCTCTCTAAAACACACACACACACTCTCTCTCTCTCTCTCTCTCTCTCTCAAACTCTCTCAAACACACTCCCTCTCTCTCTCTCTCTCTCTCTCAAACTCTCTCAAACACACACTCTCTCTCTCAAACTCTCTCTCTCAAACTCCCTCTCAACTCTTTCTCTCTCAACTCTTTCTCTCTCAACTCTTTCTCTCTCAAACTCTCTCTCTCAAACTCTCTCTCTCTCTCTCAAACTCTCTCTCTCTCTCTCCCTCTCTCTTGCCAATGTGCACTCGTGCACCGGAAGTGTGTGTGGTCCAGTTTCAAGCTCGCGCGTTGGTCTTCCAGTGTCGGGTGGCGGACCGGGTTCCTGGTAGCAGGGGCCTTTGCAGATACAGAGTCAAGCGGATCTTCAACGGCTGGTCCACGGGCTTGTCGACCTGCCACTGTCAAGAGCTCTCTGCTTTCGAGTCGCACACCGATCAAGCCGTTGGTGGGCTCTGCTCGTACGTACATGCACCCATGCCACCTCCCGCTGAGAACACCCTGTCCCCCGGCCTGGTATCCATGGCCACACCTCCAGCCCATTTCGTTCCACCTTGTCGTGATCCATTGATTCGTACACCCCCGAGCCATCGCCCCAGCCTCAGTGGAGCCCTACGCACACACCCCGTTTGCATCCGTGTCCAGAATCTTTTCTCACGAGGTGTCCCAAAAAAATAAATCGCAGCTCACCGCCGCCATGCCTGAAGCGATTCGCACCTCCTCCATCGCCCTGAGCATGGTGCTCGGAGCGGCCCTCTCCGTCTTCTTGGCATATCTCCTCTACACCAACTATTTGGTCTGGCATAGCTATCTTCAGGTCCGGTTCTGGCGGGCGGTGCCGTGCTGTGCCCGACCCCAGCACCCGACTCCAACTCACAGCTTTGGTACACAGGTGGTGTTTTGGTCCTTTCTCATGGCTCAAGCTCTCCGTCCCCTCAAACTGCGCATCGTACGTGCCACTGAGCTCAGCCCCGCCCCCAGACCATGCACGCATCCTTCCTGTTTGTGCCATTCATGCCTGTTGTTGCTCCGACCACGGCCATGACAAGCGCAGGTGAGCTTTTTGGCCGAACTGCGACAAGACGATGTGGCTCCGTCCAAGAGGTTCGGTCGAGACCAGTCAAGTCCTTGGAAGTTCCCCGCCGCTCCTTTTGCCGTCTGTTGCTATGGTCAAATGACATGCTTTGGTTGGCCTTAGGGAGCGCTTGCTCATCAAAGTGCAAAGCATGAGCACCGAGGCGATGCAGACGGCGCGTGAATCACACAACATTGCCCGTATCATGGTGGCCCAAAGCTTTCTCCAGTTCTCTCTGCTCCTGGTGGTTCGTTCCAGCCAATTAGACACGCCATACACTGATGATTGTCTCTTGCACAGCAAGCCTCCCTACCCGCCATCACAAGCACCATCATCGCCATCAATGTTCTGCGCGCCTCAATCGCACCTCTGCTTGTGTCATGTGCACAGATGAGCGCCATCGTGCATACCACAGGCTACGTGGGCCTGCTTTCCCTTCTCGGCATTTTTGCCGCCATTTGTATGTGTCCTTGGCAGGTGTACAAGCAACTCACTTCTGCTGCAGGTTTGACCTCACACGCCAAATGCTGCCCTGCCCTGGCCCCACAGTCGTGCTGATGGGCTACCTGCTAGACGTGCAGCTGCTGCGTTTGCACCACTACATGGGTCTGAGCGATAATGCTATGGTGACACTGATCCTGAACATTGGTGTCTCTCTTCTTCTCGTCTTTGTCGTCGTCTTTCTCGGCGTTCAGAGCCTGTTGGAGGGTGCCGGAGCCATCGAAGGCGCTTACAACTGGATCCAGACCTACATTGACGGTCTGTCCCTACTCTGGTTTTCTCCCCGAGCCATCACGATGACCCTTGGCTTCAGCCCACCCGAACCTCATGTTCCCCTTCCCCTACCCTCTTCCCCCTTCAACTGCCCCCGAATGCCACTGTGCCCAACAGCCAAGGAAGGCAATCTGCACAATGACTTGGCCTCCATCTCCCATTACATCGAGCAAGGCTACGAACAGGTGGCAATGCAGTTCAACGAAACAGAGTGGTGGCCCGCTGCTGCTCGCCTTGAAGCTGCCGTCCGCACCAATACCAGCATGACAGCAGCCGTCATGGATAGTCGTGACATCTTGGCTGGACTCTACAACAACACCACCTGGTGGCCCCTCTTTGATCGCATTGTCACCAGCAGCGCCGCGCCTGCCACCGCCAGGTACACTTGCCACTGGCCCAGCGCCCTCGCCCTCATCTGATACTCCAGGCACGCATATCAACTCGTACCACGGCATGCTCTCGTTTGGTGCTCGCTTCCACACTGCAGTGGCGGCACCATGTCTTTGTGGAAGGACATGTCCATCCTGCAGGAAGCTGCCATGACCGTCATCAACGCCCTCCAGGACCCCGTGGGCTTGGGCTTGCAGGTAAATCTTCTCGCGTTGACAGCCAACACCACCAGTCAAATGACACGGCACGTGTTTTCCTCGCCGACATTCATCCCCGCATAGTTTGCTTTGACAGCCAGCAACTTTCTCCTCAAAATTGGTGCATACAGCTCCCAGCTGGTGGCGTTCTTCATCTTCTTCTATGAGATGACTTCGGCCGAGGAGGACCCACTCGAGAGCGTGGTGCGCGTCATGCTCCCAGCTAGCCCACGCTCCCGCGACCGCATCTTGGGACAAATCCAAGCGGTATGCCACCACGCTTGCTTGCTTCTGGTGCTTGTCCACCCGGCGCGTTTGGCAGACAGTGGTGGCCCATCCAACTCACGCGGTTGTGGTGCCCGCATGTCCACAAAGGCCATTGTGGCCTCGTTTCAAATCCCCCTGGCCATGGCATCCGTCCATGCCATGATCACGCTAACCAGCTATAGCCTCTTGGGCATCCCTTTCACTTACTTTGCCACCTTCTTGAGCTTTTTCCTCTCCTTAACGTACATTGTCAACCCACTGGCTGTGCCGGCAATCTGGGCGTGTGCCATCGGCGTACCGCCACTCATCAGTGAGTTATACTCCCATCTAACACCCGGCTCTGGGCTGCGTTCAGAGTCATGAACAAAGGGCCCTGACAGTTTCGCCCATGCTCCTCTTGTAGCGGGCACCAATTACTTTGCGCTCCTGCGTGGCTTGTTGCTCCTGGCTGCACACATCCTGGCCTATTCCTTCATGGATGCGCGCGTTTTTCAGCTCGAGGAAGCCCGGGTACGCTTGCTAGCTTGGCTTTGATTGCAAGGGCAAAGACAACAGCTGATTGAGCGCGCTGCTCAACATGCTTTCGCTTCCATAACCACCCTTGACGGCAGGGATTAACACATAACCCTGGGCTGACCATCTTCGCCGTCGTGCTTGGCTACTATGCCTTTGGCACCCAAGGGCTCATCGTCGGGCCCCTGGCATTCTACCTGCTCACCGTCATCTACAACCTGGTTTGTGGACACCCCAACTTGCACCCCGCGCCTTTATTTTCGCTAGCTTACTCCTTCCCTGTTCCGCTTCGGCAGCGCTTGCAAGTTAGCCACGAACAGGATCGCCGCAACAGCAGCCGCCGCAACAGCAGCAGCAGTGGCCAACCACAGAGTCAAAAACAAAGCCAAAGCAGTACGGCCACGCCGCTGCCCAAACCATCTCAGTCCCGTGATGTGCCGCCTCATTTTACCAGTGACTCTGTGGAGACGCCTGCCAATGGCCGTTCCATGACCAACTCCCCTACAGTCTCAGCCCCCACCATTCGTGTGCCTCCTGCCACGGTCAAAATGGCAAGCTTTTAGCAGGTAGAAGTCTTGATGGTTCAAAGCTGAGGTGGTCCGTGCTTTGCAAAGTGTTGCCCAATCCGAAAGGCGAGAGCCTGTGCTCAAGCATGTTGCACGCCATTTACAAAGACGAAACTGCAATGAAAATCGAATTCTTTCCTATTTTGCTCACGAAACGTTCGACTCGCACTTCTGACGGGGAGTTCGAAGGTGATTGCTGATGCAAAGCGTCACAAAAGGGCAAACACTCAAGCCTGGCCTTGCTGCCCACCGATGTACTCAACATAAGTTAAACATTCAATTGGGGATTTGATACTACATGTACTTTACAAGTGCTGTCCTAATCAAGAATCCGTTGAGTGAAGATTGTTGTCATTTGAGATAAAAACAAGAAACCAGTGGGGTTGCAACAGGACGAACACGTCCACTTGTCTGTAAGCACGAGCAATGCTGAAGACACGGATATCATAACTTTTTAGCCCTTCGCTCTTGAGAGCCTCAAATCTCCATGTCATCAAGGGCAAAATCGTAAATGGTGGCGTCACTACTTTGCAAGTCGATCGAGGGTGCTGGCTGAGCATGGCGGTCATAGACAGTGGCCCGGCGTCCGCTGGTGTCATTGGCAACGGGAAAGTCGTACACAGCCATGGGGCCCAAGCGACCAGTTGTGGCAGGTCCAGCAACCTCATAGATAGGCCCCTCTGCGTTCTTGCTTTCGTTGGCACGAAAGACCTTGTTCGCCATGAGCGGACCCTGCCAAGACGAGCCAGACGCGCCGTTGTGAGGCGACGGCAGATTTTGTTGTAACAGGGTAGCAATGGGCATTCATAAGTCATCACACATACCTCACTCAGCATTTGACCATTGGCTTCGTTGTCGTAAATGTCGTCACCGCCGAAACGGCTCTCGTACATGTCGGCACCCATCCAGACCCCAACGCCACTGGAGCCACGCGCGGGCGCTCGGATGCCCGAGCCTTCGCTTTCGTCAGACAGGTCGGCAATCGACTCGTACAGCTCCTCGCTATCGGCCTCAGGTACGGCCGTTGAAAAGTTCTTTTCCTTGATCATGTCCGTCAACAGATCCACCAACTCACCAAACGTGGGTCGATCTTCTGCTTCCAGCGACCAGCACATGCGGGCAATGGCGTCGGCTTCGGCAGGGGCCTGACGTGGCGTGGGCAAACGATAGCCCTTCTCCAGCAGATTGAAAACATCACCGTTGCGGTACTCTTTGTATGGGGTTCCTCCCAGGGAGAAGATTTCCCACATCGTCACACCAAAGGACCACACTGCAAAGTATAGAGCACGGGCAATGCCATAATTGGTGAGTTGTGGCAGCGATCACAGCTGGGCTAGGCAAGCGTGAAGGGGCAACGCAAACGCACCATCAGACTTGGTAGTGTAGATGCGGTCCGCCAAGCTCTCTGGAGCCATCCACTTGACGGGCAACTTGGTGGCTGTGGTCTTGTATTCTTCGCCTTCGATGTTGCGCGCCAGGCCGAAATCGCTGATCTTACATTCGAGCTTCTTGCCCACGAGCACCTAGACAAATTGGCACAAGGATCCCAGGCAGCGCGCACGCCAGTGAGCTTCAAGCAGGATTGCATGCATTCATGACTCGAGCAAGATTGTAGAATAGCACACACAAACAGCAGACATTCAAGACACAGTGTTTGATACATACGTTGCGGGCGGCGAGGTCACGGTGAATCACGTTTTTCTGTTCCAAAAAGGCCATGCCGCTGGCAATCTGGAGGCAAAAGTCGACCATCTGGCTCACGTGAAGGGATTGCGGCTTGCTTCGCGACGCCCGACACTCACGCAAGTAGTCGCGCAGGTTGCCCAAGTCTGCCAGCTCAACCAGTAGAATATACGGCTCCTCGCGCAAGCAGTGCCCGATGATGCCAATTACATTGGGGTGCGCCCCAATCTCCTTCATCACCGTCATCTCTGACAAAAAGTCTTGACGCTCCTCGAAAGGCGCTCCTGGTTTGAGAGTCTTGGCCGCACACCCGCGCTCCTCACCGCTGTGGCGGTTGCGAATCCAAGCCCGAAACACCTCGCCAAAGGCACCATTGCCAAGTTTCTCGCCCAGGCGCACAAACTGCCGCTCCACTTCCCAAATGTCCGCATCGCGGACCTCCAAGACCGCGTACAAGTCCTCGGATGTCGTGGGTGTCACAGGTTTTTGCTTGCGGCGGAACAGAATGAGAACCAAAAGCAAGAGTAGCAAAATGGCACCACCAGCTGCGCCACCAATCACCATTGAAGTGGATGCATCTGACGCGGTCGATCCCTGACTTGTGCCCGAGCCCACGGTATCTACCTCGCAATCGGTACCCGCGAACCCTTCGTCACACTCGCACTCGTATTCAGAGGTTGCCGGGTCCAAATCGGGGCTGGCGGCACCGGGCGTGCAGGTGCCATGACCGTTGCAACGGCCGTCGCAGGCAGCGTCCAGAATCGAGCATGTGGGGCCGCTCAGGCCGACGGCACACTTGCAGCGCGCACCACGACGTGACACCTCACATTCGCCCCCAAACTGACACGGGTTGGGGTTGCAGTAATTTTGGCAACCGATGCTGTTGGCTCCCGTTTGTGCATCACCCGAATAACCCGTGGCACACACGCAGCTCACCACGGCATCGCTGGGGCCAGAGACCGTGCAGTTGGAGTTTGAAGCCACGCACGGCTTGAAGCCAGCCAGGGCCAAATTATTTCGCGTCACAATCTCCGGGTCATACACCGAGTTGACAATGTTGCACACGTACGTATCCGACACGCAGGCACCATTTCCATTGACAAAGTAATTAATGCCCAGCGCGGCGATGGCCGGCGGCGTCACGCAAGCGTTGGGGTCAACACATGACATGAGGACCGCATTGTACTGCAGTGAGTCGTCAATGCACTCACAGGTGAAGCCCCCGGCCGTGTTGACACACATGGTGTCAGACGAGCAGGGCGAGGTGGAGGTGGCACACTCGTTAATATCCTGGCAACCGGCGCGGATGTTGGCGCGATTTTCGCGCGTGACTAGGCTCTTGTTGTAGATGAAACCATCACCACAATCCTTCACACTCTGAATGCAGTAATACTCGGCTGTCAGCTCCTCCCCAGCCGCGCATGTGTCAGGCGCAAAACAGCCACGCTCCGGATCGTATACATGGTCCGGGCTGGGGCAAACAACGGCCCATGTACATACGATCGAGCCATTGACAAGGGTCGAGATGGCCCCGTCGGGGCAGCGCACATTGCCTTCCTCACTCACGCATGCATCGCCAACAACGGCAAAGCCATCCGGGCACGTCAGCTCTGAAATGACGCACCAGCCATCCTTCAAGGTTGACCCGGCGGGGCACGCTGCACCACACAGCACGCCATCGCAATTGGAGCGACTAAAAAAAGTTGTGGCCACGTCGTCCCAGCCCAACTCTTCCAGCTGGCTCGAAAAGTCGCCCGACGCAACGGTTTGTAAGGCACAGCAGGCACTGTCACGTTGGGACGTAGTGACACCGAGAGCCAAAGAGACGAGCGACGTGGCGGAGGTCTGTTCTTGAATCAGGGTGACAGCCACCGTGTCGATGGGATCACCCGCTACCACGGCTGAGAGGGCTGCGCCCAGCGCGTCTTCAAGGTCGCCCGCCATCTCCTCCGTTGCCATGGCAGCAGACACAGAGAGGGTATAAGAGACACCGAGGTTGACGAGGGGGCACGATGTGGTGTTGGCGATCCCAGCTTTGGCAAAGCCGCTTGGGCAAGCCTGACAGGCGCCGTTGGACACGATGTAATTGACGTCACAGGAGCAAGCGTGGCTGCCAAGACTAGTGGTCGCCATGTTTGCACCACAAGGCTCGCAGCTTGTCTCTGCATGCCCGCTCTGGGCTTGAGCCGTGTTGATAGGGCAGGGAACGCAAGAAGGGGGCAATGCGCTGAAGGCGCCCGAGGCCGTACAAGTCAGCACGGCATCGCCAGTCATATGAGTCCCTGCGGGGCAGGTGTAAGCCACGGCGTCACCATATGTGGCCGTGGTTGCGTTGGGAGTGGCGCCATCGCTTGGGACGTCACCACATGAGACGGGCACGCAAGTGAGAGGGGTGCCCATGTACGTGCCAGAAGTGGAGCAAGTGCGCCTGGTGTCACCACCGGAGGGAGTGTAGCCGCTGCGACAGAAAGAGGTTAGGGTGCTCGGGTAGCGTCCACCATTCGTGGCAGAGCTTTCCACCACGTTCACATCCACATCCACATCGCACAGAGTGCCCTGACAAGTGGGGACGGGAGCAGACCATTGAGCGGCGCCCTCTTCCTCGTTGTAGCGGCAATAGAGTTCGGGGTTGCCCAGCATGTTAAAGCCGGCGTTGCAGGAGAAAAAGGCCATGGAAATGCCCCCGTGGACTTCAAACTGAGCATTGCCATCCATAGGTGCAGTCAAGGGTTCGCACTGCAAGATCGTGGTGGTAGTGGTAGTAGTGGTGGTAGTGCTGGTGGTAGTGCTGGTGGTAGTGCTGGTGGTAGTGCTGGTGGTAGTGCTGGTGGTAGTGCTGCACGAATCGCAGGTTCTACAAGTCCCTGATGACCCATAGCCACACCCTGTACGATAGGCCCCATTGCTGCAAGTGAGGACTGAGCAACTGCTGCAGCCTCTGTCAACAACGGCGCTTGGGCTTGAAGTTTGGTACTGAGAGCTTGAGCATGAGGACCAAGCAGAGCAAGAATAGCTTCCCCTTGTTCCCGAATGAACGTCGTAATAGCCGCTCTTGCAGTTACAAACGTAGGCATCGTGACCCGTGAATGTGCATGCCGTGTTGCTTCCACACGAGTCCGAATTCGCGTAGCAATTGTCGTCTGAGATGCCACCACGAAAAAGAAAAATGGTCCGCCATGAGGGACCGCGGGCCACAGATTTTGTGGTGTTTACAACCCGCATCAAAACCAGCTGATATCACCAGACATCAACGTACAAGGAGTATAGATCAATGTGACGAGAATGTGGCCTCGGGAAAAACTCAAGGTCCGAACTTCACCATTCTTGTGAATGTTGGACATGGTAAGCGAGCCCAACTAAACATGAAACGCACAAAGACGGGATGAGCAGGTATTGGGCAGACTGGCATCGCTAGACTTCAAGCAGGAGTGGAAATGCCGGGTCATACCGACTCAAAGTCCCACCACTTATTACCACCCTCATCGTCAGCAGCTTGCACAGAAATTGAGGCCTAAAGATGAAACGCAAGAAAGAAGTCGACCTGAATCTTGTGCACCTCCCTCGTTGCGAATGGTTGGCAGACGCGCGAAATTTCCAATGAGCAATGCAAAGCCGGGGCCGTACCGTTCGGCTGACGCCTGGAATTTTAATTTCCTCGCCCCTGAAGTTGGGAGCTAACGAGCCAGATGAGCGAGGCCCGGGCGTGACACACAACACTGTTGGGTGCCTCGGGGGCAATTAAAAGCGACAGCAGGAAATTGACAGGGATGTGCAAACACTGAGACTGACTGTTGTCGTCATCGATGGTGGACGTGAGATAGTCGGTTCCGCCGAACGTGAAAATCAGGAAGACGTCGCTCTCGCCGCTGGGCCATGAGTCTAACGTCAAGTGAGAGCAATGAGTTGAAGGACAAACGAGACAACAATTGAACCGCACGGTCGAGCAAACATCGAGTACCTGCATCCTCAAAGCTTCCATCCCAGACTTTGATGACCAATTCGTCCCCGCAGACAGCCGGCAGCTCTAAGCAATGGCAATGAGTTGACGTGTTATCCAGCACAGCACGACTGATTATCGCATGACAAGACAACGAGACATACTCACCAGCAAGAAGCGATGCAAGTAAAAGCACAACTACGTTGCAAAGCAACACAGTGCCATCCGTCACAATCATTTCTGGCTGCCGATCTCAACCCAAACCCAGGAAAGTGCATGCTTTAAAAAAAAGCAAACGCGTTGAGTCCGCCATGACACAACGAACCAAAAGCGTGTGTCACATCTGGCTCTTTGAACTTTCTTGCTGACATCTTTCGTGTTGTTTCTCTTCACGAGCCCTCCTTGACACTTTCCGAGGAACAAAGTTCCTGAGTTCTGATTTACATGATAAGCAAAGAGAGAAAAGGATCAGCAACAACGAGGGGGCAAGTGGAGTGAGCTCACAGGTGCAAGCAAACACACGGGTGTTGTCATTCATCGCCAGCAAACTGGCGATGGAAGTCCAGAAGTCGAGGGCAGCCAAACGTACGCCGCGCTGAACCTCAAAGTCGAAAAAATTATTGTAAAACTATGGCAAAATTACCCGAAAATCCACACAGTTGTCAGCCAAACGCAGCACACTCACAAGAGCGAAATCAGTGAAGATATCAAATCAAAATGTACAACACATACATTTGACGTGTTTCTTCATGATCCGGTTGACAACCGACGACCGGTGCGACGGCGAGCATTTCCGAGCTCAACGCTTCCCCTCTCTCTCACGAGGTCGTCATCGGTTGTTCCCGTTTTGCCGCGCCCTTCCGCGCGCCTGCTTGAAATCTCGGTGCGCTTGCTTGCTTGGCTGGCCTGGGTAGGGTCTGCAGTAGCATGGGTTGTTTGATGGAGCGTGTCCTGGTCTTTTGTCGCGGGCGCGCGTGTCTCTGTGGGATGTTGGTGGTCAGGGTAGCGGTTCACTCGTCAGCCAGCCGTCGCTCTCATCATTGAGCATCGGCTTGCTCGCGGTCGAGCTCATCTTGCTGTGGCTCTTGCATGTAGGTGACCGCTGAGGCTCAACATTATTTTGCCTCGGATTGTGCACTAAATTCTTAGCGTCTGTTCGGCGCTCTAGCAGACCGGCACCTGCGCTGGCGCGATCCATGTTCACATCACTCGTGAATTTTTGATTGACGCTCCCATTCTATTTCTGAGGTGCACAGTATACCGACCGTGACCCCCCACCTCTGGTGTCACCGAGTCAACCCACACCGGTAGCCGTCACCATGGCGGAGCCGGCCGATCAGGCAGAGGTGCTCAATGACGCGCGCATTCGTTGGCTCCTTGATCGGCTGACAACCATCTTCAAGCTGGGCATCAATCAGCTGCCCGAGCTGCTGGATCAGTCAGACGTAGCTGCACAGGATTTTGACGATGTCATTGCCTGGCTTGAGGCCCCCAAAACTGGGTTGCTATCCTTCTGCAAACAGATCAAGCTGGTTGACGCCGCTGCTGTTGGTAAGAGCCTCTCAAGCCGTAGACTATTCTCCCTCTCACTCCTTCGATCCCTTCTCCATCATCTTGCGCCCCCCTCCCCTGCACCTTTTCGTCCCGTTCCATCCTGATTCACCCCAACTCATTGACGTTTTAGAAGATGAGAGTGCGAATAACGGGGTGACCAGTCCCCACGAACAAACGGTCATCACCATCACTGTGGGCGCGCTCCCAGCGTCGGCTGCTGCCTTTCCCACGGTCTACTTTTTAAAACACAAGGCCCGGCCCTTGGAAGACGACCTGTCGCCCGAAGCCGCACACGACATCCTCTCACAATGCATTGAGTATGGCAGCCTGCAAGGGAGCTCTCTGAAAAGCCTCGAGAAAATGGTCAGCCTTCTCTACGTTCCCCTCCTGACGATGGCACAGCAGAAGACAGAGAGTTTGGCCAATGCCAACGATCCCCAACTACAAACCCTCCGACAACCGGGCAATGTACTGGAGCTCTCCCATGCCATGGGTGACGACTTTCTGGCTGGCATGACCAAGTTTCGAGACCACGTGCAACGCACGGTCCAGCATTTGGAAAGCCATGTGCGCATTGATGTGCCCCCCACCGTGCGCAAGCTCATCGCACAGTGTCGCCGTGCCAGCGGACCCGACCCCGAGGCTGTAGCAGCCCTGTCGGCCCAGCTCGTCATCTGGACCCAGGCCGTGGATCGCCTGCTCGAGGATGTGAATCACATGGATCGCGATGGTCCCGGACCCCAAGCTGAGCTTGACTACTGGGTCTCGCGTAGTACCTCCCTGACTGCATTAACCGAGCAATTGCAGGTGGCTGAGGTTTCGGATACCCTCAAGACGCTCAAGCAGCTCAACGCTCCCGAGCTGGAGCAGTACAACTTCAGCGTGTCCCACCTGAACAAGCAGCGGGCTGAGGCCAAGGACAATGTTCGCTTCTTAACGACCTTGGAGCGGCACTTTCGCCACCTCGCGCAATGTCCAAGCCTGCCGCAAGTGACCGAGCATCTGCCAGCGCTGATGAATGCGCTCCGCATGGTCTGGGTCATCTCCCGCCACTTCAACACGGATGAGCGCATGGTAGCACTGATGGAACGCATCGCTTGGCTGCTCTGCCAACGCGTCAAGCGCAGCGTTGTCCCACGCACCGTCCTCAAAAAGGAGCTGGCAACTGCCATCGAGCTCTGTGAACAGGCTGTGGCGCTGTTGCAGGGTTGGGAATCCAGTTACCTGGCCACACGCGAAACCATCGAGCAGAACGGGCGTGATGCGCGTTGGGAGTTTGATCGCCAGCGTCTCTTCCGTCGTACAACCTACCTGATTAGAGTGCTCAACGACCTCCGTCAGGTGGCTGGTATCACACAGGAATTCTTGAACATCTTTGGCAACGAGCTCAAGAAGGTGACGGGTAATCCGCAGGTTCGTCTTCGTAGCATAACTCGCACCGTGGTCTGCCGTGCGTGATCAATGGGCTCGTCGTACTCCAATCTCTGCTGGGCGCTTGTCCTCATGCATCGCGGATTTTCAGGTCATTCAAGACGTAGTCAAGCGTGTGCAAAAACTCGTCAACTTTGTGTCAGAACTGCCGTTTGAGCCTTTTGACGAGGTCAGACATCTCCGCGCTTCCAACGAGCTGCTCAAGGCTTGGGCAATCTGTCTTTGTTTTTCTCACCTCATCTCCCTTGCCTTGCCCAGAATAATGCGACCGAGTGGGGTGCAAGCATGGACGCTTTCTACGAACAAGTGGCTCAGATTGAAACTCAGGCTGTACAGTTTATCGACGAGTCCTTCCGCTCGCTGCGCAGTGCACAGGGGGCTTTTGAGATGCTGCAAAACTTTCAGCACATTCGCTCGCGTGAGACCATCAATCGCCAGCTTGAGCTCAAGTACGAGGATGTTCTCGCAAAGTTTGCGCAAGAAGTGGCTGAGGTCAAGCGCATCTTTTATGAGCAAAAGGCCGATCCGCCCCATGCCGTCAACATGCCGCCCGTCGCGGGCTCGGTCAAGTGGGCGCGCAGTCTCTTTGAGCGCATCAAGTCGGCCATCATCAAGTTCCAGGAGCGTCCCAGCTTGCTGGAATCCGAGGCTGGTCGTCTGGTCAGCGCGCAATACCTGGAGGTTGCTCGCGATATTCATGGCTACGAGCGCACGCTCCACAAAGAGTGGTCGCTCGGAGCTGAAGAGCGCTTGCCGCGCATGCTAGCAGAAAACGTTCTCACGCTCACTGCAGGGCCCGGCAGCAATGGGCCCCTGGCCAGCGCCTCCACTGCGCGTGCTGCCAGCAGCCGAGCAGCCGCGCTCGCCGCTAACGTCGACGTCATCCCAGATCCCAGCGCCCTGTTCAATCGTCATACCCGCCTCAAAGTCAACTACCTGCCCGAATTGCGCATCTTGATGGCCGAGTCCAAGTACCTGGACATTCTTGAGCTGCAAGTGCCAGAGAAGCTCGTCAATCTGACTCTTCAAGATGAGAAACACCATCAACTTCAGCATCAACTGCAACTGGTCATTGACCGCCTTCATGGCGTCCTCAGCAGCCTGGATGCGGCCAGCGAGCGCCTGCTGGCGCTGCATTTGAAGCAGTTGACAATCTGCATTTACCCGGGTCTGACCCGCATCAACTGGACCTCGCTTGGCGTGGCCGACTTTGCGAGTCGCTGCGAAGACGCCATGGATCGCTTTGAGACGGTCTGGAATCCCATTCAGGTGTGAATCATTGGCATTGTGTTCCTGTTCCATTCTATCCCGCGTGGCCATCTGACCTTTCAAGCTCATGCCACAATCTCATTCCTTCTTGCTTACCCCCCCCCCCCCTTTTTTTTTCACATATTATCCAAATGATGATAGAAAATCGCAACCGATATCCAATACAACGTGGAGCACATTCGCAACGCCAAGCTTTTTGCTCCGTACAGCGTCATCATGGATGAGCGCGCGCGGGTTGCCGCGGACCAGCGGAGCATGACCAACGCAGCAGCGGCTGTTGCTGCCTCCTCCTCGCCAGTTCCCGGCACGGTCAATGTCGCCGATGCCCGGCTGGAGGCAGCCAGCACTCTGCCGACGTTTGAGCACGAGGAAGTGCCCGAGGTCATGGAATTTGCTGCGACCGCCGAGTCGTACCGTGCTGAAATTGAGGAGGGGCTTGTGGCGCGCTATCAAGCGGTTGGTCCCCTCCTGTCCAAGATTGCTGTGAGCCTGGGTGAGGAGAGCGCGGCCAACCTGGTCCTCTACTACGAGCACTGGGAATCCGAATTCTATGAGGCATTGACGGACATGGTTCGTCTCAACTACGAGGCCAGCCTGGACGCCATGCGAACGCACCCTGAAATCTTCTGCAGCGTGGACGTGCAGTTGTCGGTTCCCGAAATTGCGTTGGCTCCTTCAGCCAGTGAGCTCTATCAGGTCTTCTCACGCTTCTTTCGCAACATGCTTGACACGTGCAAAGCTTTTATTCGCTGGCAGCGAGGTACCTGCCTACCTGCGCCCCCTGTCGTCGGACCAGATGGCGAGCCCACCCCCTTTTCGTTCTACGACGACGTTTGCCAAGACAGCCGCGTGCTCAATCTACTCGAGGAGTTGGATCAGACAGTGCGCCGCATGTTTGCGCTCGTCGGCAACTACCTTTCCGAGTGGAAGCGCTTCCGTCCGATGTGGAAGATTGATAAAGCGGGTGCTGCCGACAAGTTTGCAAGTCACCAGCCCTCTTGCATGGAGTTTGACGAAAAGCTGCGCGCCTATCTGACTGTAGCTGACGAGGTGCGAACCATGCCCAGCCAGCACAGTGTGCTCTTCGTTCAGCTGGAGCTTGACCATCTCAAGGACATTGTAGTTCAAGGTGCCGATGCCTGGATCAACAACCTGGGCCAAGCTCTCCTCGATTCCGTCTGGCAGCTGGCCAGCGGCCTACAGGAGCGTATTGAACAGTGGACCAATCTCCTCAAGCTGGAGCCCGATTCATTGGACAAGCTCAAGTCGATCCTGCGTGCGATTGCCGAGGTCAAGGACAGTGGCCTGGACATACAGCTTGCCCTTGAGGATCTACATGAGCGCTGCCGCACGCTGCGCATGTACCCAGCCATTGACGTGGACGAGGAGCGACTAGGCATCGTGGCAACAGTGACCGCGGCTTGGGAGCGTGTCAATCGCGAAGCGCGCGAGGTGGATGATGACTTGGTCTCGGTCAAGCACAAGTTTAGCCGCCTCACCGCAAAGGAGGTTGTGGCCTTTCACAAGTCCACCCTGGCATTGGTTGAGGAGTTTGATGCTGCAGGTCCAGTAGCTTCCGGATCTGACATGGACGAGGGCCTCAAGCGCCTGCACGACTTTCACGAAAAGCTGGCTGCGGCGGCCGAGACCCGCGCTGAGCTTACGGACGCACAACAGCTTTTTGGCATGGACATTCAGGCTTATCCAGAGCTCAACGCACTGCAAACGACCATGGAGCGTCTGGAAGTTATTTTCGCCGTGTACCAGGCCCAGCGCGACAAGCGCGCGGATTGGTCCTCCACACTGTGGTCGGACCTCAACGTCGAGGTCTTGGTTGCCGGTACAGATGAGTTTATCTTGCGTATGAAGCGCATGTCGGAGGAGGTGCGGAGCACGAGCCTTTGGCGCACTCTGTCCGAGAAGCTGCGCGACTTTAAGGGGTCCCTAGCGCTGCTCACAGACCTCAAGTCAGATGCACTCCGACCCCGGCACTGGAAGCGCCTCATGGAGGCCACCAAAATCACCTTTGATATGAACCCCACCACTTTCACGCTGGGCAAGCTTTTTGAGATGGAGTTGCATCGCTTCTCAGAAACCATTGACGAGATTATCACAGCCGCGGCCAAGGAACTCAGCATTGAGAAGGGCCTCAACGAGGTCAAGGACACGTGGCGCACCATGGAGTTTGACATTATCCGCTACATGCAGGGTGAACAGGAGCGTGGCGTCGTTCTCGGCGCCACCGACGACATTACGCTGGCCTTGGATGATGGTGCCATGAACCTGCAGTCCATGGCCGCATCGCGCTTTGTGGGCCCCTTTCGCGAGCAGGTCACGTCCTGGGAGAAGAAGCTTTCACTCGTGGGCGAGGTCATTGACGTGTGGGTGCTAGTCCAGCGCAAGTGGATGTATCTCGAGGGCATCTTTACCGCCGGTGACATTCGCCAGCAACTGCCCAACGAGGCCAAGAAGTTTGACGCCATTGACAAAGCCTTTCGCAAGATTATGCTTGACGCCAAGCAGCGCCGCAACGTTGTTGACACGTGCGTCTCTGAAAACCGCCTCCAGATTCTTACGGGTCTCCAGGCCGACCTGGATGCCTGTCAAAAGGGCCTGAACGATTACCTCGATGCCAAGCGGAATGCTTTCCCGCGCTTCTTCTTCATCTCGGATGACGAGCTGCTCTCCATCTTGGGCTCACACGAAAGCACCTGCGTGCAGGAGCACATGATCAAGATGTTCGACAACATTTCCGCTCTGCGTTTTGGCACAGGCAACGCAGCCAACGTGGCAAGCGGCATGATCTCCGCAGAGGGCGAGGAGATGGCCTTCAAGAATCCGGTTGTCTGTGACGGACGGGTTGAGGAGTGGATGACCGAGGTGCTGGCCGAGAGCCGCGCCACCAACCGCCTCATCACCAAAGAAGCTGTTTTCCAGTACGGCAGTGACGGGCTGAGCCGAACCGACTGGATCCTCCGCTACCAGGGCATGGTCGGCCTTGCTGGTTCTCAGGTCTGGTGGACCTGGGAGGTTGAGGACGTCTTCCGCCGTGTCGCCGAGGGCGACAAAAAGGCCATGAAAACGTACAGTCGGGCCCTCAACAGTCAAATTGACGACATGGTCGTCAAGGTCCGATCGGACCTGAGCCAGAACGAGCGCAAGAAATTCAACACCATGCTGATCATCGATGTTCATGCCCGCGACATCGTGGACCGCTTCGTGCGGGACAGTATCCTCGACATTCGCGAGTTTGAGTGGGAGTCACAGCTCCGCTTCTATTGGGAGCGCGACGCCGATGATCTCGTTATCCGCCAGTGCACCGGTAGCTTTGATTACGGCTACGAGTACATGGGTCTCAATGGCCGCCTTGTCATCACCCCTCTGACAGATCGCATCTACCTCACCCTGACACAGGCGCTGTCCATGTTCTTGGGTGGTGCGCCCGCTGGTCCCGCCGGTACCGGCAAGACGGAGACGGTCAAGGACTTGGCCAAGGCCATGGGTCTGCTCTGCGTTGTCACCAACTGCGGCGAGGGCATGGACTTCAAGGCCGTCGGCAAGATCTTCAGTGGCCTGGCCCAGTGCGGTGCTTGGGGCTGCTTTGACGAGTTTAACCGCATTGACGTGTCTGTGCTCTCGGTCATCTCCACCCAGCTCCAAACCATCCGCAGTGCACTCATGATGAAGCTCAACCGCTTCCTTTTTGAAGGCACCGAGATTGGCTTGGATAGCCGCGTGGGTATCTTCATTACCATGAACCCAGGCTATGCCGGTCGTACCGAGCTGCCCGAGTCGGTCAAGGCGCTTTTCCGGCCGGTCGTCGTCATTGTACCGGATCTTCTCCAAATTTGCGAAATCATGCTTTTCAGTGAGGGTTTCCTTATGGCCTCGACCCTGGCCAAGAAGATGACGGTGCTGTACAAGCTGGCCAAGGGCCAGCTCTCCAAGCAGTATCACTACGATTTTGGTCTGCGCGCCCTCAAAGCCGTGTTGGTTATGGCCGGGCAGCTCAAGCGCGGCAGCCCTAACCTGAGCGAAGACGTCGTGCTCATGCGCGCCCTGCGCGACATGAACCTGCCCAAGTTTGTTTTCGAGGATGTGCCTCTCTTCAAGGGCCTGATTGCCGATCTCTTTCCGGGTCTGGACTGCCCTCGCGTGCGCTACCCCGACTTCAACGATGCCGTCGAGAAGGTGCTGCTTGATAACCGCTACATCCTTGATGACGTCCAAGTGGACAAGGTGGTGCAATTGTACGAGACCATGCTCACTCGCCACACGAGCATGGTGGTCGGAAACACGGGTGGCGGCAAGTCTGTGGTCATCAATGCCCTGGCCCAAGCGCAATCCCTGCTGGGGCTCACCACCAAGCTCTACACGCTCAACGCCAAGGCCATCAACATCAGCGAATTGTACGGTGTCCTGGACCCCGTCACCCGCGACTGGACAGATGGTCTCCTCTCCAAGATTTTCCGTGACATCTGCAAGCCGACAGACAAGAACGAGCGGCGCTACGTTGTCTTTGATGGCGACGTCGACGCCCTGTGGGTCGAAAACATGAACAGCGTCATGGACGACAACAAAGTCCTCACGCTGCCCAACGGCGAGCGCATCCGCCTAGCGGCCCACTGCGCTCTGCTGGTTGAGGTTGCCGACCTGCAATACGCCTCGCCTGCCACCATCTCTCGGTGCGGTATGGTCTACGTGGACCCGAAGAACCTGGGTTATCGTCCATACTGGCAGCGCTGGGTGAATGCTCGTGCCGAGGCTACGGAGCGCGGCCAGTTGCATCTCCTCTTTGACAAGTACATCCCGGCCAGCATTGACCGCATCCTGGATGGCCTCGATGAGGAGCAGGCCGTCGCCCGCCTCCGCTGCATCATTCCTCAGACCAACCTGAACATGGTGGCCCAGCTCTGCAATCTATTGACGGCGCAACTTCCCGCCACGGGCGAGATGGAGACGGAAGTCCTCGAGGCCGTGTTTCAGAGCAGCATCATCTGGAGCCTGGGTGCTACTCTGATTGAGAGCGACCGCCCCATCTTTGACAAGTTTGTCAAGCGCCTGAGCGGCATGAGCGTGAGCGGCGCCGCAGGTCCCGGGTCACTACCGGGCGACAAGGCCACGCTCTACGAGTACTTTTTTGATCTTGCAGCGCGACGCTGGGTCCCGTGGGAGGCAGTTGTACCCTCATACGAGCACGATGTCACCCGGCCCTTCCACGAAATTCTCGTGCCTACGGTGGACACGGTTCGTACGTCCTGGCTGCTGCGCCTGCAAACGACGATTGAGCGGCCGGTGCTGCTGGTGGGTGAGGCCGGTACCTCCAAGACGGCCACCACCACAGCCTTCCTCAATTCGCTCGACCCAGAGCACAATCTCGTCTTGAACATGAACTTTAGCAGCCGCACGACCTCACTGGACGTACAACGCAACCTTGAGGCCAACGTGGAGAAGCGTACCAAGGACATTTACGGTCCGACGCCGGGCAAGCGCTTGATGGTGTTCATTGACGACATGAACATGCCGCAGGTCGATACCTACGGCACCCAGCAGCCCATCGCGCTCTTGAAGCTTTTATTGGAGCGCGGCGGCCTGTACGATCGCGGCAAAGACCTGACCTGGAAGTTTTTGCGTGATCTGGGCTACCTTGCAGCAATGGGCAAGCCCGGAGGTGGCCGCAACAGCGTTGATCCGCGCTTTGTGTCCCTGTTTTCCGTGTTTAACGTGACCTTCCCCTCGCAGGAGTCGCTCAAGACAATCTACGCCAGCATCCTGGCCGGTCACCTGGGCTCCTTCTCCGAAGAAGTGCGCAGCCTGGCCCCGACGCTTACTGATGCTACCATGGACCTCTATGATCAGATTGTAGCCTCGATGCCGCCGACGCCGTCCAAGTTCCACTACGTCTTCAATCTGCGTGATCTGAGTCGTGTGTACCATGGCCTCTGCCTGAGCACGCCCGAGCACTTTGAGACTGCGGGCTCGCTGGTGCGCCTGTGGCGCAACGAGGCGCTGCGCGTCTTCCATGATCGCTTGATCAACCACGAAGATAAGAAACATGCTCAAGGTTTGATCGAGAAGTTGTTGCGCGGCAGCTTCCCAGCCGTGGCAGACACGGCCTTGGCCGAGCCTCTGTTGTATGGCGACATGCTGCAGGTCTTGACGCCAGATGCGCCTCGCGTGTACAGCGAGCTGCCGGGCTACGAGCCCGTGAAGCGCGTGTTTGATGGCATGCTGGAGGAGTACAACGAGAAGCACTCGCGCATGAACCTCGTGCTGTTCGAGGATGCCCTGGAGCATCTGCTGCGCATCCACCGCATCATTCGCATGAGCCGCGCACACGCGCTCCTCGTGGGCGTGGGAGGTTCGGGTCGCCAGAGCCTGACCCGCCTGGCCACTTTTGTGGCCGGGTACAGCCTCTTTGAGATTACGCTGAGCCGTGGGTACGGCGAGGAGGAGCTGCGAGAGGACCTGAAGACGCTCTTCAACATGGTGGGCGTGGAGAAGCAGCCCACAACTTTCCTCTTCACCGACGCCCACGTCGCCGAAGAAGGGTTTTTGGAGCTCATCAACAACATCCTGACGTCCGGCATGGTGCCCGCCCTCTATGCGGATGACGAGAAGGAGGCCATCATTGGCTCAGTGCGGCCCGAGGTCCAAAAGGCGGGCCTCGTGCCTAACCGCGAGACGTGCTGGAACTTTTTTGTCAACCGCTGTGCAGACAACCTGCATGTGGTGCTGGCCATGTCTCCCGTCGGTGAGAAGCTACGCACACGCTGCCGTAACTTTCCTGGCCTGGTCAATAGCACCGTCATTGATTGGTTCTTGCCTTGGCCACAGCAAGCCCTGCTCGCGGTGGCCTCTGTCTTCCTGGGCACGGGCAGCGATGCTCACGCGCGGGCTGCCATGATCCCGGAAGACAAGCGCGATCACATTGTGCAACACGTCGTGCACGTGCACGAAAGCATTTCAGGCTATAGCCAAGAGTTTGAGGCGACACTGCGCCGCAGCAACTATGTGACACCCAAAAATTACCTCGACTTCATCAGCAGTTATCTGGATCTGCTGGAGCGCCGCGACCAGTTTGTCCAGGCTCAGTGCGATCGCCTGGACGGCGGCATGTCCAAGCTCGTCGAGGCAGGCAAAGACCTTGAGGTGATGAACGCCAAGTTGGCCGAGCAGAAAATCACGCTGAAGGCCAGTACCGAGGCCTGCGCCAAGCTACTGGACGAGATCACCGCCGCGTCCACCGAAGCCAACGCCAAGAAGCAACTGGCCGAGGCCAAGAAGGTTGAGATTGCCGAACAGAGCCGTACCATTGAGGTGGAGAAGAAGGACGCCGTCGAGGCTCTGGAGGTGGCCCTGCCCGCGCTTGAAGAGGCCAAGATGGCTCTCAAGGACCTGGACAAGAACGATGTGACGGAGATTCGCTCCTTTGCCAAGCCGCCCCCGGCCGTGCAGACGGTCTGTGAGTGCATCGTTGTGATGAAGGATGGCAAGGACATCTCTTGGAAGGCGGCCAAGGGCATGATGGCTGATCCGCAATTCCTGAGCTCGCTCATGAACATGGATGTGGACGCCATCAAGCAGAAGCAGGTGACCACCATCAACGCCTCACTGAAAAAGGCCAACATCTCCTTGGAGAAGATGCGGGACGTGTCGACGGCTGGCGCGGGCCTGCTCAAGTTCGTGACGGCCGTCATGGGCTACTGCGCGGTCGCGCGCGAGATCAAGCCCAAACGTGAAAAGGTGGCGCAGCTGGAGAAAAACTTTATGATTGCCAAGCGAGAGCTGGACCGCATCGTCAAGGAGTGCGACGAAATTGAGCGTCAGCTGAAGGAACTATCGCAGCGTCATGAAGCAGCCCTGCTGGAGAAATCGCAGCTGGCATCAGAGGCCGAGATCATGCAGCGCCGCCTTGTTGCCGCCGACAAGCTGATCAATGGCCTGAGCTCGGAGAAGACGCGCTGGGCACACGAGCTGGAGGAGTTGCGTGCGCAACGCGTGCGCCTATTGGGTGACTGTCTACTGGGCGCGGCCTTTTTGTCCTACTCGTGCGCATTCAACTTTGAGTTCCGACGTCGTATGGTGCACGATGACTGGTTGGTGGACCTGCAACGCCACGAGGTGCCTGTGAGCAACCCGTTTAGCCTGCAGGACTTGCTGACCAACGATGTTGAGATTGCGCAGTGGGGCTCGGAGGGCTTGCCGCCGGATGAGCTCTCGGTGCAGAACGGCATCTTGACCACGCAGGCTTCAAGCTTCCCGCTGTGCATCGATCCCCAGCAGCAAGCGCTCAACTGGATCCGCACCCGGGAAGAAAAGCACGGACTCAAGGTCTGCACCTTCAACGACCCAGACTTTTTGAAGAAGCTCGAGCTGGCCATCAAGTACGGCACGCCCTTTTTGTTCCGGGATGTGGACGAGTACATTGATCCGGTCATTGACAACGTGCTGGAGAAGAACATTTTGGGCTCGGGTCAACGGCGTTACGTGGTGCTCGGGGACAAAGAGGTAGATTACGATCCCAACTTCCGGCTCTACCTCAACACGAAGATTGCCAATCCCAAGTACCCCCCGTCGGTGTTTGGCAAGACCAAGATTATCAACTACACGGTAACGCTCAAGGGTCTGGAAGACCAACTGTTGAGCGAGATTGTGCGCCACGAGCGACCGGAACTGGAGGAGCAGCGCGCGCAGCTGATCCAGGAGACGTCACAGAACAAGACGCTGCTCAAGGACCTGGAGGACACGCTGCTGCGTGAACTGGCCTCGTCCACGGGCAACATGCTGGACAACGTCGAGCTCATTCAGACTTTGGAGAATACTAAGTTGAAGGCCGCCGAGGTCCAGGAGAAGCTGGCGCTGGGCGAGTCGACGGCCAAGGAAATCGACATTATTCGCGACGGCTATCGTCCGGCTGCCAAGCGCGGCGCCGTGCTCTTTTTCGTGCTGTCGGACATGTCGGCCATCAGCTACATGTACCAGTACTCGCTGAGCTCATATCTGGAGGTCTTTGAGCTGAGCTTGCGCAAGAGCTTGCCTCACACGATTTTGCAGAAGCGTTTGGCGAACATTATCGACGCGCTGACACTGAACGTGTACAACTACGCCACCACGGGTTTGTTCGAGAAGCACAAGCTGCTCTTTTCGTTCCAAATGGCGACCAAGCTGCTCGAGTCAGAAGGGCAGATGGTGCAAGCCGAGCTGGACTTTTTCGTCAAGGGCAACATTAGCCTGGAAAAGGTAGCACGGCCCAACCCGTACGGCTGGCTGCCCGAGGCCAGCTGGCAGGATGTGATGCGCCTGAGCGAGGTGGCCGAGGTTTTCCAAAATCTACCCGATGACGTGGCGAGCAAGGAGGCCGTGTGGCGCGATTGGTTCCAGGGTGAGGCGCCAGAGCAGGGCGATCTGCCCATGGGCTATTCGGAGCGCACGACCGCGTTCCAGCGATTGTGTTTGCTGCGCTGTTTCCGCGTGGATCGCATTTACCGTGCCGTGACGGACTTTGTGACGACGGAGATTGGCGAGCGCTTTGTGCAGCCACCGGTGGTGCGGTTTGAGAACGTGCACGAGTCGTCTAGCCCCAACTCGCCGATTGTTTTCATCTTGAGCCCCGGCTCTGACCCGGCCGGCGACCTGGTGAAACTGGCCGAGAAGACGGGTTTTGGGGGCAACCGCCTCAAATTCCTCTCCATGGGCCAGGGCCAGGGCCCGGTGGCGCTGGAAATGCTGGAGACGGCGGCGCAGCGCGGGCAGTGGCTCATGTTGCAAAACTGTCACCTGCTGGTCAAGTGGTTGCGGGATTTGGAGAAGGCACTCGAGCGCATCGACAACCCGCATCCCGAGTACCGATTGTGGCTGACCACGGCGCCCACCGACAAGTTTCCCATCGGCATCCTGCAGCGGTCGCTCAAGGTGGTATCGGAGCCGCCCAACGGGCTCAAGCTCAACCTGCGCGCCACCATGACCAAGATTGCGGAGGCGGAGCTCGAGCCCGAAACGTGTGCACACCCAGCCTATCCACCCCTGGTCTTTGCGTTGGGCTTCTTTCATGCCGTGGTGCAGGAGCGCCGCAAGTACGGCAAGATTGGGTGGAACGTTCCGTATGACTTTAACGAGAACGATTTCCGTGTGTGCTTGCAGATTGTGCAAACGTATCTCTCCAAGGCACATGCGAACCGGGACGAGAAGCTGCCGTGGGGCTCACTCAAGTACCTGGTGGGTGAGGTGATGTATGGTGGGCGCGCCATTGACAGCTTTGATCGGCGCGTGCTGCGCACGTACATGGACGAGTTTATGGGCGACTTTATCTTTGACACGTTCCAACCGTTCCACTTTTATCAGGACAGCTCTGTGGACTACACGATCCCGACGGGCGGGTCGCGGCAGGCGTACCTCGACTACATTGAGCAGCTGCCGCTGGCCAACGGGCCCTCGGTGTTTGGCCTGCACGCCAACGCAGAGATTGGGTACTTTACTAGCCAGGCGCGCAACATGTGGCATTTGTTGGTCGAGTTGCAGCCTCAGACGGCCAGTGTGGGCGGTGGTGTGTCGCGCGAGGCGTACATTGGGAATGTGGCGTCGAGCATCAAGGCCAAGATTGAGCCCGCCTTTGATTTGGAGCGCATCCGCGCAGACATCACCTCGGCGGCGCCTGTGGATGAGGATGGCAACAAAGTCTTGCCGCCCACCAGCGTGGTGCTGCTGCAGGAGCTGGAGCGCTGGAACGCCCTGGTCGCCAAGATGAACAGCTCTCTGAGCAGCCTTCAGCGGGTACGTTTTGGGGGCCGCTTATCGTTGTGATTGATCCTAGGGCGAAGGGAGTGGGCGGTGCGGTGTTCAGGGGCAGGGAAGAGGCAGGGGCGTCGTCTTCCTTTGGCTACTTTATGGTTGTGCCATGAGAGAGTCAGGTTCACCTGATTGGGTTTTCCTCTATTCTCTCACTCTCTCACTCACTCACCCTCTCTCCTCTCTCTCTTTTTTTGTATCTTTTTTGTAGGCGCTGGTGGGCGAAGTGGGCATGTCGAGCGCGTTGGATGAGCTGGCGTCGGCGTTGTTCAACGGCCAGCTACCGGGCATGTGGCGTCGCTTGGCTCCGGATACGAAGAAGAATTTGACCAACTGGATGCTGCATTTTGAGCGTCGCTACCTGCAGTACAAGAGCTGGGTGGAGAAGGGCGAACCCACTGTCATGTGGCTGTCTGGCCTGCACATTCCCGAGTCCTATCTAACGGCGTTGGTACAAACGACGTGCCGACAGAATGGATGGGCCCTGGACCGCTCAACGCTGTATACCGCGGTGACGGAGTTTGTGGATCCGCGCGAGGTACAGGCGCGGCCACCCAGCGGCTGCTTCGTGACGGGCTTGTATCTCGAGGGGGCAGCGTGGGATGTCAAGGCCGGGCACTTGGTGCCGCAGGCACCCAAGCAGCTGTTGCAGCCGTTGCCGATTCTGCGGGTGATTCCGATTGAGGCGCACAAGTTGAAGCTGCAGAACACGTATCGCACGCCCGTGTACACGACGTCGGATCGTCGCAATGCCATGGGCGTGGGCCTGGTGTTTGAGGCTGATCTGGCGACCGCCGAGCACCTCAGTCACTGGGTACTGCAGGGTGTCTGCCTCACCTTGAACGATGATTAGGCCTCTCTCGTCCGGTGTTCTCTGAGGTCACCGCGACCCACCTCGGTGTATGTATGGGACCGAGGGCCTGAGCCATAAGTGATCAACTACCTACCGCACAGGATGTTGTGCCTGTGCCTGTGTGTGTTCTAAAAGCACCTTGACATGTGATTGTAAACTCCACCTCTCTTGTTTTGAATTGACATAGCATATCCTTTGACATACTCACTGCATTCGTCAACTGAAACACTCCATGTCAGCTTTCTCCCTTGCCAAAGTATTGCAACACTTCTTCTACTGCCTTCCACCTCTTTCTTCGTTCTCCCTCAACCTTCTAGCAACAGCCCGATAGTGTATCGTAAATCACACTTTACACACCTCTCGGCTGTACACGTGTCCCCCTCGCAACACGTTGCAGAAGCTTAATGTTCACATCGACAGTAGTGCCCTTTCTGCGTTGAGGACGCGCTCTTGCATGTGAGTTGCGCGTCGAGCGTACCAAGTGTGAGTCCCGCTACACTTGCTTCACCATTGCACACCACGTTTACTCTCGTAAGAGTGTGCAGCCCACTGAACGAGCCACAGCGAGAGAGAGAGCGAGAGAGAGAGAGAGAGAGAAATGCATTTGTGCTTCTGGTCACTGGATGTAAGTTGGTTGTGCCTGACAGGCCTTGGCCTCGTGGGTCGGTCATCTCGGTCGTGTTAGTCGTGTCAGTCGGTCGGTCGGTCGTGCATCGGTCGTCGACTCGGTTGTGCTGTGGGAGCGGGCGCGATAGCACGATTTGTGTGGTGCTTTGTGGTTGGCAGTCCTTGCGTTGCTCTTGTGTCCACTCGGCTTGTGGGCACGGCCGTCTGGTGTTGGGTGTTCTGCGGCACCTGCGTGCGTGCAGTGGTGTCCTCGGTCGGCGTTTTTGGCTTGTTCGTCGTTCATGGCACGCCTGGGCACAGACAAGTCATTTCGTCTTAAAACTCTCCACTCATTTTTCTTCTTTCCCCTCCTCCCTCGCAGTAGACCCCTCCCTTCCCTCTTGGCTTTCACATCAAGACCTCCAACCATGTTGAAGGCGTCTCGCTCCCTGCTGGTGCAGGGCACCCGTGCCAACCAGACCAACAACTTTGCCCACGTCATTACCCGCGCTGCCAGGTATGCCTCCTTTCATACCCATGTCTGTCTCCCTCTCTTCCATCTACCTCACCGTCATTCGCCTTTCTTGACGAGTCGCCGGCTGCACTCTTCTTGACCGCTCAACCCCTCGCTCACCCGCCTGGCTGCCCGCTCGCTTTCTTCACTTTGTGCAAAAAAACAACAACACGTAGTGTCCAGGGCCGTGTTATTGGTGTTGACTTGGGTACCACCAACTCTTGCGTTGCTGTCATGGATGGCAAGGACGCCCGCGTGATTGAGAACTCCGAGGGTGCCCGCACCACCCCGTCGGTGGTTGCCTTCACCGAGGACGGTGAGCGCCTGGTGGGCCAGCCCGCCAAGCGCCAGGCCGTTACCAACCCTGCCAACACGCTCAGCGCTACGAAGCGTCTTATTGGCCGCCGCTTTGAGGACCCCGAGACCCAGAAGGACATGGAGACCTCGAGCTACAAGATTGTCAAGGCGCCCAATGGCGATGCCTGGGTCCATGCTGGCGGCAAGGACTACTCTCCTTCGCAGATTGGTGCCTTTGTCCTCACCAAGATGAAGGAAACGGCCGAGGCGTACCTCGGTGGCTCGGTCAAGAACGCCGTCATCACCGTGCCTGCCTACTTCAACGACAGCCAGCGCCAGGCCACCCGCGACGCCGGTGAGATTTCAGGCCTGAACGTGCTTCGCGTCATCAACGAGCCCACCGCTGCCGCCCTGGCCTACGGTCTGGACAAGCAGGAGGACAAGACCGTCGTCGTCTATGATCTGGGTGGTGGCACCTTTGATGTGTCCATCCTGGAGATTCAGTCTGGTGTCTTTGAGGTCAAGGCCACCAACGGAGATACCTTCCTGGGTGGTGAGGACTTTGACAACACGCTCGTCAACTTCTTCATTGAGCAGTTCAAGAAGGACCAGGGCATTGACCTGCGCAAGGACAACATGGCTCTGCAGCGCCTCCGCGAGGCTGCCGAGAAGGCCAAAATTGAGCTTTCCTCCTCCATGCAGACGGACATTAACCTTCCCTACATCACCGTGGACCAGACTGGTCCCAAGCACTTGAACATGAAGCTGAGCCGTGCCAAGTTTGAGTCGATTGTGGATGAGCTTGTGCAGCGCACCGTTTCGCCCTGCCAAAAGTGCCTGTCGGATGCCAAGATGAGCAAGAGCGACATTGGTGAGGTTATCCTTGTTGGTGGCATGACGCGTATGCCCAAGGTTCAGTCGACTGTCGAGAGCATCTTTGGCCGTTCCCCGTCCAAGGGTGTCAACCCCGACGAGGCCGTCGCCATGGGTGCCGCCATTCAGGGCGGTGTCCTGGCTGGCGAAGTCAGCGATGTGCTCCTCCTTGACGTGACTCCTCTTTCCCTGGGCATTGAGACGCTGGGTGGCGTCTTCACCAAGCTCATTGGCCGCAACACCACCATTCCCACCAAGAAGTCGCAGGTCTTCTCCACCGCTGCTGATGGTCAGACCACCGTTGAGATTAAGGTGCTCCAGGGCGAGCGTGAGATGGCTGCGGACAACCAGGAGCTCGGTCGCTTCTCGCTCGTTGGTGTGCCCCCGGCGCCCCGCGGCACCCCCCAGATTGAGGTTACCTTCGACATTGACGCCAACGGTATTGTGAACGTGTCCGCCAAGGACAAGGGTACTGGCAAGGAGCAGCAGATTGTGATCCAGTCTTCGGGTGGTCTGTCTAAGGATCAGATTGAGCAGATGGTCCGTGACGCCGAGACTCACGCCGAGCAGGACAAGGAACGTAAGGATGCCATTGAGGCTGTCAACGCGGCCGAGAGCATGATTCACACGACCGAGAAGAACCTGGAGGACTTTAAGGACGATGTTGAGCCCGAGGCCGCTTCGTCCATCCGCGAGCACATTGCCAAGCTGCGTGATGCCCTCAACGCTGAGGAGAAGAACGCCGAGGAGATTCGTCAGCTCTCAGGCGACGTGCAGCAGGCCAGCCTCAAGGCCTTTGAGGTTGCCTACAAGAAGCGCGCCGGTAGCAACGACAGCGGCAGCGAGCAAAACTAAGTTTCCTCCAACAGACTGTGTCCACTCGAGAGTGTGTCCTCTCACTCTCTTGTTTTTCTTTTCTTTCTTTTTGTGGTCATTGATGGAAGCGATGCGCCGTGCGCGTTGTGTGTCCTTTCCTCCTTCCCTACATGAAGGGGGCGGGCCCCGAGGGGGTTGACATGGGAGGAAGCAAGCAGAGGATCTGTTTCCCTTTTCTTGTCTTAACTTTTTTTTTTCCTTTGTATCTTGTTTGTTTCTTGCCCCGTCAATTTAGTCTGTGACTTGAATAGCCTCTGTCCTGTCCAATGCCATCGTAGCCATTGCCAGCCCAAACTTTTGTTGGTATTGTACTGCCCTGTCGTAGGAGCTGAGAGGGAGTGTGCGCCAGCGCGCCATTTTTTTTCTCTCGGGCTGCCGGCAAAAGTCTGACAATTTGTCTTTGAGCTGGCTTGCAAGCCTTTGTCGAGGGAATGCAAGTTATTTTCAGGTTCGTTTTGGGTACAAAATGAGTCTAAACCTGGTTCAGATTTGGTCCAGCGAGCTGGTGGCTCGGGTATATGGTTTTGCAAGGTGCAGCAAGCTTAACCACGACTGACAAGTGTGATTCGTCTCGGCTAAGGGAGAGAAGGATGGAGCCTGGTCGATCCGGCGGTCGATCCGGCGGTCGATCGGCCGAGGCGGTCGAGGCGATCCAGTGTGCGACGCTGTGCCAGCGAGGAGCATGTCTCGAAGCAAAGCGCCTCGTGTTTGAGGCAGTTGAAACCCGTTGAAACGAAGCAAGAGATCGATAGGGTCGAGACGTATCAAGACGTATTCGACCAAACGGCTACTAAAGAGTGGTAAGCTTCGGGGGAGGAGGGGGGAGAGGAGACAAGGGGCTGTGACAACGCACCACTTCAGGATGGACACGCGGCTGCTGAAGTCAGGGTGTGCCGAAGAAGAAGCAAGCCACTGCCATTGCCCCAGGGCCGCACGAGCGTCGCCCCGCCCCATCGCACGCAGCTCGCTCGCTCGTTCCCTCGAGCCGCCGCTCGACCCATGGAGAGACAAACCCCTTTGAACAGGGTTACGCCCCCTTCTGCTTCTCTCGTTTTGAAGCAAGAGAGAGAGAGAGAGGGGAGAGAGATAGAGAGAGACATAGAAGAGAGAGAGAGAGAGAGAGAGAGAGAGAGAGAGAGAGACAGAAGAGACAGAGAGAGAGAGACAGAAGAGACAGAGACAGAGAGAGAGAGAGAGAGAGTCAAAAAGACAAGTTTGCAATGGAATGTCAAGAGAGAGGCCACGTCAACAGATCTCCTCCTTAAGCCCCCTTGTCCGCATTCTTTTGTCTAAAGGTGGGGTTGCTTCTTCGCTTCGTTTTGACAACGTGTCTCACAACAACAACAACAACAGTAACCAGTACACTCACCACTCACGAACCAGTAACCTCAAAGTCAGTGAAACGCGCAGAAGGTGATGGTTCCGCCCACTTCACTGTACCACACCTATTGGTGATCGTCCAATAGGTAAATAAGCTTAAACAGCCACACCCACAGCACCGCGCCCTCACAGAACAAGGTGGGTAAAGGCTGCGAGGGGTTATTTTTCCACTGCCACTGGTACGTCGCTGCCCTTTTGGCTGGAGAGCTGCGTTGGGTCTTGGGTGTCGGGTCGCTGGGGTTTCGCTCTGCCCCTCTTGTCGGGCTGTGTGTCTTGGCGTGCCTGGCTCCCCCTCTCCCCTCTCTCTCGCTCCGGGGGTTTTCGTCTCGATGTGTACTGGTGGGGGTAAAAAGGGTTGTGGGGCTCTGCCGTTGCGTGTCGTCGCGGGTGCGGCTGTCGACAGTCTCGGCGAGAGGCAGGATGCCACTGTCGTGATGGGGCGGGCGCGCGCTTGATTTGGCCTCAAATCAAAAATCCTCTTTCGGGTCGTGCCTCGAGATGTTCCATCGCGTGGGGAAGCAAGTGGTGTTTAGCAGCCAGTGGGATCGTTGATGATTTGTGGCACAAAACATTCAATCCCCCCTTCTCTCTCAAGCTGCCATTGTCACACCGGGCTCACCTCACAATCCTGCTCTTCTGCCCACTTCTTGTGCCCTTGTGCCTCACCAGATCTTTGGACTGAGAAGAAGTCGTTGCCTCCCAACATAAACAGACAGCCATGGCTCGCAACATCAGCATGACGATGGGCCTGCGTAACGCCTCGTCTGGCCTTTACCTGACCCAGGAGACCTTCGGCTTTGCCGTCAACTGCAACGGTACGGTTCCTTTTCCAGCACATTCTTTGTGGTTCATCTCCAGCCGTAGCACTAGTCTTTCGTCAACCATCTTCTTCTGTTTGTTTCTTTCGTCTCGCCTGGACGGCGCGTTTTGAACCTGCTTCAAATCGCCATCGTTCTCCTTGTTGTAAAACCAAACCTTGCATCTTCTTTGACGCTCCGGGTTTGGTGGTCAACATTTGAGAAGAGGGGGCGGATCCACTGGTCCTGATATTGTTGTTCATGTACTGGGTGGTTCCATCATATTTTGTTTCCCCCCCGTGTCCTGTGATCCCCCTGCCTTCTCCTTTCCTTTTCTTGTAGCTCGCCTCATCTTGTTTTGATGCCTCTTTTATTTGGTTTGCCGCCTCGTTCGCAGGCAAGAGCCTGAAGAAGAAGCAAACGCTCACGCTCGTGGCCCAGGACGGTGGCATCCACTTCAAGACCCACCTGAACAAGTTCCTTTACGGTGATCGCGACGGCAACGTCAAGGCCGACGCTGATGCCCCTTCGGCCGAGACCCAGTGGACCATCCTCCCCCAGGCTGATGGCACCTGGGCCCTCAAGTCGGCCGCTGGCTTCTTCTTCCACGGCACTGGCGACAAGCTCACCGCCTTTGTCGGTGGCGATGATGTCCCCGCTGATGGCCGCTGGGTCGTCCACCTGGCCATGCACCCCCAGATCAACCTCTACAACGCCATGCGCAAGCGCTACGTGCACCTCAGCACCGACGGTGAACTCCAGTGCAACGAGGATGTGCCATGGGGTGAGGATGCCCTCCTCAACCTCATCTTTTTCGAGGAGCACCCCACCGGCCGCTACGGTCTCATGGCCTGCAACGGCAAGTACCTCGAGAACTCTGGCAAGCTCGTCGATGCCCCCAATGGCAACTGCCAGTTCCTCCTCGGCTTCCACGATGATCACATCTCCCTCTGCGACGACGAGGGTCGCTTCCTGAGCTGCGTCGGTGGCAAGGGTACCGTCCGCGTCAACAAGCAGAAGGTCACCAAGGACGAGCTCTTCCGCATCCAGGACTCCGAGCCCCAGTTTATCATCCGCAACATCTTCAAGAACCTCAACGTGTCCGCCCGTAACGGCGCCGAGGTTAAGGCCGACCAGAAGCTCAACGACGTTCAGGACACTGAGCGCTTCCAGTTTGAGGTCGCCGATGGCGAGGTTCACGTCATGTCCGACAAGCTCAAGTACTGGGCTCCCCGCGATGATGGCTCTCTCGCCGTTGAGACTGAGAAGAAGTCTGCCAACACCGCCTTTGTGGTTGACTACTCGGCCGGTAACACCGTCAAGTTCCAGCACAAGGCCAGCGGCAAGTTCCTCATTGCCAAGCCCAACGGCGCCATGTTCGCCACTGGCGATGCCTCGGACGAGGCCGCTGCCTTTGAGCTCGCCATTATCAACCGCCCCACCCTGATTCTCCGTGGCCAGTACGGCTTCCTCGGCGTCAAGGGTGCCTCGGGCCGCGTTGAGTGCAACCGCTCCCACCCCGACGTCTTCAACCTCGTGTCCAAGAATGGCGAGTACTATCTGCAGAAGGACGGCAAGTACTGGACCGTCGACCAGGATGGCGTGGCCTGCGTGTCTTCGTCCCCCGTTGCCTTTTTCTTTGAGTTTGTCCAGCTCTCCAAGGCCCTCATCAAGCACAAGGAAAGCGGCAAGTACATCATTGGCGAGCAGAACGGTGGCTTCAAGGCCAACGGCGACCGCGAGGAGACCAACACTCTCTGGGAGTTTTAAATGAATGCACATTATCTCACATGAATCCCCGGTGCGAGGTTGTTGTTGATCGCTGGTGTCCCTTCATACCCTCTTCTTTTACTTGCCTCGTTTGTTTTCTTTTCTTCTTCTCTTTTTTTTTCTTCGCCATGTCCACGTCTCCTGGGCGCGCCTTGGCCCCGGGCTATGCCGTGTTGATAAGGTGGTTGGCTGACCGAGGAGGGTGTGGCACACCCTGCGCCATCTCTCTTGGAAACTGAAGAAAAATAAAAAAGAACAACAATTAACTGAATGACGATCCTTTTGATTTCTCTTCTTTCCTAAGATCACGGTGATGCATGCCAGTTTTGGACGGGACACGGCCTCGGCACGGCATGGCAGTACGAGGTTCACCGACGTCAGAGGACAAAGATATAAAAAAGAGTAGGGTTTCACGTGTTGGTAGGGAAACCACCCCGGCATGGCACGTGGATGGTTGGTTGTCTGGCCCTGCACCTTGTACGGCCGGTCCAGAAGGGGGACATGTCTGTCTCACGCGCAGGGCGGGACAGCCAACCTGAAGCATGAGGATGAGCAGTTGCAGGCTTGAGCGAGAGGTTGAGAAAGAGAGGTTGAGAGAGAGAGAGAGAGAGAGAGAGAGAGGTTGAGAGAGGTTGAGAGAGAGCTAGAGAGCTTGAGAGGTTGAGAGCTTGAGAGCTTGAGAGAGAGAGAGCTTGAGAGAGGTTGAGAGAGAGCTAGAGAGCTTGAGAGGTTGAGAGGTTGAGAGCTTGAGAGAGAGAGAGCTTGAGAGAGCTTGAGAGAGAGAGAGAAAGAGAGAAAGAGAGACAGAGAAAGAGAGAAAGAGAGAGAGAGAGCTTGAGAGAGAGAGAGAGAACAACAGACACGCACACGCACGCACACAACATGTGTTTGGTGATGTCGCGCAGTCAGGCGTCCGTCCGGAAGGGCAGTCGGAGGCGGAAGGACAGGCGAACGATCAGTACAGAAGCAGGAAAGCCAATGCAGGGCTGGTTCAACGGGTTGCTGGTCTTCGGTGACTGTTTGGGAGCAAAAGAACAGGATGCCGTTTTGCGGGCGTGCTGGACGCGTGTTTCCGCCCCCTTTTTTTTCTATGCATATCTCTTGTGTTAATATCACGCTTGACGTCTCCCTGTGGTACAACTCCATGATGCACCTCTATCTCTGTCATCCTGTTTAAATACTAAGAAACCTTTGCAGTTTGGGGCCAGTATGAATTAAACCTCTGAAACTATTCACTCCAAACTTGTCCTCTCTGCAGATGAACACCAGTGGAGAGATACTCTCTCTCTCTCTCGCGCACGCTCTCTCTCTCTCTCTCTCTCTCTCTCTCTTTTTGCTGCTGCTGGAGCTGCTGGAGCCTGCTGCTGGAGCTGCTGGAGCCAGTGCTACTGGTGCTGCCGTCACGTCACGAGAGCGTGTGTTTGGCATCTTGGGTCAGCTCGAGCTTGCCATACGCGTCAATCTTTCCCTCGAGGTGCATTGGGTTGCCTTTCGGCCGCAAGACGCCGCTGCCTTTTGCCATCGAGGTTGCTGCGACACCGGTCGACTTTGCATACCAAGTCCCCTTTGATCACATCAGGTAGCTTTCGCCCCTCGCTCGGCAGTGCCGCCAGCCAGTCTGCTCTCTGTCTGCCCTGTGGCATCGCCTGCTGTGTGCCATCCTACTGTACAAGAGAGGCAAACGATCAGACGGCTAGCGACCCTCGGCCCAGCGCCTTTCCTTGGACGACTGACGCGGGCCCTTGATCGTTTCTCCCTGTGGTGTGGGCTAGCATCAGACATCATGGCTGACGAGGAGGGACAAAAAAAGCGCAGCACGCTGGGTCGCATGTTTTCTTGGGGCAAGAAGAACCGCAAGGAGGATGTGCCCATGGCGGGCGCGCCCCCCGCTGCTGGCGCGGCTGCCAGTCCGCCAAAGTCCAAAAAGGAGCTCAAAAAGGAGGCCACACTTGCCAAGAAGGAGGCCACACTGGCCCGCAAGCGAGAAAAGGAGGCCACCCAGACCAAGAAGGCGGGTCCTACGCCCACCAAACGCAAAGACGCCACTCTGGCCAAAATGAAGGAGGCCACCCTGGCCCACCAGCGCCGTGAGAGCAAAGCCGGCAAGAAAAACTCCAAGAAGAAGCAAAAGCAAAAGCGTCACCAGGCACAAAAGGTCCGACGTGGTCGTCTCTATGTCAACCTCCGCCTCAAAGGCGATACCCTGGAGGCTGATATCGAGGAGGCCAAGGACCTGATTGAAATGTCCAAGGCCGGCGATGCCAACCCTTACGTCGAAGTCTCCGTGACCTCAAGTGCCGTCAAGAACGGCGTGCAGAAATCCGCCGTCATCCAGGGCACTCGCAAGCCCCAATTCAAGGCTAGCTTCTCCTGGGAGCTGCCCAAGCTCAACAAGGACTCAACGATGCTCCGCATCTACATCCACCACGAGAGCAAGGGCTTTGGCAAGAAGCGCTCCTTCATGGGTGGCATGGCCTTTTCCATTGCTGAAATCGAGGATGTCGGCACCATCACCGAAGGCTGGTTCCGCCTATTGGACGAGCAAAAGGCCGAGAATCAAAACGTCCCCTTTCGTGTCAAGCGCCGCCATGAGATGACCACCGAACAAATGGAAATTTATGGCATTATTGGTGATGCTGCCTTGCCCCCGCTGCCGACCCCTGCCGTCTCAAGCCCCATTGTCACGGACGGCGACGATTATCTTCAGCCGAGCACTGTTGCGAACCTTCAGGCCGAGGCTAATCTTGGTGATCTTCCTCTGCCCGCCTTGCCGTCCCAGCCCGGCGCGTCGGCCAAGAGCAGCCCTGGTCTGAGCATGGAAGACTTTACCTACCTCAAGGTGCTGGGTCAAGGTGCCTTCGGTAAGGTCCTCATGGCTGAGCGCAAAGCCAACAAGGAAATTGTTGCCATTAAGGTACGCCACCCGCCCTGGTGGCGTCCGTGTTGAAAGTCCGGAAGCATGTTGTCCCCGCCACTACCAGCCCAGGTCCTCACGCTGTTTGTCTTGGTGTTCAGGTTCTATCAAAGGAGGCGGTGGTTGATGACGACGATGTTGAGGCCACACTGATCGAGCGGCGCGTGTTGGCCAAGGCATCCGACTGCGCCTTCCTGACCAAGCTGCACGGTACCTTTCAGACTCCGAGCCATCTCTACTTTGTGATGGAGTTTATCACGGGCGGCGACCTCATGTTCCATGCACAAAAGGTTGAAAAATTCACCGAAGACCAAGCGCGCTTTCTTGTGGCCGAGATTTGCGAGGGCCTCTGGTACCTGCACGAGCGTGGCATCGTCTACCGCGATCTCAAGCTCGACAACGTCATGCTGGCCGGCGATGGCCACGTCAAGATTGCCGACTTTGGTCTCTCCAAGGAGTCCCTCTGGGGTGCGGCCACCACCACGACCATGTGTGGTACACCAGGTTACATGGCCCCCGAAATTGTTAACGAGAAACCCTACAACTTTAGCGTGGACTGGTGGGCCCTCGGTGTTCTTCTTTTTGAGATGCTCGTGGGTGAGTCACCCTTTGATGGCGACGATGTGGACGAAATCTTTGAAAACATTCAAGGCAAGGAGGTGGAGATCCCCTCTAGCGTTAGCGGGGCCGCTGCTGACTTGATTCGAGCCTTCTTGACCCGCGATGTTGCCAAGCGCCTCGGCTGTGGCACCAACGGCAAGGACGACATTCGTAACCACAAGGTCAGTTTTTGCCATCTTTTGGTGTGTGTGCGTGGGTGGTTTCCCTGCCCGGATTGGTAATGCGGCTCTTTGCGTCTACATCTCGACTTCACTGTGGGAATGGTTGTCGGGGATGACACATCTTTTGCGTGATAGTTCTTTTCCGGTCTGAGCTGGACCGACCTCAAGGAGCGCAAGATTGAGCCGCCATACAAACCCGCGAGTGAGGGCGACCCACTATCCAACTTTGACCCCGAGTACACGGACATGGACATTGAGCTCACCCCTGTCGAGCAAGAGGTCATTGCCGACCTGGATCAAATGCTCTTTGCCAACTTTGATTTTGTCGCCGGTTTGTCGGCCGTCGAGTCTGAGGTATGCCGCGCGTGCTACGTTGCTTGCGTGTTTGCTCGCTGGCTGCCAAATGGCACTGCCAAGATTCCAAGCCCCGGGTCACGCTGGCTCTTGCTAGTGCCTTTCTCTCACCCCCTTTCCGTGGCTCGTGATCTCTCTTGCAGGAGGCACCCATGTCCAAGTACGATTGGTACCGACCCGATCTCAACCGTCAGTCAGCCACGGCCCTGCTGCAGTCGGCACCCACGGGAACCTTTATCGTCCGCGAGTCGCGCCAACCCAATTGCTATGCCGTCTCCGTGTCTCTGGGGTCGCGCGTGTGGCACGGCGTCATCACCCCCTCCACGACGGCCACTGGCGACAAGTTGTACAAGCTTTACGTCAAGAACAAGTTTTCCGATATCCCAGAGCTCGTCAACTACTACCACGAGCAGCCCATTGCGCTCAATCCCAACGGCCAGCCCATTGTGCTGACCAGTGGTGCAGATGACGACGAGTAAAAAGAGAGAGAGAGATAGAGAGAGATAGAGAGAGAGAGCGAGAGAGGGATTGGCCGACCACGTCCATTCTGTTTTGGCGTCTCTCCTTCAAGCACAAGCTGGCTTTTGTGTTCTTATATACGCTTTGATATTTCTTCCCGTTTAGCATCAGCCCTCTGCCAATGGCCGAGGGTTGTTTGATAGCACCTTTGATTTGACGAGAACCGCGCATCTGCTGATCATCAAGGGCTTGACAGATTGTTCGGGCATGCAAAGGTCTTGGTTGATCTTTTTGTGCCTTTTGGTGTTTTTATCACCTTGTTTTTTCCCGCCCCACTCGTCCTGTTGTGGGCGAATTTTGTGGCTAGGCCTTTGCTGCGCACGTGTGTTGTGATTTTTTTGAAAGGGTTGTGTGTTTGACCCGCTGGAAATGTTTTGCTGTCTCTGATCCTTATTCTCGCTCATGATTTGCTCTTGGCGCCAACTCTGAATTGAATTGAATTGAATTGAAAGGCAGGCTTGAGTGTTGTTGTCCAGGTGACGAAACCACCGACTGAGACACGGGCACCTTGTGCCGGCGGACAGCAGATGAGCGGCTGTGGTTTAGTGGCGCTTGAAGTAATCCAGCTTGTCGTCGGGGGTGGGGATAATCTGTCGGGGGAAGACAAAAGCGGGTGAGCTTTGCCAGGCGAGTGGATTTGTACTTGGCGCCACAAGCAAAATAGGTAGGCCAGACATACCGTGTCATCTCCGGGCTGCCAGTTGGCGGGGCACACAACGCCGTGTTCGTCTGTGTGTTGGAAGGCCTTGACAAGGCGCAGAGTTTCTTCGACCGAGCGACCAACCTAGGCAGGTTTGGGGGTGGAGGACGGGGCTTTGAGCAGGTCGCGCTCTAGAGCAGGTCATTGACGGATGTGTTCTTACCGGGAGGTCATTCACGGTGGACTGTCGAAGAATGCCCTTGTCGTCAATGATAAACAAACCACTGTGGCACGAGGGGAGGCGAATGCGGTTGGCGGCCCTAGTTCGTGAGCGCTAGAGTTTCAGTCGGGGCGCCATGAAGTAGGGGAGGCAAGTGGTTCGCAATATGTGTATACCGGAGGCTATGGCCAGCGTCGCGGAGGAGCACGCCGTAGTCGGCAGAGATGGAGTGTGTCAAGTCGGAGACGAGTGGCATGCTCACAGCGCCGAGGCCACCCTCATTGGTGGGCGTCTGCGTCCTGTAACATGCGTCAATCAGTGAGCCTTAGGAGTTTTGATTCAGCCTGGCGGGAGGGAGCACTGTAAAGCCCATTCCAAGGTCTGACGAACCAGACTTTGAGGGTGTAGACCGAGTCAACGGTCACGATCAGCAGCTGATGATAAAAGAAAAAAGAGAGAAAAAAAGGAAGGGTATGATGAGGTCTGGCACACTCACTCACTCTTGCCCGAATGCTTGGGCGCATCGGACGAGGAGCCAGGACGGGGGATGTACCTGGGTGTTGTGAGCCTTGAACTGGTCGATGGCACGCTCAAAGGCCAGGACCTCCGTGGGGCAGACAAAGGTGAAGGCCAACGGCACAAACATCAAGACTACGTATTTGCCCTGATGAGCACGCGCATGGGGGGTGAGTCTGGGCAGAGCCACGGGCCTGGTCAGGTGATGCCGGTCGGCTGGTCGGAGGGCAACGATTCGCTTGCCTCGTAATCAGCCAGTGAGACTTTGGTAAGTTCACCATCAATCACGGCATCGGCCGTGAAGGCGGGGGCCGGAGCCTGAATGCGTGCCGTGGTGCTGGTGATGTCATGGTTGCTGGGATGACTATGGACGCATCGACCGGCCGAGCGGAGGGTTTAGCAGCCGCCACAGTCCACAAATTGCATCGGTTTTCCTCGAAACACTGGCCACCGACGAACGATACCAACCGATGCTGAAGGTCCCGTCCACAGCATCCACAGGACTCTGCCTGAACACCGCCCAGCAGCGCCACAAGCGCCAGGAGAGCCGTCACTGCCATCAAAACACCGCTGCCGTACGCCATCTTGTCGTCAGCGAGAGAAAAAATGTCAAGCGTTTGAGAGAAAGAGAGTTTTTTAAAGTGATTTGAAGAGATATGGAGGGATTCTAGAAATTTTAGTGGTGATTTCAACGGGTTTCATAGAGGGTTTGAGAGATGCGAAGGCATCCGCGAGACGTGTGAGAGATGTGTCTAGGTGTGTGTGTGACCGTGTTTTGCTGGAACTTTCAGTGCTTCAGACATCTGGGTCATGATATGAATTTTTCCTTAAAGTAGAGACAGGCGGAGAAGCAGAGCTCTCGATGCGGGGAGGACAACATAGCAGGCTGCGAAAGGGAGGTGCCTCAGGCGATCCCCAATGTAGCCCGTGAAACCTCGTATGGGAGACTGGGGTTCGATGCGGCTGAATCATCAAATATCGGGACCGCATGCATGGCAGCAGACCGGGAGAGGGGCTCATGCGTCAAGGCCGCAGCCTCTGACACATGCGATCAAAGGCTAGAAGGAATCAAATAGCGGCTGATTGTTGACACCAGAACCCAGGGCCCCACGGCAACACGCACACTCTCAAGCCCTGCCCGAGGCTATCGTGGGCAAGTGGCAGAGGCCACAAGCCCCTGAGACAGAGAGAAGAAGAGAGCAACTGGACGAGACAGAGAGAAGGGAAAGGTGTGTGGGAAGAGAGGGCGAAGGAAGAAAGAAAGGAAAAAAAAAAAAAAAAAGCAGCAGCAGTAGTAGATATCAACCAACAAAGCCAACGCCAAGAACACCGAGGAACAGGAGACAGGGAGTGAGGCAGGGAGCCTGCTGCTCATGACTTGTAGGGGCCGGTAGGGGGTGCCACGGGATTGGATGGCTGTTGATAATAGCCCATGGGGGGTGGCGGGCTCTGTGTGTAGCCATGAGGATATGGGGTGGTGCCCGGGGGCATGGCTGCGGCATACTGTTGGTGGGCGGGTGGGTAGGCCGTCTGTGCTGTTGGTGTGTAGGCAGGCGGGGGGACATTGTTGTTCATAGGGGCATGGTAGGGGCCGGGCTGTTGGGGATGGCCGTATGGGCCAGCTGATGTGGGGTAGCCCGCAGCGGCGGGTGGCGGGCTGAGGGCCTTGAGTTGCCAGGGGAAGGCACCGCGGTTGCGACCACCCGAGTCTTGGCGGACGTTGTAGACGAAGCAGTTGTGTTCGGGGCTGAAGCGTTTGCCGACGACTACGCAGGTCGTTTCGAAGCCATGCTGGCTCTTGTACGAAACACGCTGGTTCACCTCAAAGTACTCCATAACGTACGATGGCGGCGGACGGGATTCCGCGGCGCCCATGATGAACGGTGTGTGGTGTGCTGGGCCGCCGCGCAAGCTTCACGACAAATGTCCCGACGAGCTCAAGCCCAAAGTGGGGCAGCACAACAATGAGGCGTCAAGGGCAGAGCGCGGCAAACAAGAGGCAAGGCTGCCGGGTTTGTGGCCAGGGTGAATGAAAGCAGTCGAAATCCAGCCGAGAGAAGCTCTATCGCCAACAGCGAAAAGGCGCGGTGAGCAGCAATGGAGTGTGTACCAGAAGCAAGCTCGGAGACCGGGAAATGGCGCCGTGGCCGTCAAGTGACGTGTGTATGTATGTATTGTATGTGCATGTATGTTGCCGAGGGTCAACCAAAGCTTGACGATCGCCCTGTGCTCTGCCCTTCCGAAGAAAAAAAAAACGGAGCAGACGTAAACGAGGCGGCTGGATCTCTGTGTGCGTGTGTGTGTGTGTGTGTGCGTTTCCCCTCTGAACCCAAGTTGCATACATGTGTGTGTGTGGTACATGTGGCATCATCGAGCAGGAAAAGGGGTCGGAGAAGGCAAGGAAGAGCGGGAGAGACCAGGGACGCGAACACCCGGGGCAAGAACAAACACATGACCGGACTGACCTCAAAGAGAGATGCGATGATGACGACAGCAGTTGGAAAAATGAAAAGACAGAGAAAGAGAGAGAGAGAGAGAGAGAGAGTGTGTGTGTCAGTGGTGAGATGATGAAGATTGCATTGAAACCACACACACACACACACACACTCTCTCTCTCTCTCTCATCGCCATTTTGAAATGTAGCAGCCAGGTACACTGCCCTGCCCTGCTACCCCTCTCCTCCTCACCCAGCCCCAGCCAGCTCGTCGCCTGTCTGTCCCGGGCTGCCCTCGTTGCATGATGACCACACGCACCGCCCTCCTGTGAAAACGTAAACCTGTTGTTCGTCAACCAACCGCGCGCGCACGGTCCATGGATTTGTCTGACAACGACGGGTGGTACATGTGTTATGGCACATGTACCGGGGAAAGTATTTTACTATCCCCACTCGTTCAAAGATGCTTTCCTGTGTGCTGTTGGTGAGGGGCCTTGTAGCCGCAGAGTCAAAAAGCATGATTCAGAGATAAATTCATGACACGACTAGAGCACGACATGCTAGAGAGGTGATGCTGGAATGCCCAGGGATTGACTGGTCCACCTGCCGCAAGAGAGAGAGAGGATCAGCAGGGTAAGACGGTGTCAGCACCACGACCACCAATAGCTCAACAGGCCAAAAGAAAAAAACAAGCAAGGGGAAAAGAAAAAAACAAGAATGCGCTCAGACAAATGCCTCGTGTTTGTCTTCAAGAGATCGCAAGGGTAACGGCGGGTCGAGACCGCACAGAACGTGAAGCCTCGTCCCACACTGGCGTACCCTCACTTTCAGACTCGTCATCTAAATCGAATCGTCACTGCGCTCTTTTCCCCCCGACAACAAAAAAAACAACAACAACAGCACAACAACCAAAAGACACGCGCGACCATTTCACTTGCCTGCGCTACAGCGTGCAAAACTGCTAACACTCGTCAAAGATGCTGCTGCTCGAGGCTCACAAGCTACGAAGAATAGAAAGAATAAAAAAAAGGTGAGAACTTAGGCTTCAAGTTCACGAGTCCATTGGCAGTCGGGAGCAGCATCAGGTTAGCTGTTTTATCAACACGGGAATTCAGCCCCGAAAGATGGTTGATATGATAAGCATACTCATCATGTGCGCCGTCGCATTCACAACTCGTTCACTCGCCATTCACAGCTCACCTGAGGCAGAGAGTGAGAAAAGGAAGAGAAAAATGCCACTGACCGGCCCACGTTGTGTGTGGTCTTGTGACCGTTGACTCCCTTTGAGGTCCAAAACTCGTTCACCCACACACTTTCACCTTTTTTTTTTTCTTCTCTCTCTTCTCAGCTTGGTGTTTCCTTTTTAATTTTAAAGGGGAGCTACAAGTTTAGCTTCGCTCTCAAGGATGGAAAACGAGAGATTTTTTTTTTTTTGGATTGCTTACACAGAAAACACAAGCCATCCTCTCTCGCCAATCTCGCGCGCCATCAAACCCACCAAGCACCACGGACAAAAAGAAATAAGACACAGACAGTCGCGCATGACACAAGCAAGAGAGGCTAGATGGAGCGAGAGCATTGGGACAGCAGCGCCACAGTGCCCTGGGCCCTCTGTCGCCTAGGTCGTACGAATTTGGTAGTCGCCGTTCATGGTGATGTAGCGCACCCACGGCAACGCCTGATAACCGCTCTTCTCGATAATCTTAAGATAGCGCACCTATGACGGTCAAAGAAAACAGCAAAGTAAAAACGTCAAGCCCCCCCGTGCAACGATCCTTCGTCGCAGCGAGGCGGGTCGTCCCGTTGCACGTACCTGGATGCCCGAGGTGGTAAAGTAGGGAATCTCAAACTTCACTTGGATCGGAGGGCGAGATTCGGCCTCCTCCGACTCGACCGAGGGCAGGTTGAAGTGGGCGCGCATCATAAACTCTTTGCCACCGGGAAACTGCTTGATGGTCCAGACCACGGCCGACAACTCTGGCGCATACTTGCACGTGCCCATGACTGTCTTGAACGTTGGCGTGTCCGCATCCGCAGGCACGGGCACGATAATCTGCACGTTGTTGGCCGTCGAGCGACGCTTAAAGTTGGATTTGGCCTTGATCATGTACTCGACGCGCGAGTGCGAATGACGCTCAATCACACTCTCAATCCAGATCAATGGCTTGACATGTTGCGTCAGTCGATAGGACATGAGCTCAAACTCGCCCTCGGGCGGCACAAAGCTGATCGTGTGATCCGTGTCAAATCGTGATAACCGCACGCATTGATGAAACTTGACGTCTTCCAACTCCACACTCTTGCCCTTGCCGCCGCCTATGGCAAAGCACCACAACAAAAGAGGCACGGATCAGTGACCTTTCAGAAGCATACCAGCCACAGAAACCCCTCCTCAGCCGGCACTGCAGATGAGATGGTCTTTTCGCTACGCTGGTATCTCATCTGCACCCGATCTCGTCTGCACCACGACAATTCAAACGTACGGCGACCCGTCGACTCAAAGACGACCTTGTCGTTCAGACCCAGTCTCAGCTCGGGCATGCCTGTTTAGCGTTCAAAAAGGGCGTGAGTGCTATTTTTTGAAAAAAAAAAAAAAAAAAAAAAAAAAAAAAAAAAAAAAAAAGAATCGCAGCAAATGGAGATGCGCCACATACCGCTGAGCTGAACGCGCATTTGCACCGAGCCCGCAATGTCCGAGTGCAGCACATTGCCGCTGGCGCTGACCAGTAGATTGATCGATTCGACCACATCCAAAAATACCTCGTTCTTGCGGTGCTTGATGCCATCCGCGCGCCACGAGACAGCATTGGTCACGGCCATGGGTGGGCGAGGTGCCGCCGCCTCCAGCTTGCGGCCCGTCTGTGTAATGTATGTCTGTATGTGTGCCAAACAATCAAGGACCAGATGAATGAAAAACCCACCAAGAAGGAACCGAGTCGGGCGACCACGGTGGTGGGAGCGCAGGTACATTTGTCGGCTCAGTTGCGCACCTGCAAAATCTGAGACTCGGTGAATTGCGGATAACCAAAGTCCATTAGCTCGTCAAGGAGCTCGTAGATGATGACAAAGTTGTCGCGAATGGATTCCTCCTCCAGCGTTGTAAAATAGTCAATCAGAATCTAGCCCACAACCATAGCATGAAGCAAAGTTGAATTGAGCTGATCGTCTGGATTGTCTGGGCAGTGAGTTGACGAATGGCATGCTGTCCTCCTTCTCCAGCGCCTGCTTTGAAGCCACTGGGGTAACCGGCCTTGTTGCTTACCTCGACCAGGCGGTGAAGGAACACAAAGACTAGCGCGGCGTTGGCGTTCTTCTTGCTAGCAGCCACCACGTAGAGGTTCTCGTGTTTGATGTACATGTAGTTGGCCTGCGCCACGCCGGTTCATTTCATGCAGGAGAGGGCACAGCATGCAGCGTGAAAGTCACCCAAAGGTTAGACATCAATTTTGTCAACACGAGCGGGACGGGCATGAGCGAGATAGGCACGAGCGCACAACCAGGTTCACACCTTGTCGCTTGAAACAATGGGCGTTGCAACGCCTTCGTCCTCATTGTCAAGGGCTAGGGCCAAAAACTCGTCAATGCAGTTGCGCGGCAAGTCACCACGGTAGTCGCGCGAGATCAAGGCCTAAAGCACGGTTTCAGCCATGGAGTGACACGGAGCAAGGGTGAGCGCGCCAAATCACTGAGCTCAAACCCAACTGGCCCCTCATCACACGGCACTGCTCAGCCTGCATCCAGGCACCAAGACCAAGCGCCGTGGCCAAGTTTCCGCCCGATACAGGTGGGTCAAGGCTGGGAATCAGGGTCAGGGAGGCGAACCGCACCTTGCCCTTGAGGTCCAGGATGTAGATGGCCGAGGCCGACATGATGAAGGTGAGTCGTCGACTGACGGTCGAACAAGTCTTAACACAGCCGTCTCTGTTGTGTGCCGGCAATTGGCACAAACGCTCCACCCGTCACCGGCCCTTTCCAATTGTTTCAATGCTCGCCTTGATAGGTAGCCCAGGGACCTGGCCGCCCTGGCAATCGAGTCTGAGACACCGACGCCACCAGCCAGTGACCACTCGATCTCGTCGTTCCCGTTCCGCTCGAAACAACAACACCGACAAAATAGCCCAAAGGGGATCAAATCGAGCAAAAGGATCAAAAGTATCAGCATATCACAAAGAACCAGAGCTGGAATGGGATGGAAATGTTTGTATCATTGTGGGGGTGTTATTCTTCGAAAACGTATTCAGATTACAACAAGTTGTATTTTCTGACAAAAGCTGGCCTCAATCAATCAGGGCGCTGGGTAGGTAGTAAATTCACAAGGTCCCAGAACCAAAAAAGAAAAAAAAAGAAAGAAAGAGGGAGCAAGTGAAGAACAATGGAACAAATAAGAGGGTAAAGAGTCAGCTAGAGAAAACCGGCGAACCAACTGCCGGGATTTGGGTCAGAGGACACCAAATCACAAGGCGACCGACCGTTTCGGGCAACATGACGAACGTGCATACAAGACACAGACCACAGAGCAGCGATCGGGAGCAAGCAGAGAGGCATGTGGTGAATCTGGCAAAAACTAAAAACATCAAACATTAAACAGGAAAAGAAAGAAGAAGAAGAAGAAGAAGCAAAAAACCAGAGGCACGAGTACAAAAGCAGAAACCAATGAAACCGCCAGATGCAACCATGAGGGACGAAATGCACGCGCACAAGACAGGGGTCGAGGTCGAGAATAGAAAAGAAAAGACAACAAAGGTTGGTAAGATTGGGGTGAGCGATAGGACCCAGAGAACAAGCGGGCTGTGGATGGGGCTAGGCTGGCACAGCCGACTCAGACCACGCTATCCTTGGATTCACGCCGAGGTGGCGGTACGGGCGGTGGCGACTCGGTCCCTTCACGTTCCGTGGTGGACTGTGGAGCGCGACCCAACATGCAGCCGCGTAAGAAGAACAAGGGAGAAAAAAAGAAGAAGGAGAAGAAGAAGAAGAAGAAAAAAAAAAGCCACAATTGTGGACAGGGGGAACGGTTCAATCGCGGGGCAAGACGTACCACCACTTCGTAACGCTTGCGCAGGGTCACGGGCGCCTCGTCCATGGCCGTATACACTTCATCACCTTCGTTCAGGGCGTCCAGCACCTCTGCCTCCGATGGTGGGAGCGTTGAGTTGGGCACATTGGCATCTGACATATCTTCGTCTACAGACACGGACACGGACACGGACACGGACACGGACACGGACACACAGATACGCCATGCGAACCAAGGTCAGAAAGGCATGTCAACTCGCATTGTATGACAGCATTGATTCATTTCGACCTACATATTTCACCATCCTCAGATACCAGCATGTTTGAGGTTGGGTCCGGCTGGGTGTCGGAAGCGGCGGTCACTTCGCTGGGCCCACCCTCAGCCGTCTCCATGCTCTCATAAATGGCAGGGTCTTTCTCGTCCCCAGCGCCATGAGTAGCCTGCTCTGTATCCATGCTTTCATACACGGCATCGGTTTCCGTCTCTGCAGCCCCGCTGCCAGGACCTTCCAGGTCCACGCTCTCGTACACGTCGGGCTGGGGTGAAAGCGAGCGCTTGCGAGCGGCTTGGTCATTCGAGGGCTCAGCTTCCGTTTCCACGCTCTCATAAATGTCTCCGTCAACTGGCCTGGTATCGGCCGGTACGCGTCGAATGTTCTCTTGGCTACCACGCGGTGGGGGAAGGGCTGGAGCGCGGGGGCTTGGTCGTGGGGGCAATGACGGCTGCGGGGTTGGGCTAGCCGGGCCCTCCTCCTCGTCGGACATATCGTTGGCAGCAGCGTATACGCTCGAGTCTAGGGCCAAGGCATCGGCGTCTGCATACATGGTCGGTTCACGGGACACGTGGTCTGCCGTGTCGTATATTTGAGCATCATCCGTGGGGTTCTCCAAAGACTCGTACACGGGCAGGGGGGCACTTTCGTCAATATCCGCACCCGTCTCCGCTCCCGGCGGAGCAGAAGAGCTTGCAGACGCCACATCACGGTCGGTACCGGGCGCCGGCGCCGCATCCGTTGATGTCTTGGCCACCGCTGCTGGTGCTTGGTGACGCTCTCGGTGCTTGGCCATCTCCTCGGGGGACAGTACGGCCACGCCGACAACGCTGCCCTTCATGTCCAAGGGAAGACCCTCAACAGTTGTTTCAAGCTTGGCCGGTTTGGGGACCGCTTCTAGCAGGAGGCGCACCGAAGAAACATCCATTTCCACGTTTTGGTTGTTGACAAAGCCCACGGCCTTGTTGGCGTTGCGACACACCCACACGCCGCTGGGCCCACGGCTCATTTCCAAAATCTCCAGGCGTTCGCCGAGCGCAATGGGCAAAAACGTTTCGTGAAGAGATGACGCAGGTGGTGCCTTGGTCACACGGCCTTGGCCACACGTCTCGGTGCGCGCCTTGCACTCATCCAGCAAGGCTCGATCCTCCTCCGAAATCTCCGGGACGGCTTCGGATTTCTTGCGGCGAAACAGGCCTCCACCCGAGCGCTTGCGCGTCGGTGGCTTTTTCTGTTTTAGGAAAGGGAGGTGGCGGGTAAAGGCCCATGAGCAAGGCGTGCCAGGCATTGGGCACGGGTACCCATACTCAAGTCAAAGCGTAAACGCACGGTTGCTTGGGCAGGAGCTGGCGTTGCGCCCGTGGAAGCCTGGGGCTTGCTCCCAGAGGCAAACACATCTGCTGCGCCCTCGCCCTCACCCTCGCCCTCGCCCCCGCTGCCCGCCGGGGCTTCTGCGATGCCCGAAAGACCGGTTGAGGCTGCGGCGCTAGCCTGAGGTTCACCTTCCTCCTCATCAGTGTCAGCCTTGGCGTAGGGCTACGCAGTAACAAGCAGTGTTTCAAGGCCGGTGAACTGGGTGTTGTCTCAATAACAGGCCGCAAAGCAGGTAGAGCACGAACCTGGGGAAGCTCGGGTGCTGTTGACCCCGGATTGCTTTCGCCTCCACCAGAGGTTGCGGTGGCATTCTAAGGAGGTGGCGAAGAGGGTGCGACAGGTGACGAAGTGAGGCATTTGCATGATTGGCGCAAAGCAGCATTATCCTGGGCAGTGGGCGAGGTGCATCGAACCGAAGCCATCGAGTCTGTGCGGCAGATGGCCGACTCGCGTTTTTTAGCCACGTAGACCTCTTCCTGCCCTTGCTGAGGTTCGAGATATGTGTTGCTGCTGTGGTCTACGCGAATCTGGGCAAGTTGATTTTTGCCCCGGAACATTTCATCCGCTTCGTCATAGTTATCCATGTCATCTGCACGAGAGGCGCATTGGGGAACGGGGAGTGGAGTGACAGGGTTGCGGCAGGCGACCCAGAGACAGAGCGGTGGAATGAAAAAAACAAACAAACAAACAAACAAAAAAACAAACAAACAAAAAAAACAAAAAACAAAAAATTAAACAGGACACTGCAATGAACGCGTACCGTCTGTATCGCTATCCTCGCCGTGAGGACGGCGTGCAGAGACGGCAGTGTTGGGTAACTTGGGAGGGGTGCGGCGATTACTGGCGATTGGGGCGGGATCGGCATCGGCGGGGAGGCTTTTGGGCGGGCGCGGGGGTGGAGTACCATCTGTGACAAGAGTCACGGTGGTGCTCGCGGGCGTCGAGGGCGGCGGCTTGGACGGGCGAGGGGGAAGGCTGCCAGAAATTCAGGGGAGGTGGTGGTGGGGGGGGGTCAGAAAAGGCAGCAGGCATGCTATGGGTGTGTATGTGTGTGTGTGTGTGTGTGTGTGTGTGTGTGTGTGTGTGTGTGTGTGTGCGCGCGTGAGGTAATGGAGCCCTGCTTTACGCACCGTGTGGAACGCTTGTCTTTGCGGACCAGGATCTTCGGCTCTGGGGTCAGTTTGGGACGGGAGGCACGCGAGGGCACCTCGGGAACGGGTTCCACTCTGGGTGAAAACAAAACGTGAGGCATGTCCTTATTGGACCCAAAGAAATCATGGGGGTTTTTTTCGTCCCTTTTTCTTCTTATGAAGGCAAAGGGGGCATGGTTTGAGCAGCGTAAGGAAGCCAGCGTACCGGCGCGGGGGAAGAGGGGGCAGGGTGTCGCCTTGTTCGTCGAGGTTGTCATAATCATTTGCGTCATCGCCTTCTTCATCCTCGTCGGCTGGTAGGCTGGAGGGGGCAACGCTGGGGTTGATGGGTAGACCAGCGGTATCACAGTATTCGTAGCTGTTGTCCTCTTCATCATCGCCATCTTGGGCAGCGGCAGGAGGAGCAGCCATGCCCCGGCCAGGAGAAGACAAGATGGGATCGGGAAGTTCATAGTTGTCATCGTCGTCGTCTTCCCCACCGTCCAAGGTTGTGGGAGGAGCAGCCACTGGTTCAGCGGGGGTGGGGACCTCGATTGGGGTCGGGTTGAGGTCTGCGGCCGTGTCTGGGGCCGGGCTGTGGGAATGTGAAGGGGATTCCGATGCGGGAGGCTGTTCAGGAATGGTAGGTTGTGGAGCAGTTGTGGCCATTGGTTCAGGGGTAGTGGGAGCAGAGGAGCCCGAGCTGGTAGCCTGGGAGGGAGGGCGAGGGCGAGGCTTGGGTTTGGGACGCGGCGTTGGGGTGGGGCCCTGGGTAGCGGCGGCTGCATCTGCCGCGTGAGTATCATTGGAAGCTTCTGGTCTAGTGACGCTCGGCGGCCTGAGGAGGTGGCGGGGGTGAAAAAAAAAAACACCGGTGAGCTGTGAAGGGACAATGTACGCGGGATCTGGGGGCAGCGGGGCAGCATACCGAGGGCGGGGGGCGACCGGGGGTGCAGCTACGTGCAATCAATCAGATGGAAATGTGGTGAGAGAGCATGCATGCGTTGGAAGATGGAACAAGCTAGAGAAGAGTACACATGGAGACAGAGAGAGACAGAGGGAGAGAGAGAGCAAGGGCAGCAGCAGCGCGCAGGGCTCAGGCACTTTACCTGGCATGGCGACGGTCAAAATTAAAATCAATGCGCAAAAAGGCGTCAAAGATTGAGCAAGGCAACGCGTTTGGGCTCAAGTGACAGCGGCAAGGGCAGGGTCTGCCGTTGGCTTTTCTCTGCTTTTAGGAAGCAGGCCGCGGGCCGAGCATGCTCATGGCCTGGCGGGGACGATGTGGTCTGCCCGTGCCCAGGCTCGGGTTTGCCGTCAAACACGATCAACACCCAACACTGCATTTATCAAACCCCAGGCAACGATCAGCCCCAACGGCTGCTAGAATCAACACACGCGCCTCCCTTTCAGCACTGAAGCAGGCGAACGCAGGCGCACCGACAGGCAGCCAGAAACCGAGCACCACGACCCGACCGGCACAGCGATAAGTGAGAGAGAGAGAGAGAGGGAGAGAGAGAGAGAGAGAGACGTTAACGAGAGAATGAGATCAAGAAAGATCAGAAATCAGAGAGAGTGGGGGCATGAGGTTTAACATTCAGAAAAACAGCAAGAGAAAGACGTTAAAATGAGAGAGAGACATCCCAGAGTGAGAAATCGCAGAGAGAGAACGATATGAATAGATGTCGTGAGAGAAGTAAAGTCGAGTCCAGTTCAGGTTCAGTCCAACTGGTCTTTTTTTTTGACACAAGAGACAGAGACACAGAGACTTTGAGCAAGAGATTAAGAGGGAGAAAGAGATTGAGCGAGAGATTGAGAGGGGGAAGAGATGGAGAGAGAGTTTGAGAGTTTGCGAGGGTTTGAGAGAGTTTAAGACGGTTTAAGACGGTTTGAGAGAGCTTGAAAGAGTTTGAGAGAGTTCGCGAGAAACAGAGAGAGTTTGAGAGAGGCAGAGAGAGATCGGGAGAGTTTGAGAGTTTGAGACAGTGTGCGTACAATACGAAATCCACTGAATGAACACACACAGCAAGTATCGACATGTGAAAGTGTGATAAAGTATACCACTTCTAGTGGTACTTTTTGTGTTCTTCCTCCTTGCGCTTGTGTGTCTCTCTTCGATCTCTCTCTGTCTCTCTTGGGCTCTGTCTCTCTCTCTCTCTTGGGCTCTGTCTCTCTCTCTTGGGCTCCGTCTCTCTGCCACTATCTCAGTGTCTCGGTCCCTTTGCCTCTGTCTCGGTGTCTCGGTCTGTCTCTCTCTGTCCCCCCCCTTCTCTGTGCACTTCTTCTCTCTGCTTCTATCCTATCTATGGGCTGAACGCGCTCGGATCGCTGCTTTCCTTTTTGAGCGTTGTATAACTCTTGTGACTCTTGTCGTCACTCACACACACACACTCACACCCACCCTCTTGTGACCATGTGTCCAGCAGTTGACCGCAAGAAGGCGCCTTGTGCCTTGCTGGCTCGCGTAGCCGATTGCGTCCTCAGGCTCGCTACGCACAGACACCTTGCCCTTTACCACACCCTAGCGATCCTTTCTTTCTGTTCCCCTCCCCCCCGCCACACTCCTGCCACCGCTGTGCAAGTCCTGCCGCCGGCCCGTCGACGCTGCGTCACTGTCTCCCTACGCCCTCGGAACTTGTCCTCCAATGGCTCCGGTGAGAAAATCCGTAAAAATGCTGACATTCGTCTCCCAACTAAAATCTGACATTTCTTATGGCAATGGGAAATTGGGTATAGGTTTAACGGAGAAAAACTTGGCCTCGACAATACACAACCTGTCTTGTTTGGCAGATCTGAGCATGATGTGTGATTGCGTCGTTCTGATGCTATGACGCATGTCGAAGCCACTAACCTCCCAACGATAAACCTTATCATCTGTACGTTTGTTACACTTTGAGCCGCGTAAAGTGTGAATATTATCACAGTATCGCTTGTTGCCTTCTCGGACGGCAGCTGTGATCACACGTGTAAACATCTGCTGACGGCTGTCGTCGGTCGCTTCCATTCGGGCTTGCTGCTCGTTGACCGAGTGGAACGTGTGTGTGAGATCCGAGTCGAGAAAGGGCAGCGGGTGTCCTTGCCGATTATCGCTTCAAGGGTCCTGAAGAAGCGCGCACGCCTCGGCGGCGCTGCCATGATACTGGTAGTTGGGCCTTGAGGCATGCAAGGAAGACTTGGCTTGGGGCGTTTCTTTTGTTCTCTCTGACTTTGCTGACTTGTCCTTCTCTCTCCCTTTCACTTGTTTTACATGCGCTTTTCCATTGAAACAAAGCGCTCTTCCATCACACCTCTAACCCTCTTCAACGCTCTGCTGCGATTGCTTCTGCAGAGACAGAGAGAGAGAGAGAGAGAGAGAGAGATTTTTTATTTTTTTTTTCGGCTCTCGCTCTCTCTCTCTGTGTCTCTCTCTCTCTCTCTGTGGTCGACTGCCATTTGAAGCACTTGAGCATCTGTGTTTGCGTCGTGCGCTGCCCGGTTGAGTCGGACGCTACGCTTGTTGTGTCGGGGTTTTACAGCACCTTGAAAGGTTTGTCTGGCAATCTCCTGGCTGAGCTATCCTTAGCTGGTTGCTTAGCTCTGGCCACGTATGCCTGTGTGTGGTAGTGGCCGTCTCTCACAATGGTTCGGAACCTGCTGGGCCTCTTTGTGCTGTAGATGTTGCGCTTGGCTGCTCAGCGTTTGCAGGGTGTGGTTGCGGCTGCCAACCCCGCCACCCTCTCCTCCGCCCCTCGGTTCCTCGTGGCGGCCCGTCGCTATCATCAAAACGTCCGTCGATCGCTCACTCTCACACAAACTCTCGCACTCTCTCGCACTCTCTCGCCTCGCCCCCGACACGTCAGCCCAACATCTTGCGCCCTTTCCTCATCGACTCTTGAACACGACGCTTCCATTGGCTTGTGCGCAGGTGATTGACCATTACGAAAATCCTCGCAACGTCGGTTCGCTGGACAAGGCCAATGAAAAGGTCGGCACGGGTGTGGTCGGGGCCCCTGCCTGCGGTGACGTTATGAAGCTGCAGATTGAGGTTGATGACAACGGCATGATCAAGGAGGCCGTCTTCAAGACGTTTGGCTGCGGTTCTGCCATCGCCTCCAGCTCTCTGGCCACCGTCATGATCAAGGGTCTGCACGTACGTTTGTTTTCTTATTTCTTTAAGTATTATTTTTATTTTTAATTTTCTTTTTGTTGGCGTGTCCTTGGCTCTTCTGCTCAAGATCTTCCTCCCCGCCTTCCGGGTCGTGCTGCTTGCTCTTGCTCACCCCCTTGTTTGCTTTGGTAGATTGATGAGGCGGCCAAGATTCAGAATTCAGACCTGGCAAAGGAGCTCCGGTTGCCCCCCGTCAAGCTGCATTGCTCCATGCTGGCAGAGCAGGCCATTCAGGCGGCCATCAAGGACTACCGTACAAAGTCCTCCACCGATACCCCGCAAGCTGCCACGGCCTGAGGTCGTTTGTTGTCACTGTGTTGACCTTTCCTTGCTCTTTTCGTTTCCCGCCGTGACGTCTTGCGCCTTGTTCATGCCCCTTCCTTTATCTTTGTCTTGTTTTTGTTCTTGGATTTGATACGTCAACCTGTATGCACAAGCCCCTTTGCGCCGTGCACTCGTCGACTCGGTGAATGACTTTTCCTTTGATCGCCTTGTTTGAGGTGTTGTTGCCAGGCCTCCTGTTGCTTTCTGCGCAATGTTTCTTTCTTTTCCTTGATGGTTCTGGAATGCAACGCGCGGCTGCCTTCGTCTCGTCTCAACCATCGGCTTGTCCAGTTGGCTTGCGCGCTGTTTGTTTGTTCGTTTGTTCGTTGCCGACCATTGGCATGCCAATTGCATCTACTAGCCTGGCTCCCCTCCACCTTCCTTTGAGCGCCCGTCTTTGTACTGGCTCGTGTTCTAGCTCTCAAGTGCTGAAACAAATCCTAACCCTTTTGGTAAAGCGTGGCCTTGATCGATTCTAATGACAACCAAGGGCAGGTCGGGAGAAAAACCAAAAAAAAAAAACCAAAAAAAAAAAAAAAAGGGAATCGCGCACAGCGCGGCACGAGCAGCCGGATCGTGCAAGGACGCTCCGGTCAGCACTGGCCAAGATGGGCCGTGGTGTGTCGGGCCAGAGGTGACCGGAAGAGTTACAAGAGCGTGTTGGCCAGCCAAGCAATGGCATCTTGTGCTTGAGAGACGGTGTGCCGACCCAACTGGTAAGCTCCTGTCAGGGTACTCGTAGAAAAGGCTTGGTCTGCTGCCTTGACCAAATGTTGCCATTGAACAGCCGCCGCATCCTGGGCTTTTGTGCGCCACTCCTGCAGCGTTTCTCGCGCGTGCTCGCGGTCCTGGAACTTGTCTTGCAGGTCATGAGCTCGTGCTTGAGCTCCCTGCATGGCTCGCTCCGACCTGCAGCAGCTCAATCAGAGGAGACAGCAAAAGGAGGCAGGAGGTGAGCGTGGCGAGGGAGCCGGGCTTGTTGACGCGAGCAACCCGGCCATGAAAGAAAAGAACAATGGTTCTCGACCAACGCCACGGGGCCACGCACCAGGACGGTTGTCGTTCAGCAGGGCCCGACTGGCGGCCGGCAGTCGAGGCTGGTGCGCTTGCCTCGCGTGGGTTGCCTGCTGCCCGGGCATCAACACTGCCAAGCATGTGGACACAAGGGCATTCGGTTAGCGATTCTATAGAGTGTTCAAGCGACCCGGCAAAGCCACGACGTGTCTGAAAGACACATGGCTGCGCGCGCGCACAGGCCGTACGGTTTGGTATTTTGAGTAATGAGAACGCGGAAGCCCGCGAGCGCAGCGAGTTCGTTTGGGTGCGGAACCGGACGATTCTATAAAACCAGCAACACGGCACAATCACGGGTGACGTGAGTGCCGAGCCGCCGCATCACAGCATCAAGCCCCGCCGTCGAAGAGAGCGTCGTGGACCGCTTGGCCACGACAACTTGGCAACACCGCGACACCGAGCCCATTGGCCAATTAAAACAAGAAGAAACAAACAAACAAACAAACAGGCAGGCAGGCGTCCACCCACCTCCACGCTGACAATGCTGAGGCCGTAGCAGCGCCCACACGGCTCCCGAGGGTTGACCGGCGGTTGACCAGGCTTGGGTTTGTTCTGCCAATAACCAACGCACGTCTCACGCATCAAAGGGGGCCCGCCCCGCTGATGGCCATGACCCCCCCCACGCTTGGCAGCGCCAGCATTGCCTTCGCCTGGTCCACCAGCACCATGCCCCGATGACGCATGCACCAAACTCTCCCCACTACCCGCCGCCTCCGCCTCCGCCCCGCCAGACCGCCGCCCCGCGCTGCCCTCTTGCGCCCCACTCATCTTCCTCGAAATAATCATCAACATGTAACCACAAGACAGAGAGAGAGAATTTGTGAGAGAGAGGGAATTTGTGAGAGAGAGGGCTCGAGAGAGAGAGAGCTCAAGAGAGAGAGAGCAAGAGAGCTTGGGAGAGAGAGCTTGAGAGAGAGAGAGAAAGAGCTTGAGAGAGAGAAAGAGCTTGAGAGAGAGAAAGAGCTTGAGAGAGAGAAAGAGAGAGAGCTTGAGAGAAAGAGAGAGAGCTTGAGAGAAAGAGAGAGAGAGCTTGAGAGAAAGTGAGAGAAAGAGAGAAAGAGCTTGAGAGAGAGAGAGCTTGAGAGAGAGAGAGAAAGCGAGAAACAAGGAGTATCATTGCTTATCCTTACAGCACGAAAGTTTTTTTTTCTGACAAACAACGATGCTGTAGCAAAGTCTGACATGAGCCACACTTTCGCTCACAACATTTACACACGAGGCCACACACACGTCTCTCTCTCTCTCTCTCTCTCTCACGCGCGCGCGCTGTGTGAGTGTCAAGTGTGTTCCAGCTCGGGGCGACCAGCGTACGAACGAAGCGGGGGCGGCCAGAGCTGATTTTGTGGGGGCAAGGGTTTGGTGTTTTGACAGTGACCTGTTCAGCATGCGTCCTTTGACTGAGGAGGAAACGACCATCTTCTTTGAGAAGTTGACCAAGTAGTACGTCGGCGACGAGACGCACGTCGTGTTGTGTGTGCCATCTCCCCCGTCGTCGCTTCCCAACGCTGCTGGAGGTGACCCTTGGCCTCATGCCTGCCTCGCTTCTCCATCCCGTGTTTGAATGTAGTATCGGCGCCAATGTCAAGCTGCTGATTGACCGACCAGATGGCCTCTACGTCTTCCGCCTGCACCGTGACCGCGTCTTCTATGTCAGGTCAGATCCATGGCCAAACGGGTGCTCCATGTCATGCGCACCAGACCATGCGCCGTGTTCCACGCCCGTCGCCCGCTTGCATCTGATTCAACAACTTGCATCTTGCTCTGCCTCCTCCCCACCCGGGGCATTAACCCTTTTGCATGGATAGTGATGCCATCATGAAGCGGGCCACGTCTTTTGGTCAGAAGAACTTGATCAGCCTCGGTACTTGCTTTGGCAAGTTTACAAAAAAGTCCAACCAGTTCAAGCTCCACGTCACCGCCCTGACGTACTTGGCCCCCTATGCCCAGGTTCGGACCCGCTGCCCTCATCCACCTTCTTCATCCTCCACCTCTTGTTGCGAACCCCCCCCCCCCCCCCCCCTCCGTCGTGACTACCCAGTTTGTTGAGACTGCCGCCTCACCATCCATATGCTCGACCCTGTGTGCTGTGCTGAAATTGCTTGATGTCTCGGATCGAATCGGTGCCGGTTGGCGTAGTACAAGGTCTGGGTGAAGCAGTCTTCAGAACAGTCGTTCCTGTACGGCAATCACGTGCTCAAGAGTGGTCTGGCTCGCATGACTGAGAACACACCCCAACACCAGGGCGTGGTCGTCTACAACATTAATAACATCCCGCTGGTCAGTCTGGTGCCTGCTCCATCACGCCGCGTACCGTCCTGGGTGCTCTGGGGGTGCTCGGCCTGCTACGCCCCCGCGCCTGGTTGTCAGCTTCTTTAATCTGTCCTCACCTGGTGTCACCTGGTGTGATGGTATCATGCCCAAACACAGGGATTTGGTGCCACCTCCAAGTCAACCCAAGAGTGCCGCACGCTGGACCCGGCCGCCATTGTCATCTACCGCCAGGCCGATGTCGGCGAGGTATGTTTAACCTCTTCATCCGAGTCCAACTGAAAGGCGGGCGGGGGATGTATTTTTTCATTTTTTATTTTTCAATTTTTTTATTTTTTATTTTTTTGACTCATCTCTTATTTTGCTCTCGCTCGATGCTAGTACCTGCGCGACGAAGACACGTTGTAAGTCAAGTCTTTTTGCAGCGTGCTGATTAGCTTGTGCCCCCGGGCTCTCCATATGTGTGCGCATGTGCACAAGGGGCTTTCGGGTTTCCTCTTTTCTCAGTCTGGGCAGAGCTCGTGTTGTTTGGGTCGAGGCCTTGGTGCCGTGCCCCGAGGCCCGCGTGTGGCCCATGTCCCCAAGTTACCGTAATCCACTCTGTCACTCGTCATTTTGGCTAATCAACAACAACACACCATTCAAAATCACTCACAATGCGGAGAAAGAAGGACAGACCGACAGACGGAGAAAAACAATTTGCAGCTGTTGTGACAAGCCCCGGTTGTCAGGTTATTAGTTCAGGTCAAGGCACATTGAAGAGTCTTTTATCTCACTTGTCAATTAACATTTTTTTCCATGATGGATGACAGTGGATGAGAGGACGATATGTAAGGTAGGGCGCGTCACTGTAGGCGCGTCCAGTACGAAAACAACAGGGACATTAAGAAGATACAGCGCAACTCGTCACGACTGGCATGCTTGACACTGGGCCCATTCGGGCAGCAGACAGCACGCGGTGCAAATCCGTTGCTTAGTTGTACTTCTGGAAGAGAGCCTTGAGCTTGTTGACATCAGCGCCAATGAGCTCGTCAACCTTCTCGCCATCCTTGAAAAAGTGGAAGGTGGGCATGGCGGAAATGCCAAGCTCGGTGGCCACGTCGCTGGCCTGATCGACATCAACCTTGAAGCACTTGACGTTGGTGAACTCCTCAGCAAAGGCCTCAAACTTGGGGCCAATCATGCGGCAAGGACCGCACCAGGTAGCGGTGAAGTCAATGGCGACGACGCCAGAGGCGATCTTCTCCTTGAACTCGGCGAGCGACTGGATCATGGCAGGCATGGCGACGGTGTTGGGGGTTGGAAAAAAAAAAAAACGAGCTGTGGGCGCGGGGGAACAAAGGCACCGGTAAGTGAAATGCGAGTTTGAATGGTTTAGAGACTGAGAGGCAACTTGGAAAATGGCGCTGAGGTGACGGAAGAAGCTGAATCAAGCCGCGCCACCGCACCGCACAAACAAGGCTGGCAACCAAGACAACGAAACAAAATGCCCGAACTTGGCGTCAAAATGACATCACGCCCCAAAAAACCACGGCAGACGAGCCACAGGGACAGCCACACCCCCAACCACCCAAACACGCGACACCCATGACGATTGCCCCGGCCATCAACCCAAACACAACGCTGAACTCCTGCTGCGACCTGTGCCACTGCCGCCGCTCTTCTCAGATCTCGACCGTGCAGGTGTGCACGTCGTCCCTCTGACCACCCCCTTGCTGACCAACAAGAGAAAGCGAGCAACCCCCCACCGCACAAACCACCAAATGCCATCACTCTCTACCCCGCCAATTCCCATCCTCCCGCCTTGACGCTGCCATTTCTCACTGGCCCGCAAGACACTCAAACCCACTAAACACACTCAACACACAGTAAACGTACCTTAAGTGACGTGTGGTAATAAATGCAGCAAATGACGCCAAACTCACTTCATGTGTGTGTGTGTGTGTGTGTGTGTGTGTGTGTGTCCTTTGGTCAGATCCGACGAAAGGCAATGACAGTTGGTAACTTTTCTCAGTGCGTCAGTGTGTGTTGCGATATCCGATGTCAGGATGTCAGAAAATGGTTTAAAACATGTGTTGGGAACGATGGACTTGACTGGCTCTTTTTTTTTTTAAAAAAATGGCGACCGTGGATGGGGCGATGGCGGCGGAGCTGGCAGAGTTGGGACTGCCTGTGGCTGATCCCAAGGCCTGGACGCGGGCGTTGACGCATGAGAATGAAGCCATCCTGGCCATGACGTATGCTAATCAGGGTCATACCCTGATGGCTGGGACTCGGCATGGTTTTGTCCACCGTTGGAAGTGAGTGCGCGGACGCCCGTTTTGTTTGAGGCCTAAATGTGTACGTGCGCGTATCCGCGCTGTCGCCGACTCACCTCCTTCCGACGGACACATGGTCCTTCTTCTTCTTCTTCTTCTTCTTCTTGTCATTTACCAAAGCCTTGATGAGCTGGAGTATGATGATGATGAGCAGGCATACTCGCACGATGCTTTTGGTCAGTACCCCAGCCTCGTCAGCCGCTAGCACTCCACCGCTGCATCTTTCGGCGGCACGCGACCAATCTCATTCCATGTGTTCTGGTGGTCTAGCGGTGGGCGGCACGGCGGTGCAGGGACTTTTTAACATGCAGGAGACAATTGTGGCCTGCACGCGCACCAGCTTTTACACGCAGGCACGCTTGAAAGCTGGACGACCTCGGGGCTTAAGCTTTTCTGCTTTGCGTTTGGTGCTTGCTCACATCGTGACTGGGCTACTGGCTACTATGCAGGCGGGCTGCTTGACCCAATTGCCAACAACGCTGACTAGCTGCATCCAGAGCCCAGAGGTCCGCTTGCGCATTCTGAAGCAAAGCACCTATACCGACATTGCATTCTCATCGGCTTTCTTGATGACTTTGCGTTCTTTTGCAGGCAGGACAGCTGTTGGCGGGCACGATTGATGGGACTGCTTTGCGCTTTGATGTGTCGAACAACAGTTGCCAAACAATCAAGGTATTAAAAAGATGCCCCATCACCCCGTGTTGGAGCCTCACGATTCTTGGGGTTGATGACTCGCGCTCGGCTCGCTCTCTGAGCTCGCGTTGAGCTGGCCTTGCTTCTACTTTGAGTCATCCCGTGCTCTGATCATGTGTGTGGTGGAATTGGTTCCTCTTTTGATAGAAAGTGGCGGGCGGGCCTGTTCGTGCCCTGCTGGCGCTGCAATCGCGGGGCTTGCTGTTGCTGGGTCAGGCGGATAACCGCATTCGGGCTGTAGACCCGCGGAGCAACCAAGTTGTTGGTACTTTGGACGCGGCGCGCTCAGCGCGTAGCGGCCGATTGGCAACCGACGCCGATTCCACCCCCGCAGACCGGCATTCAGAACCCTTTTCTGCCCTGAATATCCTGCTTCGTGCAGGCGACGATGACTTGCTGGTATGGGGTTTGCTTTTGTGTGATTTGCGCGGCATTGTGACTGGATGCCTGACTCTTCCTTTGCCATGTGCCTGGGCTGGCGGTAGATTTCGGGTGGTGAACTGCCACTGCGGTTGTGGGACTTGCGGGCCAACTTGGGTCAGCGGACCTCCTCGCGGCAATCCGAACCCACGCCGCTCGCCGATTACAGCATTCCCGATGCCATGGTCTACACCCACGGCTTTTGGTACAACAACCAAGCCATTTTGGGCGGGATGAGCTCCAACTTGCATATGGTCCAGCTGGACGGTCAATTGCGACGAGCCACGACGCCCTGCACGAGCATCTATGCCGTTCTGCCCGCGCATGGCACTCAGGTACGGTCATGGACATACCGTCGACGGTGACAAGGGTGGCAGGCATTTTTAGTTTTCGTGCTGGATGTCACCGTTTTGAATCTTGGGCTGACTTTTGTTTTGGGCGTGATCATCATCCTGCAGGGGGCCATTGTGGCGGGTGAGGGAGCCGAGCTGTTTACGAGTCCCACCAGTGACTTTCTCTACTTTGATCAGGAATCGCTCATCCTCTCCGCGTAGAGTAGTTGTCTGCGACTCAAAATGTGTAGATTTTGGTTTGGCGTTGTCTGGTCGTGGTGTAAAATCCGTCGTAGCCTACGTGAGAGGGGGTCTTTTTTTTTTGTTCTTTAATGTCCGTTCAGAGTTGGCA